TGGGTTCATGGGTTCGTGGGTTCATGGGTTCATGGGTTTGGGGTTTGTTTGTTTTTGTGTCGGAGGTTTTGGGTTTGGGTGTTGGAGGTTGAGGTTTCCGAAGGGATGTGCTTGCAAAGTTTTATTGCTCTTAATATTTAAGAACTAGTATGGATAAGAACTTGTTGCAAATCGAACTAACAACTGTAAGTACACTGGCGCTTTGTTCTTGTTAACGTCGGTGTCTAGAACCGTTGCCCCACCCTTACTCCAATTCGGGTTGATATTACCACCCATCTTCGGTTTTATTCGCATGGCTGGAGAAGGTGATGGAGAAAAATTGAGATTCAACATCGATAGCGCTAGCGGTGCAGGAACAGGTGCAGGAGGTCTGCGTCGAAAAATAAGAAATGTTGGAACTTATGAACTTGATGTTATGATAGTAACAAGTTAGAACAAGTACTATCACTAGCTAGTTGACTAGCTTCAGCAAAGTAATAGGTTCAAGAGTGTGACGAGGTCTCATGACACACGACAGCCAACTACAAGTAGAAATACTACAGAAAAATCCAAAATTAATACAGAATTCTGGTGGCTTTCCGCTAAGAATTTTATAGAATCCCTTGGTATCGTATGATGCTGGCCCAGGGGTCTTCGCACTATTTGGGTTTGGGTCGAATCTTGGTGGACCTGAGATTAGGGTTGTGAACAAGAGCTCAATTTGAGCTTCTCGCGAATTACAAGAATCAATTTGACAAATTGTTTGATGCTTGAGATTGAGGTTGCCTTCCTGACTACGCGTCTGTTCGAATTCGTCATCATAATTTTAAATCCCATTCCCGACTACAATAAGAATAAGTCAAGAAGAAACAGAATAGTAGTACCTTTCATCACTGTCCTTCCTGGCATCGGTAGAGCGGGATGGTCGAATGTTGTTGTACTAGGGACTGGATAAGTGCCTGGACCTGGAATGCTATCGCTTGTTTGGCCTGGTAAGGGATTAGAGGAAAAGTGGTCTAGCATCATATCTAGTAGATATGACTTGATCTCTCTAAACTAAATACAACTTGTCATGGTCAGCGTCATCCTCGCGCTTTTTACTAGGAAGGGAGTCCATTGTTCAGGTGCTTATCTTCTTACAGAGTAATTTACAGGGGTGCCAGATCCGGGATGGGTTGGGATAGATCGGATGGAACGGATGGACTTCCCACCATTTCAAGTAGAATCGGAAGACTTAGGGGGGTCCATCGGATCCATCCAAGTCCATCTTACATCCGTTCTATAAATTATTCTATTATCTACTTGTTGAGGAAGTCGTTGTCGTTCTGAGTCTAAGTCTATCACCATGAGGACAATTGTTTTTACGTCCTCAGCATCATCTTCACCAAGTCGGTCCTCGTTGAACTAAGTACACCATAAGTTGCAAAAGCTTGCATGTTCTCGCCCTTATGCTCCACTTCGGCATCTCCTGCTTCATTACTCCTATGTCTATTGGTCCGCTAGTTTTGTCACTTTCGCACATCTTCTTTTTTATCTGCGCTCCAAATTCCGTCTTTGCTCGCATGGAAAACTTTGGGGCTGTGTATTTAGCTGCGTCGAACCTGTGCACGACATTTTTGGGACGACATTTTTGGGAGTCTTGATAGAAACAGAAACTGGAGGTGTGATAGACAGTCACGTCAGAGGTAAAAAAAAGATGAAAAAGAAGAAGGTTAATACGCCTTATCCATCTCTTTCATGTCTGGAAGGCGCCTTTGCGCCTTCCGCTCCTTCGCTTGGAGCGTCGTGGGCATCTTCTTGTTGGTGTGCAACTATTCTTCGACCTGCTCTACTTCGAAGAAGTAGACCTCTACTTCACTTCAACTTCGATGTTAATATTTGTGCTTGTTTAATATGGGGAAAGGACGATGAGGTTGTGAATCCTGTGGCCTTGGATTTTTCGGCAGGAGCAAGAAGATGACAAACTTTTGCCACAAGTGGAAGATGAGAGGAGAATGATGAAGCATCTACTTTACGCACAGAAGTTAAGGATGCAAATAAGAATGATGAAAACTCTTGACGTGGATCGAGATGAAAAACAACAATCTTGTTGGGTAGGTAGAGATAATACGAAAAGACAATGGGAACTTGAGGCGGATGAAAAAGCAATACTGAGAGAGAAAGAGGGACCTTGAGTGGAGCGGATGTGGGCGGCTCATGATCAAGACTTGTTTCTGCGTGCTTGTGCTCCGCTTTTCCCGCTAGAGGTGCTATATATTTTTCATCCACAGGCACAGATGTAATAGAAATGACCAGACCGATTCCACGACAACTTTATTCCCAACCGACGCTTTGTACGTGAACCGACACAGGTACAGATGCTGACCATTTTTACCGATGCAGCTTCCGGTTAAAGATGACACGATGTCCTCGTCTTGTCAAAACTGTAGTATTCATTTCTTGACCGATACCACAACCAAACGGAGACTCAAAGACAGAAGACTGAACACGAGGATTATGATATACTGCGACTGCGTATGCTCAAGCTACCTTTATTCAACGATGAGACCACAAGAGTTTCTTTCACATGTACAACATCAAGGGTTTTCTTTACAAAGGCTATCTACATGAGTCGGGGTTCGGCTTCCGAGTTGTGCTTTTTTCACGCAGTAGTTTGTTTTTCAGCTTTACTTTGCTGTCTTGGACGAGACTAGTTTCTTCGAATTCGGTCGATTTGCAATTGTTTCTTCTTGATATTTTATTTCGATCGAGAGGAACTTCAATTTGCAATTGTAATTATGCTTAAGCTTACCTTTTTATTCTAACTATTTGTCGCGGACATTCTTGTCATTACCTTTTCGCTATTCCTCATCCATTACGGTTACATGCATTGACGATAATAATATTACTCTTCGATGTAGATGTAGTTCTCTGACAACAATTATATACTTTTTTACTTCTGTCCTCGTTCTAACTCGGCAAAACTACTTTTACTTTTTCCTTGAGTAGGGCTAGAATTATGAACAATTTTAGTTGCAGTAGATATTCATTTCTATTTCCATTCGTTTCGCAGAAAGATACTTTTTACTTTTAGTGTAGCTTTAGATTAGACTAGGACTCTCATTTGCATATAGATACTCACAGGTACTTCTAGTTCCAGATGTAATCATTTTAATTCTTGTGCAATGTGCCTTATTGTGCAGCATGAATGATAGTCATAATAGTTAAAGGAATAAGAATTCTAATTCTTGCGTGAGTAAATAAGTGAATTGGTATTCTTTCATTGAAGTAATTGGACTTGTATCAAAGCGCAAAGCCTTGACTTCGGTGAACGTGAAGTAGTGCTTCTATTACTTCATATTGCAAGAAGATGTTAAACTGTTACAGTATTTTGTGAGTTTGTCTTATGCTTATCGTGTTCCTTGTACAAGCCAACTATCGTCTGGGTAAACGCTTCGGTCTAGGTGGTGGTAGGATAGCATTCCGCAAAGTTGTACTTGTACCTAAAAAAGGACTCCGCGGACTACTATTAGCTTTGGAGCTCATGCTCTCATGATAGAAGAGGAAATCACTTCCTTTTTGTTGATCTTGATTCGTGTCTTTATCGTGGTCATCGTGATTTTTGTGGTTGTCATGGTCGTCATCAGGAACATGCTCTTGTTCTGACTGGGACTCCTTTGAAGACGTTTTTCCCATTCCCTTGTTGAGTTGTAAATCGTGATGTGCGCCTGATGGCTTGACAGTGTGCATTTTTCCTTTTGTCCTTGACGTTTCACTAGTAACGCGGCTCGCACTCGCACTCGATGACTTTCCTTTTTTGCTAGTTTGATGGCCACTCGGCTGGACCGAAGACTTTGAAGTCGAAAGAGGAGGTCTTGTTGTCGTTCCTGCACTAGGAGGTGAGGAAGCCTTTATTGCGGCCTTGCCCGTACTAGGAGAACTAGAACTAGCCGAAGTTCCTGGATGTTGTACAGCTTTTCCTGATGTTGAAGACGGACTTTTGCTTTTCTTACCTTGTTTGCCGCCACTGGAAGCTGTAGCTATGCCATGCTGGGTATGAGTTTCGTGCATGCCCTCAACATCGTCTCCGTCAAGAAGGTGCGTGAACCATGATGCTAGAGAGGACTCCTGTTGTTCCTCATGTTGCACCAGTGCTGGGCTTGTTTTTTCACCACGTGGTTGTGTCGACGTCATATTCTTGAGTCCCGCACCCTTCATCTCATAGTCGTGCTGTTGTTTGCTTCCCTTGATACCTTTGCCTTTCATCGACGCAGACTTTGATGACTTATCATGTTGAAGATGTTGTTTGTCTGTGCCTGTCCTCGTGCCAGTATCCCTTGTTGTAGTTGATGCGGATGGCTGCTGATGTAAAAAGGGGCCACGTTTTGACTCACCACTTCCCTTGCCTTTCACTGACGACGACGCAGAGCTGCTCGGATTTTTTTGACCACTATGCTTGTCACGACCATGGAGCTCAGGCTTCGCTCTTGCGCCTGTAGAGATCGATGTTGCTTTGGTTTTCTGAGAACTTTTGATAGTTGTCTCCTGGTTTTTCTGCACATCTGGACTTTGTACTGCTGTCGGACGAGACGAGGTAGTTACCTCTTCTTGGATATTAGGATAACCACTCTTCATCTCCTCTTCGTTAACTGCTTGAGAAGTAGAAGATGACGAAGTTCGCGCAGCATCAGCAGCTGTTGTAGTACCTACAAAGTTGCTAACACGAGAAGGACTTCTAGTGCTACCTCGGCCAGAAGGAGAACTTGCACTTTTCGCGCGTGATGGTGCTATACTGCCCCTAGTTGCAGCCCGCAGAGAAGCAAGAGGACTTGTCGTGGAAACTCTCACGTGGTTAATATGGTTTGTTAAGGTTGTAGTAGAAGTAGTATTCGCAGATCCACGGCGTACTAGTGCCGCCGTCAATGATGACCTTGTTGACCTGGACACGACATTGGTATTGGATGAAGATATTCTCGTATTTGCAGCAGAAGTCCTAGACGATGGTGAGGTCGGAGATCGAAGCACTCGATTGATAACATAAGCGGAGCTGGCTCTGGCTGGTCTTTCACCAACTGCTTCTCCTGCAGACTGCTCTAAAGTAGGAGTTGCAGACGGTCTTGAAGGACGTCGACCAAGAATTTCATCAGTTGGGTTCTTTGGTGGCTCTGCTGGATGTTCTCCTTCTCCAGCATCATCAACATGCTGACTCTCGTGATGCGCTTCATCTTCTCCATGTTCATGAGCATGGTGCTGCTCTCCCTCTCCTCCTCGCGGTGAACCTATTGGTGCCCAAGGGCGATCAAATCCATACCACTGGTCGTTATCGTAAAAGGACGTGTCAGCCAACAAGCTACCTCCGCCAAACCTTGATTGATGTGTCGATGTCTTGTTTTGTCCTGTTGGTGATCGAGGGGATGCTACTGGTGATCGAGGGGATGCTGCTGGTGATCGAGGTGATGCTGCTTGTAATCGAGGGGATGCTACTGGTGATCGAGGGGATGCTGCTGGTGATCGAGGTGATGCTGCTTGTAATCGAGGGGATACTGCTGGTGATCGAGGGGATGCTGCTTGTAAGGACCGCGGTGATCCTACAACTTCTCCTTGCCAGCCTCCTCTAGGTGATTCTGATTGCTCTTGTTGTGCTTGTTCTGCTAGTGCTACAGCCTTAGCTTCTTCTACCCGGCGACGAATCTGTTCCCTCCGACGAGCTGCCGCGTCACGCCGTATCTGATCGTGCAGAGACTGTGTCGGTAAGTGTGTTGGAGGTTGCGGAATTACATTCCACAGAACATCCCTGGCTTCTTTTCTACTAGGAACAGAGCGAGGGATGGCAGTGAGGAATGCAATTCGGTGGAAGCCCTTAAGTGTGTCTCTTCTGCCTGAATATGACCTGCTTCTCCTATGTGGGGAGCTTGCGGAGCTCGAGGTTGAGCGATATTCGAAGAGGTTTTGTTACTGTTAGAAGCCGTGCTACTTACTCCCCACCACGGCGCACCTTCTGCATTTGGCTTTAGCACAAAATGAGGAGCATCAACATGAACATCAGCATCGTCTCTATTATTTGTCTTCGGCTTCGCTACTGCCTTGGATGCAAGTTTCGACTTGGTCGTAGGCTCCGACAACTTGGTTGTAGGCTTAGCTACGGCCTTTTGCTGCTTCTCATTTGGCTGATCACGCTGTGGCCGTGCTGCATCTCCATTTGCATGCCCTTCGTAATATTCACCCTCATCCCACAGAGCTTCCTCTTGCCATTCATCAGGGTCGGCGCCGTAATCGTTATAGCCATCACCAACATAATTGTCAACATGATAGCCATCTTCACCATTGTAGTTGTTGTTGTTGTTATTGTAGGAGACGTCACCGGCGTAGCCCTCGTCCTCAACATAGCCAGCAAAACCATACCACTGGTTGGGATCGTAAAAAGTCTTGTCAGTCAGGAGCGGTCCCTGAAGCGAAACTTTTGCCTGCTTTTCCCTGCTGTTAGTCCCTTTAATACCAGTTGAGGATGTTGTTGTACTAGAAGCTGTAGCCACTTTCGGTGGTTGTTGTCTTTGTTGTGCTTGTGCTCGTGGTGAAAGTTTTCTTACAAGAACGGCCTTAGCTGCTGCAGAAGCGTTCTTGTTGACTTCCTGCTCTTTCCATTCCGCTTTCTTCTCTTCCTCTTCCTGTTTTCTCGCGGCTATCAGTCTCAAACGCCCTTCTTTCGCAAGCGCACTCGTCCGAGCGGCTCGTCGCTTTTCCCTCAACTCTCGCGGCGAAAGCCGGGGTGCAGTTGATGTAGGAAGCGGTGGCGCTCCGACGTGGACTTCTTGCTGCTCGTCATGATGGTGCGCTCTCTCTCCATTTCCTGTAGCCACTGTCTCGCCGGCTAATAGCCTCTCGCGGCCTTCTTTAGCGAGCGCCTTTACCCGCTCTGCGCGGCGTTTGTTCTTCAATTCTCGCGGCGAAAGACGGGGCGCAGTGGATGTAGAAAGCGGTGGCGCTCCGACGTGGACTTCTTGCTGCTCGTCATGATGGATCGCTTCCTCTTCACTTGCTGTCGCCACCGCCTCGCCGGCTAATAGCCTCTCACGGCCTTCTCCAGCGAGCGCCTTTACGCGCTCTGCGCGGCGTTTGTCCTGCAATTCTCGCGGCGAAAGACGGGGCGCAGTTGATGTAGGAAGCGGTGGCGCTCCGACGTGGACTTCTTGCTGCTCATCATGATGGTACGCTTCCTCCCCATTTCCTGTAGCCACTGTCTCGCCGGCTAATAGCCTCTCACGGCCTTCTTTGGCGAGCGCCTTTACTCGCATTGCGCGGCGTCTGTCCTTCAATTCTCGCGGCGAAAGACGAGGCGCAGCTAATGTAAGAAGCGGCGGCGCTCCGACGTGGACTTCTTGCTGCTCATCTTGATGGCATTCTTCCTCCTCATTTGGGGAAGGGGAAAACTTCTGAAGAGCATGGAGCTTCCCACGGCCTCCTTTTTTAGCGAGCGTTCTTATTCGCTCTGCCCGGCGCTTTTCCTTTGATGTTGTCCCATCAACCACAGCCCCCTCATCCACTGCCCCCTCTTCATCTTCTACATGGAACTCATGCCAATGCAGTTCCCAGTACTCTTCTGTTATCTCTTCGGCATAGTACCAACGCTCCTCGACAGAATTCCGATACCTTTCTCCTACTCCTTGTAGCTCGTGGTCTTGTTGTGAGGTAGGCTCTGCGCGGCGTTTGTCCTGCAGTTCTCGCGGCGAAAGACGGGGCGCAGTTGATGGCAGAAGCGGCGGCCTCCCGAGGTGGTCTGCTCGCTGCTCATCTTGATGGCATTCTTCCTTTTCATTTGCTGTCCCTGTCGCCACCGTCTCGCCGGCTAATAGCCTCTCACGGCCTTCTTTAGCGAGCGCCTTTACTCGCATTGCGCGGCGTCTGTCCTTCAATTCTCGCGGCGAAAGACGGGGCGCAGCTAATGTAGGAAGCGGCGGCGCTCCGACGTGGACTTCTTGCTGCTCATCATGATGGTGCCCTTCCTCTTCATTTGCTGTAGCCACCGTCTCGCCGGCTAATAGCCTCTCACGGCCTTCTTTGGCGAGCGCCTTTACTCGCTCTTCGCGGCGTTTGTCCTTCAATTCCCGCGGCGAAAGACGGGGCGCAGTTGATGGCAGAAGCGGCGGCGCCCCGACGTGGTCTGCTTGCTGCTCATCTTGATGGCATTCTTTCTCTGCGTTTGCTGTCGCCACCGTCTCGCCGGCTAATAGCCTCTCACGGCCTTCTTTAGCGAGCGCCTTTACTCGCTTTGCGCGACGTCTGTCCTTCAATTCTCGCGGCGAAAGACGGGGCGCAGTTGATGTAGGACGCGGCGGCGCTCCGACGTGGTCTTCTTGCTGCTCATCTTGATGGCATTCTTCCTCCTCATTTGGGGAAGGGGAAAACTTCTGAAGGGCATGGAGCTTCCCACGGCCTCCTTTTTTAGCGAGCGTTCTTATTCGCTCCGCCCGGCGCTTTTCCTTTGATGTTGTCCCATCAACCACAGCCCCCTCATCCACTGCCCCCTCTTCCTCTTCTACATGGAACTCATGCCAATGCTGTTCCCAGTACTCTTCTGTTATCTCTTCGGCATAGTACCAACGTTCCTCGACAAAATTCCGATACCTTTCTCCTACTCCTTGTAGCTCGTGGTCTTGTTGTGAGGTAGGCTCGTCGCGTTCTTGTTCTTTTTCTGTATCTTCTTGCTCTTCCTCTAGTTCCACAGAAGCAGTACCATCGTCAACAATAGACGTAATACTAGCTTCATCGGATTGAGGTGAAATGGAGAGCCCCTTCTCTTTCTTGCTTCTTGGAGTACTAGGGCTGGCGACGGCGTCCCCATGATCTTGCCCTGCCTTTTTTGCTGCAGAAGAAGTTGGATGGAAAGGAGAAAACTTCTGAAGAGCATGGAGCTCCTCGCGGCCTCCTTTAGCGAGCGTTCTTATTCGCTCCGCCCGTCGCTTTTCATTTGGTGTTGTCCCATCATCCACTGCCCCCTCTTCCTCTTCTACATGGAACTCATGCCAATGCTGTTCCCAGTACTCTTCTGCTATCTGTTCGGCATAATACCAACGTTTCTCGACAAAATTCCAATACCTTTTCCCCCCTTCTTGTAGCTCGTGGTCTTGGTGTGAGGTAGGCTCGCCATGTTCTTGTTCTTCTTTTGTATCTTCTTGCCCTTCCTCTAGTACCACAGAAGCAGCATCATCGTCAACGATGGACGTAATACTAACTTCATCGGATTGAGGTGAAATGGAGAGCCCCTTCTCTTTCTTGCTTCTCGGAGTACTACTAGGGCTAGCGACGACGTCCCCATGATCTTGCTCGACCTTTTTTCCTGCAGAAGAAGTTGGATGGAAAGGAGAAAACTTCTGAAGAACATGGAGCTCCTCACGGCCTCCTTTAGCGAGCGTTCTTATTCGCTCCGCCCGTCGCTTCTCCTTTGATGTTGTCCCATCATCCACAGCCCCCTCATCCACTGCCCCCTCTTCCTCTTCTACATGGAACTCATGCCAATGCTGTTCCCAGTACTCTTCTGCTATCTCTTCGGCATAATACCAACGCTTCTCGACATAATTCCAATACCTTTCTGCTACTTCTTGTCGTTCAATCTGTCCCTCATGTTTTTGTTCTTCTTGTTCTAGCACTTGTTCTTCCACAACAACAGAATCTGCATCACCATCATCGGCGATAGAGGTAATACTAGTTTCATCCGCAGGGACAAGCGCGTATCTTTTTGCACGCAGCGACGCTTCACTATCCCCTGGAGCGGGTGAGCGCGAAAACACCTGCAGAAGATGAAGTTTACGACTCCCTGCTACGGTAGGGCCTCCCGGTGATTTTTTCTTCGGAGTGGCTGTTTTCTTGCTGTTCCTCTTGCTTCTTGGAGTGCTGGGGCTGACGATGGCGTCCTCTTGTTCTACTTTTGCGGCTACGTCTTGTCCCACCTTTTTTTCTGGAGGAGACGATGGGGAAGAAGAGAACTTCTGAAAAACATGAAGTCTAGGGCTCAATGCAACAGTTGGAGATTGAAGCGAAGTGGAAAGTCCCTTCTTTTTCTTCTTGCTTTTATTCGGGGTGCTAGGGCTGGCGATGACGTCCCCATGATCTTGTTGTTCTACCTCCTTTTTTTCTGCAGAAGAAGCTGCGGAAGGAGAGAACTTCGGAAGGGCATGAAGTTTCTCACGGCCTTCTTGGGCGAGCGCTCTTATTCGCTCAGCGCGGCGCTTGTCTTTCAATTCTCGCGGCGAAAGGCGGGGCGCAGTTAATGTAGGAAGCGGCGGCGCTCCGACGTGGACTGCTTGCTGCTCATCTTGATGGCATTCTGCCTCCTCATTTGCATTTGGAAAAGGGGAAAACTTCTGAAGAACATGAAGCCTAGGGCTCAACGCAACAGTTGGAGATTGAGGCGAAGTGGAAAGTCCCTTCTTTTTCTTGCTTTTCGGAGTGCTAGGGCTGGCGATGACGTCCCCAAGATCTTGCTCTACCTCCTTTTTTTCTGCAGAAGAAGCTGGGGGAGGAGAGAACTTCGGAAGGGCATGAAGTTTCTCACGGCCTTCTTGTTCTTCCTCTAGAACAGAAGAAGCATCATCATCAACAATAGACCTAATACTAACTTCATCGGATTGGGGTGAAGTGGAGAGCCCGTTCTTTTTCTTGCTTCTCGGAGTACTAGGGCTGGCGATGGCGTCCTTTTGCTCCACCTTTTTGTGTGCAGAAGAAGTCGGGGAAGGAGAAAACTTCCGAAGAACATGAAGTTGAGGGCTGAGCGCAACCGTAGGTGATCCCTTCTTCTTCTTTCCCTGACCTTTTTTAGCCTCTGGTGATGGTGTAGGTTTTGTCGAAGCCTTGCTACCTTTTCGTGGAGTTTCGAAGCCACGTTGTTGATTAGGCGATGATGGACTATCTCCAGTGCCTTGTAGTTGACCGTGAGATGGCGATCCACCAGCAGAAAAGACCGGAAGAACATGATACCTAGGACTAAGCGCGACAGTAGGCGACATTGTTGAAGTAGAATGACCTTTGTTGCTAGCAGTCTTTGTCCCCTCACCCTTTCCTGGCGACCGGGACCGACCGGGAGACTTGTCGCGTACAATGTGAATGTCTCTGCCTATCAGCGGTGCTTCTTCCTTCCTTTCGCGATTAACGACACGCTCTATCGCCGCTCGTCGTTTCTCAAGGAAGCGCTCCTTGGCACTTAGCACTTTTTGCATTTCACTATCAGCTGCAGCTCGCGCGTCCTGCGCTTGCTCTATTTCGCCCTCTCGTGCCTCCTTCTCCTCTTTCCACGTGGCACACACATCAGCTAGCCGCTTCTCCAAATTAGAACTACCGCATTGGCATCCCTGGCAGCATCCTTGGCTCTTTTTTCAAGTACTAGAAAAAGAGCTGCATGCCAGGGATGATGATATTGATAACATGCTCCAGCGGTAGCCTTAACCAAAGCCTCCAATTTGCCTAGTTTGACTTCGTCATCGACTGCAGAAGGCCACGAGGACAATAGCTTGTCGAGATCCGAAGCAAAAGCACCACTACTTTTCCCAGACCTCCTTCTGGACTGCCTTCCCATCTCCTCTACTAGAGCATGCAAACGCGTCTCCAACTCTTTGATTTGTCCAACTCGTTTGTCCTTCAAAGACTGAAACTCCTCGTCCATCTCCTGGGTGACTTTGACCTGCCTATGCACCTCATTTAAATAAGCCGCCTCGTGCTGATGAAGCATTTGCAGTTGCTTCGCATGTCTGGCATGTTCTGAGTCGTCTAAGCAATGAGTTTCTTTGCCTTGTTCTAGAACTCGGAGCTCTTCAGTTTGTTGCACACGATGATCTTGTATGACGTTCTGTAGATGTTCGCTATTGATCACCGCGTTTGTACTAGACCCTTTCTTGAGAGTCGCTGCATTTTGTCCAATAACAGGCGGCGGATGTTCGATTTTCATCAGGTGTTGGTTGCCGTTTTCCTCTTTCTCATGCAAAAGCGCTCTTGATGCTGCTGTGGTTAGAAGAAATTGAAATATTAAGATCCTTTATCAATGTCATGTAGTTGTACTAAGTAGATCTAGATGGGCCTAGTAAATAGTTTCGAATCCTTAGCAGAAAATTCCCCTCAGTTGCCCTTCAATGGCTCTCCCTGTCCCTGCATCCTAAGTGGAATCTTCATCAGAGAGCCGTCTGAAGACTTCATCAGGACGAAACCTTCATTTCTAATACATAGGCTCAATCATTAGGGAAGTGAAAAACAAGCTATTGCACATGCACGTCGCCTTAACCTATAATATCCCTCCTTCCTTGCAAGCTTTCGACGATCGCTGGAAGTCGACCTCTTTAGTGCGGTGGTGCCTTTGTAAAACGAAACTTCATCGTCCTCATCTGCTGTTTCTGGCGGCGGCGCATCCTCTGGTGGAGTAGACGCGTCCTGAGAAAGCTGATCGGTCCTCCGTGAACTATCATCGGGTACAGAGCTATGGCCATCATCTGGAGGGTTGTCTTCTTCTTGCTCGTCTTTACCTTCACCTTTGGAGCCATCAGCTCCATCATGATCGTCCCCATCATGTTTACTATCATCGCCGCCGTCATCATCGTCTCCTCCATCGTCATCAACTTCCACAAGACCACTCCCTCTCCCAGTACCAGGATACTCCACTGCCTTTTTCACCACTAAATTCTCGCTGACGAGTTCGAGGAGCTTCTTTCTCAAGATAAATGGATCCAGCGCTCGTGCGTCAAGATCGTCGAACGTGGCATCCAACTCGCGTAGTATTTCGCACGCTTCGTGGATTCGTCGCGCACGCTCACTATCAGACAGAGCCGATAGACGGTTGAACTCGACACCAGGCAAATCAGACAACAACGGTTGAGGTTGGGAAATGTTAGAAGAGGGAATTGGGATAGACCACAACGGGGGTTGAGGCTGGGGAATGTGAGAAGGAGAAACAGGATATTTTCCCGAATTCGCCTGTGCTAGATAAAGATACCAGAGGCAGAGGTGGATAGAAGATATATCTAGGACTAGAAGTTTGTCTTTTTGAAACTTCTACGAAGGACTGGAAGGATAAGCAGAACAAGGACTACTATCCGTATCCAGCCCCTAACAGATTGAGATTATTAACTATCACTAAGAATGATTATGATGTTTATGTTAGTCTGAATGTAAATGCTTTCTTAATTTTCGCAGCAGCGACGGTAAGAGCCACGTGCTCCGCCACAACTGCTGGTGCGTGGTTCTGGACGTCCTGTTTCAATGTAGCGTGCATTGCCTGTTTTACCTCGTTTTTGTAATGTTCACGCAATTTGGTACTAGAAGTCCTGAAACGTGGCAGAATCGCTATCTCGTTCAAAAACCGCGCCTTTTTCTCTCGTTTCGTCTCCTTTGTCTTCTTCTTGCCCATGCTTTTTAGTATGGCTTTTTGTTTTGAAGAGGACTCCTTAGCAATTGCTTTTGCTATACCCTTACGCAGTTGCGTCCTTTCCACATGCTGCTTGTAGTTTTTGTGCGCGGCGATAGTTTCAGGAAGGAGCTTGTCTGCTGGCACCGCAGTAGACGGATCTGCCTGTTGCTTGAGAAACGTGTTGACAAGAGCTTTCGCGAATTGCCGTTCTTGCAACTGTTGAGAATGCGACACTGACTGCCGTTGGGTTTGTAGTTCCGACAGTCTTGGTAGTAAGGCTTCCTCATTGATTTCTACCAAAGCAAGCGAACGAGAAGCAGCTGTTCCGGCACCAATGTTGCTTGGCCGATCGACCTCCAAAGGCAGTGGAGCCAGTGCTGCACTCGTGCTATCAAAACTGCTACTTTGTCGCGTCGCAAGCGTCGTTCTCAAGTACTTCTGGATCAAATCTTCCAACTCCGTGTTTTCCACTCCTTGAGCATGGAATTCCTTTAGAATATCGAGCAAGAACTCGCGTCGTGTATCTCCCGCACTGATAATGATGTCCACGGCCGTCTTGTACTCCTCAATCTGCTTCTTCAGTTGAGAGATCTGTCTCTTTCTCTTGTTTGCCGAAGATGATGTTGAGGTGAAGAAATTTTCTGCTTCGGATGAAGAGGAAACGTCCCGAGACGGGTACTGTTGCCCAAAATCATGCGCTTCTATGAGCGGATACTGCTGTCCGAAGTTGCTATAATTCGCGCTGTATCCTCCTCCTCGATGCGAGGACTGCGTCGATGTACGTATGGTAGGCAGCACCACACCCATGGGAAACAAGGCACCAGATCCAGTGCCAGATCGTCCTCCGGAAGATGAAGATATAGCAACAGTAGCCCTCCTCTCCTGCGAGGCGGTAGACGCTGAACTCAACCTGTCTCCGACATCAAGATCAGGTGACTCTTGTGCCTCACACAAAAACTCCTGAATCAAGTCTTCCTCCAAGGCAAGATGGGTGAAATGTTCCTGGATCTCATGCTCACGGCTCTTGCGGGCCATCTCCTCATCGTAGTCTCGCTTGGTTGATGTCGTGGAAGAAACAAGCATCGACGAACCAAGAGGGGCAGCAGGATCTTGTTTTTCTACTTGATCTTCTGCTGCTGGCCCTGGATCTACTTCATCCTCGTATTCCTCGTTCCAGTGCTCATCATCCTCGTATTCCTCGTTCCAGTGCTCTTCATGGTCCCAGCATTCGTCATCGTCGTTGTAACATTGCTCTTCTTCTTGCACTTGTTCTTCATCTGGTGCAAAATCTTCATCCACAACTGTGCCTACTGTTTGATGTGTAGTTGTTCTCAGCTCGAGCTCTGTATTTTCTGATACGACAGAAGCTTTCTTTGCAATCGAGGAAGCAGTTGATTTCTTAGCGCTTACGATCGATGAAGCAGTTGATTTCTTGCCGCCAACGATCATAGATGAAGTAGCTGTCCTCTCAGCCTTAGCTTCCAATTGAGATCCACCTTTCGCATCTCTGACAGATTTTTCTCTTTTCTTCATCTTTTTCTTGCCTTTCCCCTTTTGACCTTTACCTAGACCTTTTGCTTGCTTCGTAGGAGCAACAGCACCAACTAAGACAGCAGGTGCACTCATCACGGAGAATTTCTTCAAAGCTTTCTTCTTCGTGTTCGTAGTCCTAGCTCTCATCTTCTGACTCTGTGCCCTCGCCGTATTGCGTGCAGCCTCAGCGGCTCGAGCACGCTCAGCCGCAGGGCCTCGCATCGGCGCAAGGATGGGCGCGATCTTCGTCTTATAGTGCATCACGCCGACTTGGTCGTGGTACCGTTGCAACACGCCGCTCTGCTCAATCTGCTGAACGCGTTTTGATCTAAAAACAGCTCTAGAAGAAGAAGAAGAAGAAGAAGTGCTCCGGTTGGAAACAGTGGAAGTTTTTTTGCTTTTTCCTTTGCGGCCTTTGCCTGCTCCCTTCGACTTCTTGGAAGAAAGTTTGGACTTCTTGGAGGCAGCTTCTTTTCTTGAAGGACCACCTGCCTCCACATCGGCAGCAACTGCGTAGTAGTTCTTCAACATGTGATGAAAACTTGATTTGCGTTCCCTATCTGCCTGTCGCTGTTCTGCCTGAGCTTCGTTGAAAATTTCGTGCACAGTGTCAGCATCCATCACTTCGTTAGTTCCTTTCTCTTTGTCCTTGTCCTCGTCTGCTTCTTGATTTTCAAAAGTACTAGAAGACCTAGAAGAAACACGACAAGACGCACGTCGATGGAGAGCACTCATCAGTCGTTGGGACTCTACAGTATCCACATCGCATTGCTCATAGAAGGAATCGATTGCTTCAGTCAGTCTGCTTCTGTCGCCTCTTGTTGAGGGTCGGCGTCCTCGTTCTCGTTCATCAGTGGTGGTAGTTGCATGTTGTATTTCCACGTCCTCACTTCTTTGATCTTGTTCCCTTTCAGACTCCAACATTGCATAGGATGCGCGCAGAATTTGGTCTACTGTACTGGCCTTCTCACGACGCTCCGCCGGCTCGTCCAAGTGTAGTGCTCGTCCAGGTGTAGATTTTTTTATGAGTAGTTTTTTTTTCACTGCTTTTTGCACGTCCTGCACTTCTTGTGGTCCATCTTCTACGTCGACAAAGGCAGAAACCAGAGCGTCGTGTGCATCTACAACGGTTCCCGTTTTGGTGGTGACGGCCGCCCCAACTTCGACTTCCTCTATCGTAGATAAAGAAGCAGGCTGACCAGTACTAGAGCGAATAGAAGAGCCTGCAGCTCCTGTACTTTTTCCTCTAGCTGCATCAGCTTCAGCACTTTCTGTTTCTACTTGTGACTCTGTAGATAGCAACGAGACCTTGGTGAGGATACCTTTTTGTACTTGCGACGTCGTCTCGATGTTATCCCCTTCCCCAGCGTCTGTTCTACTTGAAGCCCTGTCCAGCACTTTATTAAGAAGGCTCTTCCTTGTACTGCGACGACTAGATGCTCCTCGCGTACTAGCAGTGCTGTACTCAGAGGATGTCATTCCCTTCTCATAGAAATCGCAGAGCAGCTCTTGCACATTCTCACTCTCCCGCTGAACATCCTCGTCTTCTTCTTCAAAATATGTTCCAGTAGTGTCTTGTGTTCTTCTACTCTGAAACGTAGAGCTATTTCTAGTCGTGCTTGCTCTTTCTACAGTCGTAACACTGCTAGTACTTCTACTAGTGGATCTGATTGTACTACTGTAGTGTTTCTGCAAAGCGATAGACACCATAGAGCGTTTCGTTGCTTGTGCTGCTTCTGCTCGTGACTTTGCACGATCGTAGTCACTGATCCGCTGACTGAGTTTTTCTTCATGCGAAGTAGAGGTGGACGAAGTCATGGTGGAACGGTTGTAGTTCTCGTCCTCGACCCATTCCCCATCTTCATTCCGATACCCTGACTCCTCCCAAGCATGTGACTCGTCCCACTCCTCCTCATCCCAATACTCCGTGTCCTGCTCATCCCATTGGGACTCGTCCCAGTATTCAGAATACTCATGATCTTGATCTTCGTAATATTCACTAGAAGTAGAGTGCTCTCGCTGCGAAGTCCACCTCACCGACGGAGTTATCCGTTCATGCTCGTGCAAAGGCCCATCTGCAGTCTGCTGAGACATCACAGATTCAGTTATCCGTTCATGCTCATGCAAAGGTGATGCACTGCTCAATGCTCGTAAAGCCTCGACGACATCTGCTTCAGCTTTTGGGTCACTAGTAACACATTCGACGTGATGTTTTTCTACAAGGGTGTCTAACCTTGACGAGGTAGTTGAGCCGTAGGCAGATGAAGAACGGGTATTGGAACTGGAAGATAGTTGCGATCGTGTACCGCTAGCAATACAACTCTTCTTCCACGACTCCCGGTAGTAATGTTTCAGAATGCTACCCATGGTTTCGCGGCGTTTCTCGGTCGCTGCCTCAGCATCTTGATGCACTTGGGAATAGCGAGAAAGGGTAGAGGACGAACGATACGAGGATGCAGACGACGGATCTTGTCGATCATCAGGGGCGGGCTCGTCGGTATTACTTCTAGCGTCTTTATAATCTGCCTTCTCTTTCACAGCGTCATCAGCCTCCTGTTGTTCCTTCTCCTCCTTGTCCTTCACTACGACCAATCCAGACTGCGCCGCAGCCAATACAATTGAGTGCTCAAGTTCTTCGTGCGACTGATGAGCATTCTCAACCGCAGCTCCGACATGTTGTTGGTGGCAATCGACTTCTTCGTGCGCTTTTGTGGACGCGTGATGATACTCCTCAGCTTTTTGGTGGAGTTCTTTGTTGATCACAGTTTGTTGCTCCTGCTTTTTCACGCTCGCGCTACTTCCAGATCTTGAGCTTGAAGACTTGTTTGATGCCGTAGAACTATCCAGTGACCGGCGATAGTGCTCTTTCAGCAGGGACTGAGCGAGAGGACGACAATGATGGTCATGCTCTGCATCGTCGCGAGCTTGGATTTTGGATGTAGTTGAGTCTATCTTACGAGATTGATGAGAGAGAGAGGTACTTCTAGTACTTCCTCCATGAACATGATGTTGATGTGCTCCTCGCTCTTCCTCTTCCTCCGTATGACTCCACCACGATGTCGATGGCATCTCACGACCCCCTCCTTGTGGTTCTCCGTTTTCGCCCAAATGTTCTTCATCCGACTCACTCCACCACGAGGCATCACGCTCCTCATACTCTTCATCATCTTCCTCTTCCTCCGCGTTTTGCTCCTCCAGCACGTTTTCATCGTCTTCACATTCCTCCACTGCTTCACCCTTTGAGGCTCGTCCCATAAGAGGTACTGACATCACCGAAGCTACCGAGGACTTCAACGAAGGTTTCGCTGAAGTTTTCTTCTTCGAAGTAGTCGAACTACGTCTCTTTTGTCGTGAAGAGGATTTTCGCTTCGTGGATGATCTTCCTACAGCGCCAGTGGTCGTTGACCCAGAACCTCCTACGCCCCCCTCTTCGTCCTCCTCCTCCACACTCGATGGACTTCTCGTCGAGACCAAGTACTTATCGTATGCTGCGTCTACGTGTGGGTCGTCTTCGTGAGACTTCCCCTCCACAATCGCACGAATCACAGTTCCCAATGCCTCCTGGTCTTCTTTCAAATGTTCTAGTGCAAGGTCGCGTTCTCTCTCGATTCCTGCTTTCCACTCCCAAATATCAAAAGGACGTTCATCGGGAACTTGCTGGGTATTTCTTCTTCTGTCTTCTTCTCCTTGATCATGTTGTGCTGTGTTGCGTTCTCCTTTTTTGTCATCTTCTTCATCAAGAGGCTCTCCTGAAGGTCGATCTACAACATCGTTGTCCTCATTTTCTTTCTTTGCGTCTTCACTACTTCTAGTTGAAGCTGCAGGAGCAGCGTCTCCATCGTAATCTTTCACACCATATTCATCTCCGTTACCGTCACAGCCTTTCCCTTGGTCGTCATGACAATTTCTATACTCATCTTGCTCTGTTTGCCCTTGTTCCATCCAAGTGAAGCCACGGATTTCGATTTCATCGTCGGAAATGTCAGCAGTGTCCAGCACCAAAATTGGAGTCGTAAAGTGCGTAACAAAGGCTTCCACTAGTTCTTTCGCCGCATCAATTTGGTGCTTCGACAAGTGGTGAACAGGACTGAGATCAAAATAGAGACGAGGTAGGGGTCTGCTGTAGTGGAGGTCCTCTTTCTCTTCCTCATAGTCAGTATTGTAATCGGCATCGACCCCGTAACTTCTCCACTCTTCCTCCTCATCACGTCTTTGTTTTTCAGCTGCCTCGCATTTGATAGCACGCCAATGACTCACCGGCTGCGGTGTAGCACTGACCACTGACCTGGATGAAGACGCGTTGGTAATTCGATTACCACGACTACTTCTACTAGCGCCACTTGCACTTGTTCTATCCGAATATCTACTGCCTTTCCGATACTCATCTTGTTCTCCATCTTCGTCACTGTACTTCTCGTTCTCCTCATCAGAATCCACATCAAAGTAGTCGCAGGCTTCGGGTTTTGCCAGTCGATAGGCAGCTGCACCTCCCAAAACACCGTAGAAGCGGGATTCTACTAGATCTAGCAACACATCTGGCCAACGGATTGAAGCGACGCCACCGTTTGATGGACAGCTGTGTACGCTTCCATACTCGTCCCATTCTTTTTGATCTTCCTCAGAAGACGACACAATACTGGGGCGCAGAGGATCGAGAGCATATGCTTCAAGAATCCTTTTACTCGTCTTCTTTGAAGAAGGAGGCTCATCATGTTTGTGGCCACTGCCATGAGCATGAGCATGACTATTAGGACCATGCGTTTGCGTTCGTTTTCTCGAAACCGGCACTAGACTTTTCGACAACACGTTCTGATATTTGCGGCGCAAAAAACCTGTGTCATCTTCACTCTGGTTCGAAATCAACTGCTTCTCGTTCTTGCTGCTATTCTTTTCGGTACTACGAGTTTCGTCCTTGATGACGCGTTTCTTTCCCCCATCAGTTCTTCCGGAACTAGACCGTAATATGTCCAAAAGATCTTCACCTTGCTGTTGCTCAGACTCAGAAACGCGAACATATTCCCTAAACGTCGTCTTCACTTGCGAAACAGCTTCCTCCAAAAACTCCCAGAAATAGTCATCTTCAACTGGTGCGTTGGTTGTAACCGGTCTTGCAAGCAATTCCCACAGCCTCACTGGAGAGGTCATAGCAGTTTCAGCTTTGTTCGCAGTAGATGATCGATTTATCGACAGTTGTGCGACGGGAAATACGTAGCGCAGAGGTCCAATGTCTTGCTTTTCTGCCTCGGTTAGGAAGATGTCAGGCAAATCTTCATCGGGAATGGCATAAAGACCATCTACTTCATGGTCTCTGTCGTCAGCGTCAGCCAAAGCCGCCAAAGCTTCGTCGACTCTTTCAGCTGCGCTAGCCCTACTAGGCCTCTCTTCAGAAGATATGAACGAGGATGAATGACGAGGACGGATCGCAGACAGTTCATCCCTGCTGTCAACTACACTGCCTCTCGTGGTACTTCTTCTGCCCTCCTCCACCGAAATTGATGAGCCTCGAGCGGGCCTGTAGTCGATTGCACTTCTCCGTACAGACTTGACAAATTTCTTCAGTGCTTCCACTGCCTCCTTCGTTTTCCGGTTCGAGGGGGGTCTTTTCTCAGGTCCTAGCAAAAAGGAGTCTACTGCGTTTGTTGACATAAAAATCAACGAGAACGAAGATTTTTTCGCGGCAGACGACTTCTTCAACGTCCACATCTTCTTCGCAACTGTAAAAGCTTTTCCGTCGTTTGATAGACGCGGAAAAGGCGGAAGCGGTCGTTGATCTTCTTGATCGGCAGTCATTTTCTTTGATGTAGTAGTCGATAATGTTAACGATAAAGTCGATTTTTTGTTGCTCTTCTTGCTTGCTGCTTCGGCGATGTTGCCCTCCGTTGCGTCTTTGCTTTTCTTGACCTTGATTCCAGACTGTGGCAACGCGGCGGATGAAGCCCCTTTTTCTGGTTCCACGCTGGAAGAACTTCTGGTTTTTTTAGCTGGTACCACGGACACCTTTTTTGCTACCACAGCATGGGCTACCTCTAAAACAGGTTTGTGCAGCTCACTCGGCACAAAGCCAATCTCATCCGCGATTTCTGCCTCAAGCTGTGCTATTTCAGACAGCAGTTCTGCATGTTCTTTAGTAGAATCTTTGGCGACAGCAGCAGCGATTGTCGCGCCCGCATCTTCCACGCTAGCTGGACCTGGAGCAGCAGCTGGAGCAGAAGCTGCTGATTGTGATTGGGCTTCTTGGGAAGAGGAAGCAACTGGAGTAGAAGTGCCTTTTTTTGTTTCACCTGGTTCATCTTCCTCTTCGCGATCTGCTGACTCGAAGGCTCCTGAAGAAGCTGACGCTGCAGTCCTCCTCCAGGGGTCGGAAACTTCGTCTTCTTCAGGACCTCCTTGCTCAGTCATGTGAGTGCGGTCCCTAACGGGGGAATCCTCAGCGGCGGGAGCAACTTTTTCGCCTAGATCTTGAGGCTGGTGAGGTTGACGTTCTTGAGCCTGAGTTCGCATTGTGTCTCTCTCTTCTTCATCTTTTTCTATCGACAATGCAAAGTGTCTGGCAGCTCGATTCAGAAGACCCAGGTCTGATTTTCTTCGGAAAACGCTATCGCCATTTTGGACTTCTACTGTCGCACCGTCTGGACCGACTAGTACCACTTTGTCGTCCAACTGTACCAGCATACTCCTTCGTACAGCTGAAAGGACACCTCGAGTACTCATGATGTGGACTCCTGATCCCCTGCTAGAACTAGTAGCGTTCGATTTGTTTTTGCTCTTCGAAGACGGTGAGACTATTTGTTTGTTGTTCTTGTTTGCAGTAGATGCAGACGCAGATGTGGGAGTGGTACTATAGAACAGCATTCTAGATGACGAAAAGCTAGATTCCGAGTCGGAGGAGCTCTTTGATGATTTTGTCGGAGGATAAAATATGCGCGGCACCTTGTTGGAAGGCGACGGAGGCACACCGCGTGTTTCGTTGGTAGCCAGTAGTTTCTTCTTCGGCTGCGCCTTAGCAAGAGAAGCAGTGGGAGACTTCTTCGCTTGAGAGAGAGTCCGAGGAGAAGCAGTAGGAGACGAAGCAGCACTACTCATCTTGTTTTCAATGTCAAAGTTAATAGAGTTGATTGACTTCTTGACCTGCTTCATGAAGTCACTCGGTTGTACTAGAGCCGGTGTTGCATCGGATGATATGTTGGCGCCACTTTTGTTTATAGCCGAATGGTGCGACAGGCCCCCGCGGTGTGTCTTGTTCATGTTGAGTGTTTTCTTGATTTTCGTTGGTTGGACCAATGCTGGCCCATCCGTTGCTCCGGTACCCCTCCTAACCAAAGTATCGACTTTTTCGCCAGGACCAGCAGAAGCCGTAGCTAGACGTGGCTGCACAAGCACTTGTAGTTGTCTCCCGTCTGGTGCAATCGTGCCTCTCCTGTTCAAGACAATAGGCTTCCGTGGATCAAATTCGAAATCGTCATCGACAATGTAGTTGACATTGTCAACCGGCGGATTGTTCTCCTCGTGGTTTCCGCCAATCAACTCAGCAATAGGACCCTTATCCACCTCATCGATAACGATATCAGCAATAGCATTCTGCTCTTTCTCATCGTCCTCAGATGACTCCTCCTCAAAAAGTTCGTCGTCGTGGATGATTGCTTGCACTACCGGGATTTCCTGTGTTACGTCATTCGTTCTCCGATCGTAACAAACCGAGGTGAAAGAAAAAACGTCACTTTCGACGTCTTTGGTGAAGTACTTTCGCACTCCTTCTTCAGAGATTTCCTGCTTCTCGACTGAGTATCCAATGCTTCGTTCTCGGGAGGGGACGATTGTGGCTCTACTCGCTGCAAAAATAGCAGGCAGGACATTCTTTCTACTTGCTCGTGCAGATGCAGTAGCTACCTTGAATGAGACTGCTTTGTTGAGGACGAGGGAAGTACTTCTACTTGTTGAAGTTGATCTTGTACCCATAGATGCTGCAGAAGCTCGAAGGCTGCTTTTCTTAGTCATATCATCAACAAGGCCTTTTATCGTCCCACCTCCATTGGGCAGCGCGTCAATGAGCGAATCATCCTTGTGCACTTTCAACAGGAGTAGAACCAACGACCTGTCTTTCCGCACAACAAGCGTCTCGACTTTCTCAACTGCGTACTCCCTTGCTTTTGTGAAAACTTCTACCGAGTTCCAGACCACGTCGCCAGTGTCGTAGTCCACTACCGTGACCGTGCCCTCGTTAGAGCAGGTTTTTACGGAAAAATTACATTCTATCTTCAGGGCATGATCCTTGACCCTTTTCCTAATGGAAAACGAGTTGTGAAGGATGGTACGAGTACTTCTACTTACGTAGTGAACTACTCGAAAAAAACAAAAATGTCGAAACGACCCTGCTTAACATCAAGAGAGTCGAAGACTTCACCATGAATCGCAACGTCTTCTTTGATGCGACTTCTCTCTGGTTGGTGACTCAGTTTGGAACGCGATGGCGATCGCTTTTGTTTTTGACCACCACTACTTGTTGAGGAGGACCGTCTAACGACGACGTCGGTTCTCAACACACGTCGCCTCCGACCACGAGAATGCGAGATTATAGGTGAAGGAAGAGTCACGTCTGCCTTTCCTACATGAACTATCGCACCTGTTTCAGCAACTACTGTGGGTGGTCGTGCGGAACTTGCTGTCGGTGCAGCAAGAACGGTGGTAGGTTCAGAACTTTGCGCGAAAGGAACGGTGGTAGGTGCAGAGCTTGTTCCTGTACTAGCAAAAACGGTGCTACTAGGTGCGGCTGCGGAGCTTTGTAGAGTGAAACTGGTGTTAGGTTCGGAGCTTCTCGCAACGACACTCGCGGGCGCGGAGTTTCTTGCAGCAACGGCGGCCGCTGCATGTTCTTGGCCAGACACACCCGCCAAGATGATTGATCCCCCGGCGTGTACTCCGCCGAGGACGGTTGAAGTAGACTTCGCCCTCCGTGCTGTAGAACTAGAGGACGCGCGACGACCACTAGTCCTAGTATTACCACCAGAACTGGTACTGGATGGAGCAGCAACAATTTCCTCCAACTGCATGCCCTTATCAATGCCGTCCAGAATTTGTGCACTTGTTTTGCGTTTGGATTTTCGATAGAAGACATCGCTGTCTCTTGCAGGTACGGTCTGGCCAGTCTCTGCAAAGATAAACATTGCATCGCCAGTATCCATGTCGCGCAAAACCGTGTCTTCCACTAAAGGCGCGACATCTTCGGTGCCATCCTCGTCGACGGTGAGAATGAACAGTGGCTCGTTAGGTTTTCGGTGCGGCGCAGGAAGTTTATTTTTATCGTCTCCAACTACTGCTCCTGACTCTCGTTCAGGGTCTTCATCATTCGGTCTCGGAGAAATAACGATCTTCCCCTTCGGAATCTCGCTCACTTTGCCAGTAGTTCTATTCACTGCCACATACTCAGGCACAACTGTGGCAGTTGCACCACGTGATGAAGATCGAGCAGACTGTGTGGTCGTGCGCCGACCGCGAGTAGCAGTAGACGCGAATGATCGTTTTCTGAGACAGATTTGCTCTTCCTCCACAGTTTCTACGATGTAATTGCTGTGAGCTTCTACTTGTGTATCTGATGAATGCTGTGCCTCAGCCTCTCCTGTTGATACTACTTCTGCTTCAAGGAAAACGTCACTACTGGTTTCCGTTTCATTTTGCGCCCCTGTTGTGGTCCTCTCTTTGTTCATGGCCGTTTGTTCTTCAACGGTCGAGGTGCTACTATTTCTAGTACTGGTGCTACTATTTCTAGAACTCTTTGCAGTAAAACGTCCAGAGTTTTTGTAGCCCTGAAGAAGATGGCCAACCAGTCTGGTGCGTGCTGATCGATGCCGTTCAACTGCAGATCTTCGAACTGAGCGACTGCAACTTACACTCTCTTCAGCCTTTTCCATGTTATCACTTATTCCAGAACCAGACCCAGATGCACCGGACCATCTAGAATCTGTCGACGCACGCAGAAACATGAAGTACTCACTTTTTCGAATGTTTACAACGGCTGTTTTTCTCAATTCGTCTTCGTCTAGGCCCTCGTCTTCATTTTCTTTTTTAGCAGTTTGAGCTCCCTCTTTCTCATTTTCATCACCTTGAAAATCACCCAGGAGAGCCTCTGCACCCGGACCCGGAGGAAGTTGAATACCGCCATCCGAGATCGAGGATCCGCGAAAGATCATTTTGCCACTGGTATCATGAGGTGTTTCGGCCTCAGCTAAGCGCTTTGGACTCGGTGGAGAAGTGAGGGTCGACCACATTCGTATCGACCGCAACTTCGAAAATTCGATATCAACTCCGTGATCATCGCCTTTGTGATCGATGTACTTAGCTTCTTGCTGTTGTTCCCTCTGTTCGCGCTTAACTTCCCGCTCCTTGAGTTTCTGCTTCATCAACAGAAACTGGCGACCGGCATCGTTACTACTGTGCCTGGCGGTGTTGTTGAAGCCGTGGCCTGAATCGAGAGTTTCTGGCTGTGAGGATCTACGAGAGGCCTCGTGTGATAGTGCTATCTCCTTCATCATCTCGGCACCGGTCGAGGAGTACTTGCGTAACACCTTTTGCAGTTCCTTTTTCTCTTTTGAAGAGCGTCCATGTACATGTACTGCCTCCTCAACGGCATCGGGCAATAAGTCATCGATGAGTTGCTCTTCTATGTGGTCTAGGTACTCTTGGTGCTCAGGATCTACGTCTTGATCCCCCTCTTCCACTTGTTCGCTTGTGGGAGCTACTTCCTCGTCTTGCACCAAAGGAGGCGTTGGTGGCTTCAATTCATCAAGACCATCATCGTCGACGACATGGCGAACGTTTTCGGCAAAGCTTACTTTTACTTCCTGTACTTGCTCTGTGGTGCGACGTGTCCTCTCTTCTCCATCAGCAGGACCAAAGTTTTTCTGAAACAGTTTTGTTGACGACGTTACGCTCATTTTACCCCCCGCATCTCCAACAGCTACTGCAGGTTCAACACTAGGATCACTACCGGCTCGTTTTTGCGATGTGCTAGTCTTTGCGTCTCCTGGCACGGTATGATAATGGGGCGCCGAAGCACTAGTGGCGGTGAAACCCGAAGGCGAGACACCTCGCGCTCCTCTAGCCGCCCGTCGACGACGAAGCAACTCACTTCGGTGCCCACGAGCATCAGGGGATGCTAGAAACCCCTCTTGTTCATGTTCACCAGTTTGCGCTTTCGCAGAACCAGAAGCTGGCTCAGAAGTTGTAGCAGCAGGAGCTTCTACTTCAGCTGTTCCTTGGAGGATTTCGGTTGTACTAGTGCCATCTTGTTTGACTTTGTCTTCCTGGTCCATCATTGAACTTGGCATCCGCAGTGAGACAACTCCGGAACTCTGCCGTGAACTCTCCCGTTCCTCTTCATCCGGTTCATCCGGAACTGGTTCGTCAACTGATGGAGGGTCTTGCTCTTCAGTGGGTCCTTCAGGAGTGGGTCCTTCTTCCTCGCCCATTTCCTCCACCAACAATGTTGATCCCCCATCGTCCTCATTTTCAGTTGTAAGACTGATTTGGGACAATCGCGGTGGCCGTTTTCTAGACACAGCACTCGCTATCGTGTAGTAATGTTCAACAAGGCTGCTCGTTCGCGACTTGCTGACAAGAGAAGCTCGACCATCAGAGTGTCTGACAAGGACGCGGCTGCCTGGCTCTTGTAGGCAAGCATCTGCAATGTCGCCAGGATGTTGTTGAGAGGTAGACGAGGTGGATGTTGTTGGTCTCTTCATGTTCATTGCACCTCCGTTGTTATCTTTATCTGAAGTTTTTGATGTCGTAGAGCCTCGCAAGGTCGAAACGCGACGGGAGGGCCGAGTAGCCGCACTTGCTCTTTTGTTCACTGACGCTGCTACTTCTGATCTCTCCTCATCATCGCCCCCTGCGGCGATTGTAGTCCTTTCCGCTCTTGCGTCTTCAACAATGTGATGCAGCTCTGCGTCTACTACGGGAACAGCATAATCATTTGGTTGAATCGATTCATTTGGACTTCCAATTCCATCAGTCAACATGAAAGCAGGATTTGTCGCAGACATAGAAAAGGAGCTGCTGGAACGTACTATTGCGTCTGCGATCTGTCGCAGATCACTCTGTGTCTGTCTCTGTCGTGGAGCACGTCTTGTCGTTGGAAGCATGACGGAAGAATCTGCACGACGAAGAATCGTGTCGCCGACGTCAACCGGCGTAGTTACTCCGTGCGGCGTCACTACGACAATGGAACCGTCAGGCTGCTGCACGATAAGATTTTTCTCTCCTCTGAGCGGTGTCACGATTCCTGTATCTGCAGAAACAAATTGAACTGTGGTACTTGTGCTTCTAGTCGTTATGACGATTTCTCCACGTAAGACGGTAGAAATAACGCCGAGAGGAGACACCGTTAAGCATTTTTGTCTCGCATGCGCATCTACTGTAGTCCAGACACGTTCTGGCCAGACTGGAAGAATTGTAGGTAGTGCTGGAACAGAGTCTGAGTCAGTTGAGCCACTGGTGGGTCTAGGAAGCCGGATTGTACTACTACTTGTTCTTGTGCTCCTCCTGATAGTAGAACTACCTCTTTCGTCGTAGAGCTCGCTAGGTCTTATCGTGCGATTCGTTGCGCTGTTTACAACAAGTCGGTCCTCGTCGATTTCATCCACATCATGTTCAGCAACACCAGCAGCAGGAAGGGAAATGGAAACCATGGCTCCGTCAGATCGTTGTTGTACGACTACCTCTCGCCTCCCATCTATACGCATCTGCTCAACGATTTCTCGTATCTCTTCTTGACCTGTCTTCTCTTTCAGATCTGCTATCGTCGGAAGGGGCGGGATGTTGTTATTCTCGAAGAAGAAAAAATCGCTGACGCTGTTTTTAGTGCTAGAATACGCTGAGCTGCTGATGCTTCTCATTCCACTTTCCCTGACGAATGACCCGCCACCATCCGTTTTGAAAAACACCGCTGCCACAAGCGGATCTCCCACGAGAAAGATGCTGCCAGAAAAAAGGCCAAGGCTCGAGGACATTTGTTGGTTTTCAATTCCATCTTCATCATGATGTTCATCTTCTGGCGCAGCGAGAACCGCGAAAAATTGGCCTTCATCAAGCGCTACTTCCTTCCCTGCAGCTGTGAGGATGGAAATTTCCTTCTTCGTGTAGTAGTCCACAGACCCGCGCGACCCGACTCCTCCAACCACCCATCCTTCTTGTGTCAGCGTCCTTGCAATGAGTGTGTCCTTCAGCAAAACCTCACTGTGTACGACTCCACCCGTTGTGGACGAGAGAAAGTCGATTTCAATAGTGCCATTGTGCAAGACTCGTGTTGACGCGACCTCTATCACTTCGAGATTCTTGAGGAGCAGGCTGGATGACTCAATTTCATCCAGATCATCATCGTAGAATACAAGCTGCTCTTCTCTTACAACACCGCAAAACATCTTGATTAGCATCGTAGAATAGTCTCGCACCGACAGCCCGTCTTCTTGACCAGCTTTCGTCCTTGTAGCCTGTTCTTCTTGCATATCTAGATGGAGATCTACTGTCAGATGATTGATTAGCTCATGGTTTGCATCGTGCCTGTCGTCAACGCTCAAGACTGAATTGAAGTTTCGCGAAGGAGAAGGCACGACTGTCGGAGACCGAGTAGCGATTTGGAGTTGCTGTTGCTGTTGCACCTGTTGAAGGGTTTTCTCTACCACCGGTTCTATCTTGGACTGCCGGTAAGCAGTGATCATTTTCTTGAGCCTGTTTTTTCGACTAGCTCGAATGTTGGCGCGCCGTTCCTTGCTCGTCATTATAGGCTTTATGGTTGCGCTCGCGCTGGCTCTTGTCGAAGATGCACGAGCAACAGAAGTTGTATTTTGCTCTTCCTCTTGCGGTTCACTTTCAGTGTATTGTGGTTCAACGTAAGTGTCTTCAAAGACCACGCCTTTCTTCGGAGCAACGTGAGGCTCAAACGCCATCTTTTGCGTCGGGGCGACATAATCTTCAAACGCCATCTTCTGATGCGGTGCAGTGTACGGTTCAAACGCAACGCCTTTCTTTGGGGCAATGTAACCATCAAACGCCATGTGCTGCTTCGGTGCTGCAACAAAAGAAGCACCATCCTCCTCAAGAACATTCGTCGGCTTGTTCTCAACATCATCTTCATCGTCTGGCTCCTCTTCGTTCATATCTTCGTCACATGCATCTGGTGGTCCTAACCTCTCCTCAAAATCTGCTACCAAATGTTCTATCAATTCTTCCTGGAGTTCCACCTTGCTTTTCTTTTTTTGCTCTTCAGCGACCAGCTCTTCCAAGCGTTTGTGTGCCAGGTCGATCTCTTGCTTTTTCTTTAATGCCTCCTCTTCATCCATTTTTTGCGCTTTTGCTAGACGCTTTCTCTCTTTCTTCACCGCTTTGGCGCCTTTTCCGTAGTACGATTTCACAAGTTTGGAGATCCTCTGTCGAGAGGCTTCTTTGACACTGGCTGATCTGTGCGTGGAGGCAAGAAGCTGAGCGTTGGTATTTACGAGCTGCGACGTTCTAGTCGTCGCCCTGGCAGCTGCTTGTGCAGAGACTTTTCTAGTACTTGAGGCTCTAACTGCAATATCAATCTTGGAAGACGCTCTAGTAGACATGGTGCTTGACCTTGTTGTGCTTTGACGAACAACCTGTGAAACAACAATGCGTGGCTCGGCTTCTGCCGTAGTGAAGACCCAATCGCCCAGCTGAGCTGCCGCTTGTTCTCCAACAGGCGAAACAAAAGTCAACGAACCATCCTCCTCATCATGTACTAGCAAGTCCTCGTCGCTTTTTCTGAAAGAAGAACTTTTGGAAGAGCTTCTACTAGCGCTGCTGGAACTCGTACTCCTTTTGGAGGAGCTGGTCGACGTCGATCGTTGTGATTGTTCTCTCACAAGAACATGGGACGAGGAGGGTAAAGACCTTCTTTGACTCGACTGACGCCTAGAAGCGGAAAACCTCGTCGATTTGGAAAAGGTAGTACCAGAAGAAGAATTAGTAGAGTACATTTTTCTTGAGACACCTTCAGCATCCTCCTCCTCCTCCACGTCTTCGTCTTCGTCGACGTAGCTTTCGTAGGGATTTATCTCCACATCAGATGCCGAAGTTGTCAAGTTCTCGATATGTGTGCCATCATGCGCAATCGCCACGATTTTGCCGTCATTCCTCTGGACCAGCTGCGCTTCTGTCAGTGGACTTATTTTGTAGCCGTGTTGCAGCTGATCATGTTGCTGCTGACCGTATAAAGATACTAAAGATGAACGAGTTGACTTTGTTGTCGTTTTTGCATTTTCGACCAGCCACACTTGAGAGACCCCACCAGACCCGTTACCTGGAGGACTACGGAGAATACATCCACTTTCTGGAATGCTGACGTGCATGGAAGGAAGTACAGGATGTTTTATGTACAGAAAAACTTGTCCAGCAGCAGTGTCCTCGCCTTCACTGTAAGCATCGCCAGTAATAACAGGAGTTCCCGCAACAATCGGTAGTGCAGTTGAGTAGTGAAAATTCGCGTCTTGGTCGTGGTCCTCACCCAAAAGCTTTCGGAAAGAGCTGGCTGGTGCAGTGTAATCCAAAGGAAAGAGAACCTCGCTCTTTCCCTCTCCCGCAACACGATAGACCGAGTCGCCGTCTTCAACAGTGACAGAGCGACCGTCTGGCGTCACGATGCAAAACTGCTGAGAAGCTTCGTCAAAGACGAGAGAAGTCTCTGTGATTGGCGTTGCTAAACCGGTTTTAGCAGAGATCAGGACAACCGTGGCGTCAGGCTTGACGGTGATCGAGCCTCGAGGGATACTTCGAGCGGAATACCTCTCAGCATCAGCGATAAAAGCTTTCTGCCCTCCAACACTGCGTCGTAGATCATCTTCTTCGTCTGCATCTTCCTGTGCCTCTTGATCTTGCGAACCAACAAAGCTGTCCGGTCGTCCGATTTCTTCATCATCACTCAAAATGTCCGCGAGAAACTGGCTTAATCTCATCGTATCGAGACGCGACTTGAGAGGTCTCAGAGGAATCGCTACGGGTTCAAAAGCTGCTTCATCAACGGTTTGGAGAGAAGCAGGCCCAAGTACATCTTCAAGAGAAGAAGTTGTTGAAGTTTGCACACGACTGCTCTGAAGATACTTCTGATTCGAAGATCTAAGAGAAACTGATTTGAGGTTGTCCGCAGCTAGGTCGACGCTGACAACAGAGGAAACCCTATTTACAGAGTCCACAGAGACTGCTGATCTATCTTCCTCTTCTTCATCTGACGACGACAGGCCAGCTAGAAAATCCTCCATACCCATGGTTGGCCGTTTCGGCAGAATCGCCGATAATTTCCTTGACCACTCCGCCTTCAAAGAGGCTTGCATCTTGCTGATTTGTGCTGATGTTGAGGCTGGCAACTTCTTTGAAGACTTCTTTATTGAAGAGGTCCTAGATGACGCTGTGCTGAAGGTTGTTCTTTTACTGCTGGACCTCGTCGAATCTTCTCGTTCTGTTGGTTTCGTCAAGCTGACTCGTTCCTCAACAACTTTGATACTCCTCTGACCCTGGACGAATTCGAGTTCGCCATTGCTATCACGGATTAGCTTGGAACCGCCACGGCTTGATGTCCCTGAACGGCGGGAGGAGGATGATGACGCTTTGGAAGATCGTACATCTTCGATCACTAGTTCCCCGTAAGCTGGATTTGGATGTAGCTCCAAAGACGATGGCTGCTCTGCTCTTTCTGGCTGCTCTACTGCTCTTTCTGTAGAAGTAGAGTCTTCACGTTCATCATCCTCGTCCCCTGTGTAGAAGCCCGCTGTAGAAAAACTTGCCTTTTCTACCTCTGCGATGGCTAGGACGACGATCGATGACTTTGCGGGCGACTGTTCTCGACGGGCGGAGTATGTGCGTGAGACAAACACTGAAGCGCCTACTTCCAAAGGAATCAAATCGACCGACTGTTGGCGTTGGGTAGCAGTTGTAGAAGCGCCAGTGGTACTCGTTGAAGAAGGTCTACTAGTGCTAGTACTGGTTCTCGTATTGCTAGGTCGAATTGCAACTACACCAGAACCATCTGGCATTTGTGCGAGAGTGATATCACCAGCATCGAAGAGGTCCACTTTTTGTCCAGTCTCTGTGTGTCGCAGTGCTGGTCCAGACTCTCTTTCTTCAGCCGAATGTCCTCGTTCTTGTTTCATCCTTAAGACACTTGCTCGCAACTGTTTCTTGTAAATGGCGGCAGCACGTTCGAGTTTCTTGATCTGCTTATCGGTCGATGACGATGAGTCCTCCTCTACACCAGGTTCGACATCTTCGACATCGTCTTCAGCAGCTTCTTCTTCCATCGGCTCGACATCGACATCGACATGGTCCATAGCCTCATCTGGTTCTTCCTCGAGTATTGCTGGCAACTTGAACTTCTTTTTACCTACTACTTGCGTGTCTTCTTCTGCGAATTGGAGTTTCCTCTGCATTTCTCGTTCCTTACGCACGCGCTGTCGCTCCGTACGCTCTTCCATCAGTCGCTGTTTGTAAATTGAACCAGCACGCTTCATCTTCTTCTCTTTCTTTGACAGTCCATCTTTAGCTTTGGACACTGCTGGAGGAGGAGATACATCTTCAGGGATGTAAAAACCACTATCGGAAACCGGTTCGCCGGCGTCGACTCCAGTCGTACTACGAATATTAGACCCGTATGATGTACTAGTGCTGGATGGACGAGCCAGAACGCCGTAATGCTCAACGGCAAAAGCACGAGCTTCAGTCACGGTGCTTCTGCGCAGTCTCTCCTCATCTTCTTCGTCCAAATTGTCGAGATCGAGATCTGACTCGCGAAGAATAGCATCTGCTTGAGAAGAAGCGGCACCCTTCAAAAACTCAAACTCATCTTCATCTTCGTCAGCAATCGCTTTTGCTTTCGTCGTGGTCCTGGTGCTCCTGATCCTAGTGCTCCGCAAGCTCTCTTGAGCAACTTCTTCTGCTTCGATGATGGTAGACACGTCTCGCAACCAATCTGACAGGCGCATCGTGTTGTTCATCGTCCGTCCAAGGGTCGACACGGAGCTTTTCCTCTTGGAACTCTTGATTGAAGAAGCACGAGTTGCTACAGAAGAAGCTTTTGAAGAGGCCTTTCGAGTTGCACCAGCTTGCTTATCTAGTTCCAGATCTTCCGGTATCAGACCTTCATCGTAGTGGAGAGAGCATGCGACTTCAACCACGTCTGTTGGATCAGCCACGTTGACCAAACACATTCCGTCTTTTTCGTCGTAGCGTTCAACCCGGTACTCAGTCAAAACTGTGCCTGCAACCTGATTGAAATCGGTTTTTTGATCTTCTGGGACATGCGGTACTTCTTCTGCGTTTTCGTCGTCCAGCAACTCCTCAACATCAACCGCCACAGGAGCTTCTTCCTCCTCAGAACCACTGATATCCCTAAGGAAATCCGACATCCTCACGGTAGACAGTCTTGACTTTTTCGGACGTTCTTCAGGAGTTGCCTGAGCGAGGAGGGCTTTTTCTTCTAGAATCCTCTCAGCTTCCAATGCGGACTTCCTTGCCCATTCGTGTAACACCTTCTCTTGTCCTGGATTCAAAAGTGTTTCTCTCTCTTTCGCAGACAGCTTTTTTGCAGCCTCTGAGAGCACGGCTTCTGTGTCTTGGAGCACTGCTACAGTATGTGCATGAACATCATCATAGTCACGACCCTGATTCTTTTGCTGGAGATCTTCATCTGTGCTTGCCACCGTGCTCTCCTTACTGGAATCACGCTCCAGCTCGTCTTTGCTAGTCCTTTTTACGCTGATTTGCTGAACCATGCGTCCCCGCAAGCGATCTCGACGCTCCCGCGCGTCTCTTGCGGTGTTAGCACGATGCAAGCGTTTTTCAGCTGGCGTTTTTCCCAGTATAGACATCTGACGAACCTCCTCCAAAGCCTTGGTCATGGTCCTCCGCAACTGCTTGATTTCGATTGGTGCCCATTCCAACTCAGAGGAGTCCTCTGATGTTGAGGACATAGCTGCTGCGGAAATTTTCTGAGACAAGGCTGCCCCAGGGGGCGGACTGGAAGCAACTATCCGTCCACGTTGTCGAGCACGCCTCTCCCTTGCCAACTGCACGCTTTCTGCTCTTGCAGTAGCCGAAAGACTGCTTATGCTAGAAATGTTTTTGTCGAAGAGTTTCTTGGGTCGTGGACTGTGCAGCTCCAGTTCAGGTTCCTCCGACGTAGACGAAAATGTCGAAGATCCTCGTCCAAGCCCAACTCTCTTAGTTGTAGGAGACGAGAGAGCAGTCAGTGCAGCCATTTTCGCAGGACTCACTCGTCCTGCAGCTGCCGTATTATCCTGTAGTTGCAATGTCAAATTACTTCTTTCGTCTGCGGACATGAGGCCAATGGCTGTTTCCAAGATCTCTTGCATCTCCGTCATCGCAACATCTAAAGTTTGCACATCTGCCATAGCTGCTGCGTAAGCATCCTTTTTGGTCATGGAGGCGCCGACTAGGAGTTGATGTTCTTCGATGTCACTACTAGATGATGAAGATGATGAGGATGCATGAGCCACAGTAGGATCACGGATAGAACTTGTTCGAGCACGGCTATCAGAAGACAGACGCACTCCGTTCAGCCACTCACTCATGCGGATCGTTTTTTTAGCCACCTCTGTATTCGCCATCATCTCCGTTCCACGAGGAACTGAGCCAGCACTTCCCACTGTACTCCGAAGCCACTCACTCATCCGAATTGTCTTCGCAAATTCGCGCTCACGCGTTTCCTGGTCCTCAATATCTTCGTGAACTGAGGAAACGATGCTGCGGATCCACTCAGACATCTGCATCGTGTTGTCACGCTTGAAGAAATTTTTTGATTCGACGTCTCCTTCACGTTCATCACCATGTGAACTGCTACTACTGCTACTGCTGCTGTCACTGATGTTGATGGTGGGTCGAACTGCGACTGCATTTTTTGTCGTGGATGAAGATAGTTTTCTAGGAGTAGATGAGCTCTTTTTATCTCTGATACTAGACTTCCTTGTGCTTGTAGTTGCTCTAGAGGTTGTGCTTCGTCTGCTCTCTCGTTTTGTCGGAACTAAGAAGTTTTGTTTCACTGCAGCCTCGAAGTTTAGCTTAGCTTGAGCAAGGTACTTGTCCTTGCGTCTCAACACCGCGGAATTTCGCGACGCGCTGGTTATCTGGCCACCCATCAGCCTCAAGGAGGTTGTCTGCGTCGGCTCATAGCTGATGCCTGAGGATCTCACGTACTCTGGTAAAACGACTCGAACAATTCCATTTTCAACAAAACCTCCTCCATCGGCAAAAACGTACAAGCAATCCCCCTGTCGCAGATTTGTGATCATCTTACCCGTCTTTGAAACTACGACAGTGCGGCCATCCAGCAACTGCACTAGTTCTGGCTCGTCACCTACGATTCTGACATTGCTGCCGAAAACAAGCTGCACACAATTGTTCCTTGCGTCCTCTGAAGAACTCAAGGTTTTGCTTTCTATGATCGAGGAACATCGAGGAATCAAACGTCGGTTGATGCCGTCTGCGGCTAGGAGGACAGACGAGCCATCGGCTAGAAGGCCGACTTGGTACTCCGCGACGGGAGATATTGAGGTGGTCGAGTTGGAGAAGTTGTCCTTTCCGTCTCCGTGGCTCAACATCGTCTTCACTGGGGAAATAGAGGGTTTTTTCTTCAGGATGCTATTATTTTTGACTTGTACTCCTAGTTCTTGAGAGGAAGCGGCAGCACCCAGAAGTCCGTTCTTGTTCTGAACGAAATACAAAGCTTCTGCACGACCAGGCTTTTCTGACCATCGCATCAAAACCTCCGGATGATCGCCTCCCTCTGCAGGACCTGGTGTAGCACCTCGACGTAGGTGAGGAACGCCGATGCAAGAACGGTGCGACGACGAGGACGTACTAGAGCATATAGCACCAGCTCCACCAACCCCATTGTGATAGTCTAGCTTCCTAACGTTTTCCGCCGACCGGTAACGCCATGGAAAGATGACTCCACCTGTCAGTGTGTTCCGAAAAACAAAGTCGCCAACTTTCACCGCCGCCGTCAAACCACTAGGTGTAACCACAGCTACACAAGTGCTGTTCTTCTCATCGTTGCCTTTGCTGACAGCCGAGGGGCATTCCACCAAGTCGTTCATCCTCAAATACCGTCCATTCGAAGGATCGTCTGGCGAAACAACCCGTGTTTTGTGTGGTAGTTCTCGGCTAGCTAGTGCTACATCAATATCCACGTCCTCTACGTAGTTACTGGCGTGACCTGCGCAAAGTTCTAGATCCCTACGCTCTATGACTTGAGCATTCTCCTCAACAGCAAATGGCTTCCATTTCTCAGCACCAAAACACGTTTGCAAGTATTGGTATGCTGCTTCGATGTGGCGACGAGTAGGTCCTTCTACCTTTCTTGCTGGCGGGTTTGCTGCCTGGTTTTTAGTAGAAGTCGTTGCGCGGCTCCTGTTTCCGTGTTTTGCAAGAAGTGCAGTCAGAGTCGAGTCATCGGCAACCACTGTTTCAAACTGACCACTACCTACATAATCTGCCTTCTTTCCTGTCGATGTCGCTCGCTCTTCAACAGTTTCCAACCTAAGCGGGACAATTTCATTTCTGAAGCTGTCGTAAAAGAACAGTGCACGGCGAAAACTCAGAACCTGGTCTACGAACAACCTTGTCCAATCAGAAGGTGCGGCATCAACACAAGTCGATGCCCCGTTGTCATTTGCGCTATAAACCGCCCACCAAGACGAGCTGCTACTTTTAGACGGATCGTCTACCACTAAAGCTAGTTGTGATATCTCGAAGATAGCGAGTTCCGCAGTGGCGGAGGAGAAGCATTTAGAACGCGGCCCAACAACGGTAATTGTGGCCTCCGCACGTTGTAGCATGTCCGTCAGATGAGTTGAAGGAGTGGAAGGGTGGTCGACAACTTGAAGGCGGTTTGTTTCTGCTGACACAGACGATTTTTTAGAACCTGCAACCGACAGGAGCGAGAGCGACCACGAAGTGCGAATATTTTGAGGAAATACGATGTCCCCATCAGGACGCGCGAATACCCAGTCACCGGGACGGAGAGTAATAAATGTCTCCTGTTCCGGAGCTCCGACGACCTCTACAGCGTCGAGCTTGTAGATCCATTCGCTTTTCCTCTGTGGATGTGGCTTCAAGTTCGGGCCAACAGCTGTCGCAGACAAAACTCTTCCAGTAATCGCAGAAATGAAGTAGGGAATTCTTGTATTTCCGTCTCGTCCACTTGCACCAACAACAAACTGCATCTCTGTCAGAGGCGTGAACTCCACTTGTTCTAGGAGATGGGAGAAGTCAAGTAGACCATGACCACCACGTCCTTGTTTTTGCATCACGGCGTCGTGTCCAACTGCATCCTCGACTAAAACAACCGTGCCGTTGCTCTGTCGTAGAATCATGCTAGTAAAATCGCCTTCCTGACGAGCACGTTGGGCTTCATCAAGAAGTGACAGTTCTCTACCGATGCGCTTTTGAACGACTAGAACGTCAACAACGCGCTTACTTCCAAAACTACTGGGCACCAACCGCTCTACCGGAACAAGATCAGCGTCGTGCAAAACAGACGGAAAGGCAAGAAAAGGAGAAGGATTAAAGGATGCTTCAGACTGTTCGGCTTCTGCTTTGCTCGTTGTCGTTGAGCTTGCAAAAATCCTCCCCTCGTTGGATATGTCTTCGAAGCACGCCTGCGGAGCAGCGTAGTCGAAGGGAAAAACGTAGGAGTTGTCTGACAAGCGCCTGTAGAGTCTGTCGCCATCGCGGACTGGAGCAGTGACACCTAATGGCGAAACAACTACAGCATGAAAAGCTGCTGTTCCAGGCGCTGGCTTAAGACGAACTAGAACCGGTCGTACAACAACATCTGCGATCCCACTCGACGCGTGGACGAGGAAAGTCGTTGCTCCACGTGCTGGTCCACATATTCCCGTAGATGCTGACGCGTCGGCCACCGCAGAAAAATCGTGATGAAGCGTTACTACCGGAGGACCACTGTCAGTGCTGCCATCTGGCTTCGTACTACTACTGGAATATACCTCCTCCACCACAGGTTCCACAGTTTGCTGCAACGCATCCACGTAGAACAATCTACCCGTTCGCGCGCTCTTCACGATTTGACTCCGCGTAATCGGCTCACAACAAGAACGAACTTCGTCGCCAATGTCATCATCGCATTGGGGGAGGAAATTGACCTGCAAATTCGCCACAGAACTTTTGCTGTTGCTCTCCTCATCCGTGTCTCCATCAGAACCGTGGTCCACCTCGTCGTCTAACAAGGTTTCAACATCAATCGTTGCTCTAATACCGACGTTCTCGTTCGCCATGCTAGGATCACCATCACTTTCCCTAGAAGACATTCTGGTCTCCCTTGCAGCCAGCAGCTCTTTAAGGTCAATCGTTGCGCGCATGAACCTACAGCTTGAGGCACGAGAATCCACAGTAGAACGCCCACTGTCATCAAAACCCGGCGTCTCTTTCAACAATTTATCAACGTCGATCATTTCTGAAGTTGAGCTTGAGGCTCTTGCAGCTTGTCCGTCCTTCATTTCATCATCATCTTGTTCATCGCTGACATCATCTAGTTCTAGAGCGTCCTCCACGTCAACAGTATCCCTAGTAGAAAAATTGCTGACAGTAGCACGAGAGGACCTTCTTGTACTTCTCGACTTCCTTCTACTAGTAGATCTCGACGAAGATGATGCCCTCGATGCGCGCCCTGAAGCACGACAGAGTCGGTTCACGTCCACAAGAACCAAAACCCCATCTAGCAAACGAAGTTCGCCCTCACGCGGATCAGTGTATTCTCCACTGTTAGGATTGAACCCCGGTTGCAAACAACGAGCAGCTGATGCGCCTGTGCTACTAGAAGAAGCAGTGGAGGTCCTCTTTCTACTTTTCCGCCCATCTTCGTTGAACAACTGCGACAACACTACTAAACTTTGCGTTTTTGGCATACGGAAGAGCTTGTCGCCCCAATTGATTAACAACGGATATGTCATGCTGGAAGGAGAGCGTGCGGCACTAATCTGAGCTTCCTTACCCAACTCCACCGCGAGACACTGTTTCAAAGCGTGAGGAGGTTGGTGCCTCAAGCTTTGCTGTGGCATACACTCACGAAGCAAGTTCCCGAGCACCATCTGAAAATTCGTGTCTTCAGCAAGGCCAAGCGCTACCGAAGAGCATGATCCCCCCAGAAGATTCAGCTTGCTTGGATCCACTATGATGGATGTAGAAGATGTCTCTTCCGTGTTATCGTCCTCCGGAAGATCAAAAGCAAAGAGATTCTTGAACGACGTGCGTTGGTCTAAAACAGGATGCTCAACAAAGTCCTTTGTCATGTTCATTCTCTTTCCCGTCCAATACCCTTCTAGCGCAGCCGACAACTTCAACGCATCCCCGCTATAGGGCACCATCGCTGCGCCAGGAAAGGCTGAGATCGGGTCACGCGTAACGGCTGCTATGAAGTCTTCTCGTAATGTATCCTGGTGTGCTTTTTCACGTACAGCTAGTACAGGTCGTCCAGCTTGACTGCTCTTCAACTTCATCTTGAGTTTCCCTATAATTGACGATGAGGATGATTTCCTAACCAATGCTGCTGCAGCAACGATTGACGGAGCTATGGTGATTTCCCCGAGCAGATGAAAACCGGCAGATGGTTCATCATATTCATCTTCTGGTGCAATGGTCGCACGAACGCTTGATGATGGGTACTCGTAGTCCAGCGGAAACGATGACATTTTTCGCATTTTGGGTACAACCGACCTTCCAGGAACGATGGAAGTTGAAAGACCGGCTTCGCGGAGGAAACTTTGAATATCCTTGTTGCCTCCAGGAGCTTCGACGACAGAGGAGCTTGAAACCATCGACGTCGAGAGTCCTGCTTCTTTCAGAAATGAGGGCATGTTTCTGCCACGACCAGTGCTACAACTAGCTACTACGGACGTGCCAGGCATGACCGTGGATGAGAGTCCTGCATCCCTTAGGAAACTTTTGATGTCTTTGCCTTGTTCGGGAAGAACTACAGACGAGTCAGACACTACTGAGCCAGATACTCCTGCTTCCTTCAGAAAAGAAGGAATGTTTCTACCCGCGACCACCGAAGTACCAGGTACAACTGAAGCCGACAAACCAGCATCCCGTAGAAATCCTGCTATGTCCTCTGCACCCTCGCTGGTGCCGGCATCTGGAAGAGCAGTAGAAGAAGTCCTAGAGAATCTCGTGTCCCTTTCAATGACGGAAGCCGCTGATCCTGCATAAGACGACAAACCTGCACTACGAAAGAAAGATGAGATCCTTTGTCCGGGTTCATCTTCTCCTTCTGCTTCTACACGTGGAACTACTACTACACTTTCGCCTTCTGGTCTGGGAGAACGAGGTTGTTGATGTAGTGACGTCGCACCTCCTACGTTATCCTTTGCAACGCTCTTGCTCCGAACCGCAGGCAGCCTCTCAGCGTATGTCAGCACTGCCGTAGCTCTCTCTTGCGATGACGAGGAGGCTCTTGCTGTTGTTGAGCTACCATGTGTTGCAGCGGCCACAGAAGATCTGCTTTCCCGACCGCCTAGACAGAAACTAAGCCAATCACGCCAAGCATGGTTCTGTTCCTCCTTTGTTGTTGAAGTAGGAGAACCAGAAGAACCTGAGCCCGCTACTCCGAGCCCCAGCCCTGCTCCTAGAATCTCTTCCTTACTAACCTGCAAGCACTGCGCGTATGCGATCGTGGTCACTGCTCCAGCCTCTCGTGAAAGTAAACCAAGCCTACCGCCAGCAAGAATCCCAACTTCTACTTCTTCGGGGTAAGCTCCTGAAGAGCACAAGCGCCAGCTGCTTTCCGTGTAAACCTCAAGTTCCAGGTCTTCCCGTTCAGCGATGACTTGCGACTCAGCAGAAGCGAGAGAAACACTGGATCGCAACATGGAGGCAAGGATTTCGTCGGAAACAAGTGCAGAAGCGACTGCAGTGGACTTCTTCGTCTGGATGCTGTTAGTGCCTGGATCCCGCTCTTCTTCATCGACATCTTGTAGCTCCTTGTATTTTTCGCGTTCAGGAGAAAGGAAGGACACTTCCGCTCTAACGCTTGACGAGCCACCGGTGCTTTTTATGCTCTTCAGCGCAGACTTCCTCTGTGACGATGTGGCAGAGGCAGATGTCTTGCTGTAGCTCGACATCCTACAACCATCATCAGTCGCATCAGTTTGGCTTTCCTCAACGAAGTCTCGGAGCCAAGTCGCGAGAGCTTGATCTGCTTTTTCTATTACTGCTGACGATGCTCTATCATCTTCCACCGACATCGACCTGCAGGTGGATGAAAACCTATTGCTTCTAGAGGAAGCTGTACTTCTGACAATGCTCTTGGTCGCCCTTGAGAGAATCTTCTCTATGTCGACTGGCTCACGCGATTCGGACACCCGTGTTGTACGAGAAGATGAACTTGTTCGTCTTCGATCTTCCTGTTTACACCCTTCCTCTACTATCTTCCGTGCCCAGTTAGCCACCACGTCGTCCGGAGCATGGGTGATCCAATCTAGCAGTTTGAATTTCTCCAGTCGTCGAGCAAATGCGGATTTTTCTTCTCCTGAACCTCCTGTATTTGCGACGACTGCTCCTGAGGCTTCTTCTTTCGGAGCGCCCTTGTTCTGCAAATCAACAGCACCTGCGAGAACATGTTGCAGCATACCTGCAAGGACGTCATCGTCTTTGTGTGTCCATTCGATGGACTGAGCTGCGAGCGCGGAGACCCGCTGCTGGTCGACAGGCTTTGTGACAGTTCGGTAGCCGATTCTGCTGCTTCTTCTATTCGGGATGTCATCGTCGATAGTGGAGCTCGTGCGAGAAGAGTTTGCTCCAGTTGTACTACTTCTACGACTATTAGTGCTACCTCTTGTAGCAAGTGTGGCAGTAGTTGGTCGTCTGCTATAATCACTACTCACGACGATGCTGCTCGTGCCACCGCTGAATTCTGAATCCGCAAATGCGTCACTCACTCTATTCGAAAATCTCGAAGATCTTCGAAGGCTGTTGTAGTCTGAGTATGCAGCAGACCTTTCCGAACCCGTAGAAGTCGCGTCGCTAATACCAGAATTCCGAATCCACTCTGGTACCATTATCGTCCCATCAATCTCCAATCGGTACACCCATTCTCCGGGAACCACAACCAAAGCAGATGCCGTAGCTACGCAGATGAAGTAGACACAACTATTGCCGGATGACGTGGAGGATCCAGGTGGTCTAGAAGACTGTCCTCTACCTGCACCAGCTGCTCCAGGCTCCAGCAGATTGTCCACCTCACAAACGCAACAGTCACGCTCCAAAACCAGCGTCTTACTCCCAAAAGTCTTCCCTTTTCTGGTTAGTTGGTGCAACAGAACTTGCGGCGCTTTCCGAAAATCGAGTTGTCCACATGGGATGGAAATCCTCTTTCCATTGCGTGAAACCAATGCTGGTGCTTGACCGTCATACCAAACAAGCTGGAACTCCTCGACAGGGGAAATTCTTTGACCGTGATCCCACACCGCGACTAAGGCACCGTCAGCTTGCCGACAAATCCGTCTGTCATAGTGGGAAGGACGACTACTGCCCTCCAAGCTTGACCTTGTTGAGGCACCAATCTTCGATCTTGATCTACAGCTATTGCTATACAAAGTACTACCATCTTCAGCTCTACTAGTTGTTGCCCTTCTTTCCGACGCATAGGACGAAGAGAGTTCGCGTTTCGACACACGCGGCAACTCGCGAGCATCTAAGTCGTCCAAAATAGCCAGGAGCTTTTTCCCACTATGGAGAGCTTCTCCTGTAGTAGTAGTCGAAGTAGAGGAACAACAAGGTCTTGTTTTACTCGACGTAGCTCCAACATGATCATCTCCTTTACCTTTGTCTGCCCACATCCTTCTCCTTTCTTCCTTGACACGCTCAGCTTCTGCAATATCCTCTGATGTTGCTGTACGAATACTCCATTTGCGATCATTAGTGCCTCCTTCTCCATCTGTTTCCGTAGAACTAGAAGACCTGAAAAGATCTCCAAAAAGTCCTTGTCGCATAGCCATGTAGAGTAGGAACTCTTCAAAATCCATGTCCATATCCTCCTCGGAGTCGTATTCGTCGTCAAAAAATTCATCGTCTTCAACATCTCCGTCACTGTCATCTTCCAGCAAAAGTAGCAATTCAGATTCTGTAATGCTCACTGGGAAGAAGGAGGAACGTGCTTCGATTTCAGATGGAACTCCATCTCCATCCCCTTCATCAAATAGGTCTTCATCGTCCTCTTCCATGATGCTAGGCAGTTCAGTTTGTCGAGTTTTTCTGGTGTCCCTTGACGCGCGCAACTTTGAGGAACGCCGGAAAGTAGAAGGACTACCAGATCTTATTTCTCTAGCAGAAGATGCGGATGCCGAACTAGTGCGTTGACTTCCTCTATCGAAGTATCCACATCGATTGAAGCAAACGTCAGGTGCACAATAGTCGAAAGGAAAGAGGTAACCACCGAGTATTTCGCCTGTACCATCGCTACTGCTACTTTCAACCTCTTCGATTTTTCGAAAAACACGGTCACCCACAGAGCAAGGCGCAGAAAGTCCAGAGGGAGTCAAAACGCCGATCCAAAGCACCTCACCAGCGTGCGATTCCACTACACACAGAACAGGCGCCGTTAGTTCGGTAATCACGCCAGTCGGGGACATGGGTGCAACACGACCGTTAGGAAGCGTCATAATGTGATCGACTCGCTGTAGTAGGTGGGCGTGGGGGTTCATGTTTGATGAAAAGGAGGACGCGGGAGATAATATCTTACAACGAGGAGCAGGAGCTGGTCCAGAATCTTCAAAGTAAGTAGTACATTCGCACATCACTTAGTCTCAGACGTATAATCGACACCTAGAAGTCAGTCTCACACTCAGTCTCAGACGTATAATTGACACGGAGATGCTGGACGAGCAAACTACAAACAGAAATACCAGAATCGGCTCCCTTTTCACAACGCCAGCCTTGTCTTCCCATTCCACAACAAGTCCGCCCTTCGCAGTCTCCACCAGCTTTTCGGGTCTGACTTGGCTCAGTCGTCCATCAAACGTCAGAAACCAAGTCGTGCCATCCGAGCGTCGAATCAATTGGTTCCTTCGTTCTGCAGCCCACTTTCTGCCTGTCGTCGGATCCAACAGCATCATACGACCTCCCTCATTCACGATTTCGCAATCTCGGATGACAACTTCAGCAGAAAGTGGTCGCAGATGCTCCTCTTGTTGAGTCTTGATGTCGGAGATAGAAGTTTCATTCGCGGGTCTACTTGCTCTCGCAGAACGTCTTCTAGTACCAGAGGATACGTCGAAAAAGTGGTCAGTAGAATCGGCAAAAAACAACTTATCATGATCCTGGAGCAATTCGAAAGCCTCCAGAATGTCTTCGATGTCTATTGTCCCAACCGAAGACACGGCAGAACTGCGATTCGTGGTAACGTTCGCAGTGACTCGGATTCGTGATCCGTTAGTCAATCGGGACAAAGAGAAAGATGATGCTGAAAGCTTCTTACTACTCTTCTTCGCTCCAGTATTCGTGTAGTTGCTCCGAAGCACACAATTTCCCTTTGCGTCCAAAGCCACGGAGGACAGACATGACACACGAGAGGAAGTACTACTTTTCCGTCTGGACGATGATCTCCTGCCTTCATTCTCTACTTCCTCTGACGAGGTTGACGACCACTCCTCCAACGACCCAGGGGCTGAACCATTCGTTGCACGAGTTGTGGACGTGGTAGAAGATGTCGTCGTTCTTGAAGATTTTCTGCGACTAGTTCTTGTGTTTCTACTTGCCGAAGAGCCTCGTCGAGACGCTCTGGAACTGCTCCTTCCACAAGAAGTTCTGGTACTAGATTTCCTGGACCTCGAGCTCATTCTAGACGCCCTAGAAGCTGAACGAACCACATACATCTCTCCAGCTGGCCCGACTAGGGCATACTCGGATCGCCCGTCCTTGCCTTCGAGCTTCATCACAAGCAGGTCGCAGACGTAAACGGAAGACGAAGTTGAGGAGGTCGAAGAGCGTTCTCCTGTGACTCGGACTTCTTGTTCACGACTAGTAATAGTGGACGACACTCCTGAAGACAAACCCATGGAGTCGAGTACTAAACTACTAGAATTTCTGGTGTACAATAGACGACTCTCTTCTTGACCTTCAGATGGAGGATAGTCTCCTTCCATCGAAGTTCCTGAAGACATCGAACTCCTCAAAACAGTGGATGTGAACTCCCTATCCTTTTTCGTCAAATCTTTCTTATCCCCAAAGTGAACTTCCTGCGACTTGCGGACTTGCTCAGTGCGAGACTGTTTGGAATGAGCTATCATGGCTTCCCAGGGGATGAGGAGCTTTTTGGCCTCCTTGGGGTCGGTCATGGTCTTGAAAAACTTAGTAGAGGTCGACGTTGAAGATGACGCTCTACTTTGGCCCTGCGATACTATTGAAGCTTCTTCAACACTCGTCCTGCTCGCCGGAAACAATGAGCACTTTGAGACTGGAAATACCGTCCGAAAGAGAGGATGTCGAATTTCATCCAGGCCTGTCGCTGTCGACATGGACGTAGTCGCAGATAAACGGTCTTCTTCATCGCCGAAAAGCTCCAAATTACGAAAGGCTTGTCCCAAAAGTTCCTCCAACATGTACACCTTCCCCGAACCCGAACCGTGCCCTACTCTAAATGGCGTCGACGCAGAAAACCTTCCCTCACGCGCATACACAGCACATTGAAGAGAGGAAAAAGGACCATGCCACAGATTCTCTGGACCTTTGAATCTAAAGCGCTTGCTCCAAATAGTGCTAGGTTGCCAGGAGTCGGCATCGTCCATAGACCGCATCCAACGAGTCTCTAGATGAAACGGACCGTGAGCGCGAACGGCAAGCATTTGACGCGGAGATGATGCTTGTCGTGCGGCTGAAGCTGATGAAGATACTCTCGTGGTCGCTGATGATGAAGCTGAAGTTGTTACTACAACTGTAGATGTAGTTGCTTCTGCAGGTCCTGATGTGGCTGTAGTGATCATAGACGATATTTCTAGTTCCCCCACAGCCCAATTTTCATCGATTTGCCGAAGCTGAATCGACTTAGACGGAAAAGCTTGGTGTGTGCACTCCCATGTGCACGTTGTGGAAGAAGCAATTGTTGCGGGGGAGTTGCTGATGATCGATAGAGTCTGCTTCTGTAGTTCGGCTACGTCCATGTCATTCGGTAACGACTCCGCAAACCAATCACCGTCAATTGATAACGGTCCCGACCTCTTGCTCTTCCTCATCTGGTCTTTTATTTCCGTACATTTGTTAGAGGTTGCGACATTGCATTCTTCAGATCATCCCTGACCCTTTCCCTACTGGAAAAAAAGTCAAGGATGGTAGTGAAGGATGCAATGTGGTAACCCTTAAATTTGACAACTTCTTGCTTTGGAGGACCCTGCTCTTCTTTCTCCGTTGTATCCTCGTTCCCAGCTGTTCGTGTTCGTGTTCCTCCCTTCTCCAATGATGCAATTTGAATTTTTGAGGAAGAGGATGAAGTAGCTGAAGCTGACTGAATCGTGGACTTCCCCTTCTTGCCCTTCCCTTTCGACCCTTTTCTCGACCTCTTTGGATCTGGGCTAGTGGACGTTTCGTCGAGTGGTGCAGTCCTCGGTCCTTCTGCTGAAGATTCTTGCACTGCTAAAACAAGGGAGTGAGAGTCCTGTTGTAGTTGCTCATCAAGTAGTTGTTTTGATGAGCTCGGGCCTTCAGGAGCTTCACCTGGTAAAAATGTTGATTCTACTTTTGATTTTGCTGAATAAAATGGTGTCTTGTTGATGATCATGTCTTCTTGTTTCGTCTGCTTCTCCTGATCCTTGTTGTGCTCAACGTGCCGGTCTTTTCTGAGGACCTTCTTAGGCTTGGCTTCACCTTCATCTTCATGAAAAATCTCGATATCCCTACCTTTCTCCTCCACGATAACGAAAACCTTGTCCCATTGTGGAAAGACATCTCGTAGACAGTAGTCACCTCTGCTCAAAGCTCGTAGTCTTACCATCGATCCCTGATGTAGCTGCTCAGTCAACCACAGTTCGCGCATCTCCTCTAATGCAAACGGGCCTTGCTCTTCGAAACGGGATGGAGCGCTACTAGAGGGTGCTGCTCCTGCAGCTCCTTCGCCTGAGGTACCGCCATCGTTCCACCTGCAAAACCAGTCGTCTAGGTACAGAGTGCGACTGAGGTTTCCATTTGTTGCGTCCCAGTAGTGGACAGCAGGAAAAAAGGGACCATTTGGGAACCCAGATATCGGTGTCGAGTGAGGAATGCGACCTTTGCGAAGCCAATGCTCCAATTCAGTGGTCCTGCATGGCCCGAAGTACAGTCCGTCTGGGGCTAGGTAGTACCAGGAGGACAGCCGAACTGAACCGCCAGTGACGAAGATCTTTTGCGTTTCATGTACAGACGTTGAGGCCTTTCTAGCCTGATCACGTTTGCTCCTCTTGTTCTTTGTTGCCGTTGAAGAGGAGGACAGCTTGTTGCTCACAGTCTTCGCACTAGCATCTACAGACGAACCAGCGCGACCTGGTGTCGCCCTAGCAGCTAGTACAGACGAACCAGCGCGACCTGGTGTTAATACCGTAATATCGGTTCTATCTCTGATCGTTAAAAAACCTCCCGATTGCGAATCAGGATTCCGAGAATTCGATGTGGAGGCAGAACGAGAACCAGAAGAGGAGGGATAGTAATTCGTTTTCTTGGTAGATGCTGCAGAAAATGTTCCTCCAGGAGGCGGTGCAATCGTCTTCTCGTTTCGTCGACGAAAGGATGTTGAAGGGTTGGATACAGACAATAGTGGATTCGGTTTCGATGACTGCAGCACGTTCCCCTTCCCATAGAGCGACGTCGAGGTAGCTCCTTGCGGTCGCGTCGCTCTGGATCCAGGTGAGCGATCACCGGGAATCCCTTGCGTTGGACTGCGAGGCTGCATTTTTTTGATATGCGCACGAAGTGGCTTATCCAGTGACGAAGAGTTGGTTTTCCAGTGACGAAGAGTACTCAAGAATGGACCACATGATGGAGGCCGTATGTTCCGACTAAAGCTGAAACATGTGTGTGGCAACTCTTCCTATGCGCAGGCACTAGGACCGCTCTTTTTCTAAGTTGAATTAGAAACAAAGTGTCATTGTCGAGGTGGTGGTCGTGAAGAAGATTTTTTATGGAGCAGTGTCATAGTCATCAACTCACTGAGAAGTGCAGGTGCCTGGGAAAAATTCGAGGGATTTGCGGGCGTAAGTTTGTCGATTACAACCGATTACCTTTCCGGTGTACCGAACACGACCTGCACAGACGTAGTTACCAATTGCAACACCTCCTCACCTCGGAAGACCGATGAGTGACTGATGGTTCGCTCGAATTTCCATGACCGATTGGTTCTGTTCCAAATTTTGTTCATGAGGGAAATTTGCAGCGACTGCGACCGATGTTGCTGATGTTTGGAGATTCTTGTCGTGACTGTTCGGCTATCTGTGTCTCAATATCTGCTTCTGCATAATTGAATAACAAAACAAGCTTGATATTTTGGGATGCTCCTCGCAGTTTTTCCCATTCACCACAGCGAAAAGAGTCATTTCACGAAGTCAACATTCATTACAAATCTTTGTTCAATCACCGTTGTAAATTATCAAAGAACTACAATCATCTACTAATTATTGTTCTTGCTCACATCGGGTCTTTAATGCAAAGAACGGCCACGCACGAATCAGGTGCATTTAAATTGCAGTGCCCTCTTAGAGCGTCCTTAGCTTCCATATCCTTGGCGTTGGCAGTCCATCTTTCAATATCAAGCTCAAGTTCTCGGAACATCAAAAAGACAAAAGTTTTATCCTTAGTCAAGCATGCAGCGTTGTCGTGTGTGAGCCCATCTTCACTGGTTAAACGAAATTGGAGTTGTAACGTTGACGCGCTTTCTCGCGAGGAGTCACGTTCACTCTAGTTGTAATGTTATCGGCGTGGTATTAAAAGATTCATTTTTCTTGCGCTCTATTAGTGGAAAAGAAGTAAAACGTGGAAATGGATAGAGAAAAACGTCATACTTGGTCAAGCTTCTTAGGAAGGAGGTGGAATGGATGCTTTTATTGCTTTACTCGATAATGTTGATGAAAAGATGAAGTGTTTTACTCGATAACGATATTAAATTGTTGAAATAGAAACAGCTTTGATTACTGGTTTCTGTTAGACGAACTACTCGTGAAATTGCATATGTGGATCAGTCCACCACAACAACACGACTTGCACTGAGTCGGAATATCTTTGTTCCATGAACTTTTTATTAATGTCATTCTCTGTGACTTCTATGTATCTCTGTTAGTGTATGTAGTTTTTTTATTGCTTGTTCTCGTGGTAGTACTTATCTCGACTCCCTCTTCCTTCCTGGACAGAAGCACAAAGCTCTGCAGGAACCGTGGAATTTGTACCTGAATCCAAAAATCAGGAACGACACCAGCGACCACCCAAAAACGCACCCAATCTGTGCTAGGATTGGCACCGTGTAGGTCAGACTCTTGAAGTTCATTCGCTTGGTGAGGACTTCTTCGCTACCATCGAGACTTAGAGGTCGCCATTATCCATCCTGAGGAGCATCCTGGATCCGTTTTCCCCTTGATGAAAACGTCTCTCCTACCTAGGATGACTTGTCTGATGAAGATGGACCTTCTAGGAAGATGAAGCCTTAAGAGACGCAGGAAAGGCTTGCCACCGTTAATCCACTGCTCCTGAAGTTCTTGTGCGGAGGCTTTGCCCAGAATGCCAGGAATCGCTGGATCCATGCACTTCCAGCTTTTCACCCATTTGCCGCCCTGCTTAGGGTTGGGACGAGCTGGGCCAGTCTTAGAAGCAGGAGCAGGTGCGGAAGTAGTAGCAGCAGGAGTAGCTACTTTGGCAGAGGAGGAACCTTTGGATTTCTTAGACGAGGTGAAGATGAATCTGTGAAGCTGAATCTGACAGATTCAGATTCCACAGTGAGGACTAACTACGAATGCGATGGAATTATTTTCATCAACAAAATTCGTTGCGGTAGATGTAACTATGATATGAGTCGATACAACTCTTTGAGGCTTGTCTGACTAGTAAAACTATGGACATCATAAGTCAAGCCTTAATAACAGTCGGAGTTGTAGTACTAGTTGCTCCACCTGGTTTCGCTACGGCTTGCTGCGCAGCAGCTTCTTGCTGCAGTTGTTCTTGCAGCTGAACTTCTTGCCTGTGCTCCTTAACACGACGGTTTTCTAGGAAGGCAGATGATCTTGTTGCACCACCTATAGTCGTAGAGTCCTCGTCAATTATAGAATCCAACGAGATACTAGAACCAAGGCCCGCTAACCGCGGTCGTACATTCGTCAAATTACCTTCAGCATCGATTACAGCGTCAAAAGCTGTGCTACGCAAGCTGACTGAACCATCATCCATTTCTATGGAAACCTCTCGTTCTAGCGGTTCAGGTTCGTCGCTGAGGATTTGGTTCAGATCTAGTTCTAGGTCACCGTTTGCTGCAGTACTAGCAGCCGTTCTGCTTGCTCGCATGCTGTGGTCATGCTGTTGTGTGAAAGAAGACGAAGAAGCGGATCTACTAGACTGTGCTTTTGCTTGTGCACCTGCGACTGGAGCTGCACCTGCGACTGGAGCTGCGCCTGCGACTGGAGCTGCACCTGCGACTGGAGCTGCACCTGCCACTGGAGCTGCACCTGCGACTGGAGCTGCGCCAGCGACTGGTGCGCCCGCACCTGCCCGTAGACCGCCGCCTGCGGCTGCTGCTCCAGCACTAGCTGCAGCAGCACCAGCAGCGCCAAGATCTCCTCCCCCTCCACTGGAAGATCCACCAACAGGTTCAGAAGATGCAGTTCGTCCCCTCACAGTTCCACTCGTTGAAGTTGGTGCTCCGGCTACTTCTCTTCTCTCGTAGTAGCAGTTTTGCGGAAAGCGTTCCATATTCACTGCTGTCGGGTTGTAGTTGATGAGTTCGACCCCTCGCCAGGCCCATAGAAGGAGTAAGCTGCTGCCCCAGTGGAAGACCGAGACGTACTGCACAGGCCTAAGTTAGAGCTACCGGGACGCATCCCTGAGACCATCCCGGGACCCTTTTTCCGCTTGAAAAAGATGCCAAGGATGGCGTTCATTCTTGAGGATGCTCTCTTGGTTGCCTTAACTGAGGATCCACGGCAGCTCCAGTCCCATTGTGATACTCGGAGTCCAGGTTGATAAAGGAAAAACTAAAAGAGTCATCATGAACCCAGCCAAGCGATTGTCGGGTTTGCAAGAACCTAAGAAGCTACCAAAACTCTGCCCGGCGAACATGTTCAGTGTCAGAATCCCGATCAATTCCAAGTACTTGCGAAAACAGAAAACCGCTGTATGAGCCTCGTTCTCGGTGAACACGAAGCCGATCGTATTGAAGAGAATCGTGCCCATGAAAATCGGTCCAATTACAAAATCCATAGGCAAGGTGCCGGTTCTGCGTGCGAGCCACGTCACAAACACGCCGTACAATCTCTTCGTCTGGACCTCTCGCACTGTCACGGAATGCGAGCTCACCGCATAAGCGAAAGTGTACCTAGAGATCTCCGTGGAAATCGGAAACGCAACCAAAAACGCGATACTCGCAGATCTTCCACCTTGAGATACCACGCCGCCGCCTACCTGCCAGTAGACCATGGACACCATGAACAGCAGAATCGAGATACCGATTACTTGCCATCTCGTCTCCGTTTGGTTGCGCCATCGTTCTAACAGCACGCGTTGCGCCAGCATGAAATAGATCACGAAAAAGCTCGGTCGTTCGCGCCGTTGTGCGAGGCTATGCAACGCGGCGTTGGCGGTTCCCAAACTCATTCTTGATGCACCACGCGGAATAGCCCCAAGACCAAGAGAAAGCGCAGAGTCGTGATCGGGTAATTCACCAGATGCATGTATCGCTTCTGCCTCTGCTGCAGCCGCAGCTGCTTTTTCCATGATCTCTTCCTCCATTTCTAGCATCATTTTCCGTTCCTGCTCTTTCGCCAGCACTGAGGATGTTTCCCGAGGAGCATGACTAGTTCTTGGCCGAATGGTATTATGGTAGGTCGTGCTGATGCCGTAACCCCCTGCTCCTTCAGCCAGCGTAGATCCACTACCCAAGCCGCCGTCGCCATAGTAGGCTTTCAGTTTCTTGACACTTTTGCTATCTCCGATCGTCTCTAAAGCGTATTCTGCCATGCAGTAGTTCGGAGGACACCTCGGGAGGCCTGCACCCTCTAGAAACGGCACGACCTGGTCTCCCCGTCCGTAGTACACCGTTTGACCCTGCGCTAGGTACAGAACGCGAGAAAACCAGTTGTAGCAAGTACTAGAAGGTTGCTGCACAGTGAAAACGATCGTTGTTTTTTGTTCTTCCGCATCTACGAATTTTTCCGGATCGGCTAGACAAGCAGCAGGATCTTGTTCCTCCAAAACGTGCTTGAGCATTTTGATCTCGCGTCTCAATTTCGCTCGCTGCCATGGCTTCATATTGGGCGAGCACTTCACCTGCACAAACTGCCAATCCCACTTCCACTTGACGGAAAGCCGTGGCTTGCTTCCTTCAAGCAGCTCCATGGTCAAGTGAGCGACCGCCTCTTCGATATGTTCACGTGCTCGGGCGGCTTCATCATGATCGGGATCGCCGTCAAAGTGGACTCGGACTGCAGGTTTAATAATTGTAGCACCACCATCACCATGATTCATCTTCTCTTGTCCTTCTGCTACAGCATGATCATCGTCGGCCTCTCCTTCTGGATGTATATCTTGAAAACGATTATCACTGCCTCTACCAGTTGCAGTTCCACCTCCACTCCTAAGAAGCTTGAATAGTTCTTCCCCCTGGTCTACTGAGGAAGCGCTACTAGTTGTACCTTGTTGATCTTGATCAAGATCATCATCTCCTTCCAGTTGCACAACATGGGAGGAGGAGGAAGCTTCTGCTTGTTCTCCTTCTTTTTTACCTCCTATCTTATGAGGACCTTGACCACCCTTATCAACTCTATACCGTCCGGGGCTCCCTACTTTCCCAGGACTTCCTTTTGCTCCTGCTCTAGCAGGACTTTTACTTCCTTCTTCTTCTTGCATTGCCAGTGCGTCTAGCCCTGTGCGACCAACTGTGTGTCCCCTCGTCGCTGCACCGCCAAAGGTGGGAATGTTGCTGTCGCTGACGTAACGTCCGACGCCAGGGCTTCTTGGACTGTTCGAATCATGATCTCCTTGATTTTGGTCTAGGATTTGCTGGTCTATATCCGAATCGATCGCGTCTAATCCAAGAAAGACACTATCCGTGGACGAAGTATCTGACAGTGCCGCAGCCCACTCCCGCATCGAACGGCCCTGAAGATCTGCGACAACGTTCTGATCCTCATCTAGGTACCTGGTGTTCTCTTTCACCTTGCCTTTGACGCGCGCGCGACTGCGTAGACGTTCTACAGCGTCGCGACCGGAAGTAGTAGGAGCGCGTGAAGGCGAAGAAGGTCCACCTCCACCTTGTTGCTGTCCACCCTGACTACGAGAGGATTTCTGTGATGCTGTTCTCTCTTGAGCCACACTTCCTAGGACCACAGGTGGAGATGCTCCGCCTACTTGGCCACTAGTCCTCAACGGCGCCAAGTCTGGCGAAGGAGAGGCAGTCGATGTGGGATCTGGCACTCGCAAGCGCGACAAAGTCCGTGATAATCGGTTGAGTGAGGCTCTAGCTCGAGCTCCACCTCCCCCGCGAACGGTCGAAGCTCCAGATGGTGGTGATGTTCCGGGTACCGGCGGAGAAACGCCGGTAAGCCTACTAGGTGTTGAACCTGGTCCTCCATCCGCCCCACTAGTTCCGCCTGGCGCGGTCATCTGCGATACTTGACGAGCAAATGGCTCGTTGCTATCAGCCACCGACGCTGTGGCTCTACCTGCACCAACTTCTGGAGCTTCAGGTACTGGTGGAACTTTCTTCCCAGCCACGGACGCAGTCTTGCCAGCTACTGAGGACGTCGAACTAGCACCTCCAAAACCCGGTATGGCAGAAGGACGGGGTCTAGGAGCTGTGAGAGCCACGGACTTCTGCGACGCTTGCATCACATCCTCCAAGGCATCCTCATTGTCGCCCAGATGTTCCATATACTCTGCCATGCGTTGCTTATGCTGTGACTTTTCACACAATTTGAAGAAGTCACGGTAGTCACTTTTGTCCTCGCCGCGTCGTACGGATCCTGGTCCTCCTGTGCGACTGCCACCTCCTGCACGACCAACATCTCCTAGTTGTTGTACGTTTTTCTCATCAATTGGCTGCATTAGAGCTAGAGGAAATTCATCTTGTCGAGCATCTTGGTGCACCTCTTCTCTTAGGATACGGGCACAAGATGGTGGGGAAGATGGATTTCTTGTTCTAGCCCCCGCATTAACTGTAATTCAGTGTGTGACATGCCGCTACCGGGAATGGTACTGGCGAGCGTTCCAGGTCCACCCACAGGTCCTCGAACACCATCGAAAGGTGTTGCGACGCCGTCCCCTAATGGATTAGAGACGGCAGAGACGAGGAGAATATCCAGTGACATATTCTTATATATAAGTAATATATAAGTCTAGAATCTTCTGTACTACCTGTAGCACTAGCGACGAAAGTGATGATGAATACGTAGTCCTTCCATGATGGTCCATAACACTCCCCATCTGCTCTTCACCTAGCGCCGCCATCGTACTCCCCAAGCCTCCGCACAAAATGCTGATGATTTCCTGTGCCCCCTTAGGATCCAAACCAAACGTTGGCTCATCGAGTATCAAAATCCCTGGTTGGTTCAACAGTTCTTCTGCGATGCTCAATCGCTTCCGCTGTCCTGAATTCAAAGCCGTAACAGTCTTAGCTTCAAAACCGTCTAAACGGATCTTTTCTAAGATTAGAACTTAGAACTTACTACCGCGTGGTCATCGTATCCTGGAGCTGGTAGGTTCTCTCGCGGATACTTTTCCCCTTGTAGGCTAAGGATGATCATGATGCTGTCCTAAGGATGACTACTTCTTGTTCTTGGTAATATTGGTTGCCTTAACAAGACGTATGAGATCCTCTCCTCCTGTTCATCGACTGGGCAATGCGGACATCGCAGACGTGCATGCAAAAACAAGTGCTCCCAGACGTTTAAACTGCCGGTAAAAGAATCGTTCTGCTCGACGATGCCGATTTGTCTCACTTGGGGAGAAAATGCATGCAGAGCAGCGGCAACACCCGCTCGGCCGATAGAGCCGCCAACCGTGATTGTACCCGATACTGGAGGAGCTGGAGTGTCGTCTTTAGCTCCTCTGTTGATATCGTCTTTGATATCTGTCAAGTGATCAACTCCGCGACGGGCAAAAAAAGACTTCTCATTTAGAACGTCGCCATCTTCCTCGTCAGGGTCAAGCAACGGCTCATCAGCATCATCTAAGTCCGAAACAATTTCATCTTCTTTGATGTCAGCGTCAACAGATGGTAGATCGTCATCTTGCTCATTCTGACCTCTTGCTATAGTTCGCACTTCTTTCTTCCTTCTTCGCGCACGAGAGGCTCCTACTTCCTTCTTGTTGCTCTGTAGTTGATCTTGATTTGCATCATCGAGAGTACTTCTACTCTTTCTCGAGACTTGTTCCCTTGCTTCGGAAGCGGCGGTCAGGGCAGCTGAAGAACGAGACCCTCCTCCGGGTGGCTGAAATACGCCGGCTTGGATTAGACTCTAGTGGAGACTTAGCTGCAATATTCATTGCTATCTGCACTGCACCTACGTAGCCAATCACGACGAGCAGGAAGAAAGATGTTTAAGTTTATCATCTTTAATTCAAAAATTAATAAGCTCCTGCACGACAAAGACGTTATATATAATAGAGACTTTCCTTCCTACAACTTTCCAACACAGCTTACTTTTTTCTGTTACACTCCTTCGAAGATTTTTATAGCTTCTAAACTGCAACTGCTCAAGACCAAATAATTCACAAATTTAAATCATTGTGTCGTAACAACAGACTCAAAAGCGTCGTTTTTCCTGCTCCAGCGGACCCCAGCAACACTAGGGTTTCCCCAGCTTTGACGTGACCGGAGACATCCTGTAAGATGGTCTTCCCACCGGCCTTCACGCTCACATTTTCCCACGTAAGAGAAAGGGCTTGCTCTGCAGGCTTATGCTTCTTCTTCGGGGCATTTCTCCGAGGGTCCGGACGTTTCATCCCGGGACCCGGAAGCTCCATCTTTTTTGATTGTTGAAGATGTTGACGTGTATGATAGATAATCTTCCTTGATGGGTTATTTACAATAAGCTCAATAAAAGTAAATGTGAATATAAATCAAAATCACTATCGTGCAACAGAAAGTCCTGCTGTGGCTGCATTTGGAAAAACATGGAGGTAAAAGATCCCGCCAAGTACTACGCGACCCTATCGGGTGCGCATGAAGAAGAAAAAGAAACAGAAAGTCGATCAAGACCTGCATCTTAAGACGGTCATCCACAGCCTCTTCGTTTATTTGTTCATCATATTGTCATTAAATTATCTGCTTTCTCATTAGCATCAGGAGGAAAAGGGTCAGGGTGGATTTTCATTAATCGGCCTTATCTTATGGTAGTGACCATGACTTCTTCAATCACTTTCATCATTATTCTAGTAGATACTATCTAAAGTGATTCTTCCAGTCTTAAAGGAAATCTGTCTTAGAAGTCTTAGGGAGCAGTAGCTGAGGCCAACCGCAACTCGATGGGGAAGCGTTATGTTGAAGAGGCAAAGGGAATGGAAAGAACCACATCTTCGAGACCTATCTTGTTCTTGATACCTGATCGACACAAAGCTAACTCAGAACAGCTTCAGCGTCTTGCTCAGGTAATGGTAACCCCATCGTCCCAGCACTAGTACCGATTTCACTCTTCCACTTCTTGCTTTCCTTTTTCCCATATCCACTAAATGTATAAGTAAGTAAAAAATGATACCTCTAATACGACCGATTTCGAGTGTTGGTGTTGCTCCCGTTCAGACCTAGAAATACGAAGATAATCCTTTCCTACCTCCTGTCCTTTGTCCTTTGATTGCGCTGACAATAAGTATCCGTGACGGCTGACTTGTTGTTCTAGTAGATTGATTGGAGGTCTGTCTCTTACTCTTTGATGTCTTTCGTCGATCCGTATCTGATAGCTTATTTGTTCTGCGCAGCTATCAAATCTGTACATCTTCTAAAAGAGTTTGAGTTGGACTGCCACTTCGACTAGCTGCAACAAGTCCTTGGTCATATAGTTCTGGTTATAAAAATCCCGATGAAAAACAATCAAGACTCTTGAGATAGATCATTCACGATACTGCTCAGTAATTTGATGTGCACAACGCTGTTCATGTTAATGTGGACTCGGACACGTTGTACTATCCAGATTCAGTGCACAAGGACATAATCTTCCTGTAATTCCTCGACCACCCGTTTTCATTCTTGGAATGTAGATCTAGATGGACAAAAATCGTGTCGGTGTCATGTGCGTTTGGAAAAAAAAACTTCGTATTTGATGAATTCGCAATCTGAGCCGCAGCATGATAGATAACGATAACGGCAGTCTTCACATCAATTACAATTATGTACTTAGTCTTATTTCGAAAGAAATGGATGAATCTGAATCAACAACAAAAAGCAACTAGGATGATGATACTGTGCCTATCGATAGCGCGCGGAGGTATTGTCATTCTTGTTAATGAATGTTATATATAAGGAAGATTTCCCGTGGCGATTCGCGTTGGAAAATAAAATTTCTTCAGGTTCAAATTTCGTTATCGTTTGTCCTTTTTGGTTTTGAAAATTGTGCTTTACTTTAACCCTAAGACTTGTAGTCCTAGTCGTAAGAACGTTCCATCCTTACCATGGCGTCGTTTTTTGGTCTGGTAATGATTGTATCAGCTTCATTCCCAACTTTACTTTTCTAGTCTTTTTTTGCTTTTGGTCTGGTAGTGGTATCAGCTTCATTCACAACTTTGTCTTTTTAGCCTTGGTCTGGTAATGGTATCAGCTTCATTCACAACCTTATTTTTCTATCTTCGTTCTTGGTTCTCAATGCAGTAGTTGTAGTTCTTGTTCTTCGCTTGATCATAAACATAATCCCTTCATCAATATCTTCTTTTGGACTAACTAAGTGTTTCTCTACCGAGGCTGAGCTATGGGACCATAAGTGGTCTACTTTGGCACTGAAGTAGGAGTTCCAGGCACTCCCAGTATCGTTGTCCCATCTGAGGTTGTTCCGGGAACAAATATCGCTACAAATGTATGCATGGCGCTTTTTCCATCTAGCCAGACCCTCGAGCCTACCCTTTTCCCCTTAAAAACGCGTAGCCTATTGGGGAGCCTCGATGGTCGTAAGAATGGAATAAACGTCACCCATAAAATGGAACTCCTATGCTAATACTTGCAGCAGAATATACCTCGTAGCATCGCAGCTATATTGCAGCGAAATCTGTAACGCCGTTATGAAGGTAGCAAAAATAGATGCCTTGAGCACGTTGAGGCTCACTACTAGCATTGTAAAAAATATCTCAACATGCCGATATCTCACCTGAAGAATCAGCAACCATCGCGAAGATCCTTATCACTGAAGAGCTCGATGATCTTCAATTACGGTGTAGCCTTCAACATTTTTCCATAAGAAAACGAATCCGGCATAGGCAAGTATGTTCCATCCCAGACCACAGCCTAGTTGCAGCAGTACGAGCCCAGTAAAATCTAACGACGTGCATCGGTATATTCTCAAATTAGAGGGCTAGAGCAGGTCGCTGACGCTATGATAGAAGATCATGTGGTAAGTAGATTTCTGAAGCCTGTTAATGAAGTAACTAAGAGTATGAGTAGGAACAAGTAAGAGTATGAGTCGGTATTGGTACAGGTAGAACATAAATAACGGATGAAGCGTGAGATAAGTGCAAGTGAAAGTTATTGGGGAATCAAGCAATTTGAGATGAACATAAATAAAAATTCCTAGCACCATTATAATATATGGTGCTTAGCGTTGGCCGGTTTTGAGTCGATAATTGCATAGGAAAAGCATCTTATAGATACTTATTCAACCATGAATATGATGAACGAAGTCCCAAAATAAAAAAGAACATCAACAAGGATAGGATAGGATTTGATTCACCGTCCACAGTTTGACCTGCCTCCTCGGGTGAATATGTGCAGCCACAGAGGGACTACGAGTTTTTATCTACTTATCCTCAACTGCGTCGTCGGTCCCTGTTGCCAACTTTCCCGATGAAAATGATAACCTACAACTACAACAGCAGCCTTAAGAAACAAAACTTCTTCGTCAGCCACTAACCGTAGAAATGGTTTTCCACCGTTCACCCAATGTGTCGCTAATTCCTTATCATTAGAGCTGCTGGCGTCTCAGTCTCTAGCTTAACACTCACCCTGTAGGGATCGTAGGGATCTCACGACTAGTCCTTTAAGAGTAAGACTAAGAGGACCCAGCTCTAGTTCATTTTAAGAACTGACTCTAGGGATTTCATCAAAAATCCTTCAAGAGTTACATATCACATCTTGGCAATCTGCAGAGAGAGATGGTAGAACCAAGAAGAGCTCAATCATCATCTGAGAGAGATGGAGAATCAATCATAATTATACTCTCTAACTCACCTTATCTCTAACTCTATCATTTCTCTTATCATCTCAAATTCTCACTAATACTAGGTGGACTAACCTTAATATAATTATCCCTATACTAGAGTATAGATCTTGAAAGAGATTGAGGGCTACTTATCAATCACGTCATTGTCACAATGATCTCTGAAAGCCTTAACATCGGTCGTTCCAGGATCCTCTAGGATGTCTAAGACTTCAGGGTCGCCGCAAGCCCATGATGTAACCTGTATACCGGAGTGTCCGATTCGCGAAACGCCACCTCCAAACTCCTCTCTAGGAGTAGCTTTATTAGAAGAGTAGAGAAGCTCCTTTATCAGAAGAGATAGAGAATGGCGACTATGACAGGTAACCGATCCATTCTCACACATTGATTGTTGTACTCAGTCACAGTCTCACACATTGATTGTTGTACTCAGTGTCAGTCTCAGTAACAGTGGTAAAATACTAGGTCCCCCCCTATATTTATATACGAGAAAAGGTAAAAAAGGACGATCGATCGTAACTTCGAATACGAATTAGTTGAATGATTATAAAAACCTACGATTTTTCTGTTGATTGTACTTTTCCATTAAAAAGAACCTGATTTTTTTGTTGATTGTATTCCGTAATCAGAATGCGTCGCGCTGTCTTCGGCGCAGCTTCATCTTCACCAGAAGTTTTAGAAGCACCTCCTTCAGCATCGTCTGCATCAAGGAAGGATTGCTGCTTAATCGATGAAGAAAACGAACGCGGGGGCTGATTTCTTTTAGCAGTAGCAGTTGTACTAGTACTTCCACGACCTCCATGAGGAAGATCACTCGTTGGGCCGTGATGATCACCATCTACTTCTAGATCTGCAAGGAAATTGTGATCTTCATGATGAAGTTCGTGCTCTGCTACGTCCCCAAAACCGTGATCCAGGAAGCTCGTCTTTGCTTTCTCAAGACCTCCAGATTTCACCACCTCCCCAATTTCGCCATCTGCATCCACAGACACCCACACCTCCTCGGCTAAGATTAGCGCTGATTGAAGTGGACGAGACGCTGACTCATAATTGAAGTAGAGAAGTCTGAGATGAACAATAATTACATGTGTGGTGGATCAGTAACAATATGCATATGTAAGCATGCGCTTCTTACGTTTTGAAGCAGAAAAAGAAAACACTGATGCTGTGTAGAGTACAAGAATATGCTTTCGTAGCTACCACGACGTCTATTTTGTCAGTCTTAATAGAAGAAAAGAGGTCGCGGAGCTTCCACTTCCACTTTGTTCTCCTTCCCCGGCTGCTTGTTCCTGCTGAAGGTGTTTTAGACTCTAGCAGCTAGAATGACAATGAGTATGAGTATGCATCAAACGAACCGCATCATGCACCAAACGAACAGTTTGTTACCGGCTCGTTGTTTTCTTTTTACTAAAAATGGGAATTTTGATGTTCCTCAAAAAAAAGAAAAGCCAGTCAACGCCAAGCACTTATCTAATACCAAGTAAGCGCCAGCGCTATCGTCATTGCTCTTTAAACGATGCTAGGTCTTACCACGTCTTGTCTTGTCTTGTTGATAATATCCATCGAACAACTACACCAATTAATGACTTATTGGACGAGAAACCAGAAAACCGACTGCAGCTTACTCGAGGACTGGAATGGCTAGTTCTTACCACCACCCTTCATTCGTAACTCTTGCAGCTCCTTCACAATCATTGATCGCGCTTTCATGCCTGTAGCTGAAGGCTGTGTTTGTCGTTCTCCTTCTTTCGCGATATATCTTAGAAGGGTTGAAACATATTAAATAACCTTTGGATTGGATATTGTTAATGAACCTTGTGACGGGATAGTGTTGGGATAGGATAGGAGTTGCTGTTAGGATAGGATAGGATAGATGTGGCTGTTAGGATAGGATAGGAGTGTTAGGATAGGATAGGTGTTGGGTTAGGATAGGTAGGATAGGATAGGAGTCCACGGGTCTAGGGTAACCTGTAAGTATCGTCTGGGCGAAAATGTGCAGCCACACTTGATTGTTCAAGAACTGAGTTAAGTTCTTGTGGAGGTGTAGCTGCCCTGAAAAGGATGAAAGCCGAGCCACTGCTCACGTACCTAAAGCTCGTTCATCTAATATCCTCGCCAGATTCAAGGGGTCCTAAAAAATGAAGAATTTTCATTTAGAACTACTACTACTACTACTAAACGTGTACTAACTTGAAGTAAAGATGACAATCCTCCAACTTCTCTACAGGTTAGTTTTACATCCTGTTGTGCTTTAAGTAATTGTAGTGAAAGAGGTGTAATTTTTCATAACGACGTTAGTTTCCTGTGAGCAGAGCCAGATTGCCCTGTGGCGTCATATTAGAAGGGCTTGTTTCATCCCTTCATGCTCCATGTTTTTCCAGCCACTTCATGTTCATTTCTCGTGGTCAAGATGGAGGCTCCGAAATACAAGTAGAGTGTAACATCATCATCAAATACTAGTACTACAATCACAAAGAAGAATTATAGATACTTCTTGTAGTTTTGAAAAGACCACTCTAAGTGATGAAGATGATAGAGCAGTCTTTTCTGATCGTAAAGGCTACACCTACTCTGCTTCTACCGTTCTTCTAATAAAGTCTCGTCCTTGCTTCGTGATTCAGTTCACTATTCTAAGTAGGCCAGCTCTACGCACTGGTTGTAGTTCCAGTGCGTAGAGCTGGCCTACTTAGATCCAACAATACGATGACTTCTATTATCTTCATAAGCTATCCCGATTTCCCGATCTCGTTCGCCGCCTGCTGCTTTGATTAGACCTAGACGGTGCCGGAAAGATAAGTAAGTACTTACATAGTACTCACCCATACGCTACCTTAGGAGGAGGGACGAATGCAGTCCCTGCTTTAGTACTGCTGAATGCTCATCAAGGTGTCTTGTTCCTCATTGAGACTTATTCTAAGATGATGCTGACGCACCACTCAAAGTCATAGATGATACTCATCCTCATGTAGACCTTCAGGAGAGTACAAGGAACTTATTCTCTTTGATGAATGACTGAGTGAACCTGTCTCTGGCCTCAATATCAGTGCTGCCCTCCCTCCCGCGCTGTCGACCCTTTCATAGAATTAGAGCTTTCATAGAAAAAGGGCTAAGCCGAAGGATGAATGACGTTAAGAGCATGCTTCGATTCAAAAGAAGCAGGAGGTCGTGGAAGAGAAAAATAAAAGAGAAGATGAGGAAAAAGGAAAAGTAGATAAAAAATTGATGTCGATTGTAAAAAAGCTACGCTGGTAGCCTTAAAGGAAGCAATTTTTCGGATAACGTTTCATGTCTTCCTCCGATGGGTTTTTGTCCAACAACGTAACATCGCGCCAAGCCCACAGCGCTAATAATAAGCCACCCCAATCACTTAGAAGAGGAGAAGAGAGGGGTAAGAGAAAGAGGCGAGGTAACACGGGAACCGCTAACAGTAAGTGTAAGCCACCCCAGTTAATAGGAGAGGTACAGGTAGCCTCTGCATGATCCACAACATTCAATGTGGTGCTGAGATGAATACTTAGTACCTGTACTGTAAGTAAAAAAAAGAAAAACCACCTTGAGTCTTCGAACAAGATGATATCCTACTTCTTGTTGTTAGTTTCAGATGATTCAGTCTCTTACCATCAACAGATTATCGTTCCACAAAGTAGCAGCTCAAAGTCGTCATAATCTATCATGAAGTACTTTCCAAGAAAATCTTCAGCATTTGAGAAGTAATTTCTCCAAATTTCCCGTGTAGGATTTCAATGTAGGATTTGAATGTATGTGAACGCTTTTTATTCTACTATTCCCCACTCAAATGAATTGTCTTCTAATTCTCATGCTTATGCTACTTTAAATGGTAGAAAAGAAAACTGAATCCGCGAGTCCCTCGACACCTGTTCCTCTTAAACAAAAAACTACTTACATTGAAGCGCATGGAACCCACGAAACATTCTCTTAAACCGAAACGTTGACACCTGTTCCTCTTAAATGAAACATTGAAAGGTATGGAATCCACGAAAGCCAAGCAGGTACTTGCAATCCAGGCGCCAGAACCGGCGACCACGTGGAGAACGGGAAAACGATGATCGACACGAAGAGACCAACACGTCGATTGTCAGGTACGGGTTAGAAGAGGAAGAGAACGTCGGTTGTCAGGTACGGGTTAGAAGAGGAGCTATGGAGGAGGAAGAGGAGGGGGAGGAGGAAGAGGAGGGGGAGGAGGAGCAGTTGGTTGGTTCCGGTTCCGCTTCCGCGCCGAAAAAAATATAAAAAAGGTGAGTGAGTATGATGTCGATGGATTATTCAATATTACATATATGCGTAGTGGAAGTAGAGTACTCAGCGGTTTGGAGTGGATTGTTGTGTGATATAGAGAAGGTTCTCGGATCCAGATGAACTTCATCTCAGGTATTCTGAAAGTGGATAATTCTTTGAGCCTATGGGAACCTTAACCTACGGGAACGGGGATAAAAAGCAAAGAACAAAAGAACTCTGGGACACTCTGCCACATAATTTAATGTACCGAGAAAGGAGCCCAAAGCCTGCGCTGCAAATTGATTCAAACAGAGGATGCCTAGCAATTCCAGCCACTTCCACACCACAAATTAGAGCACTCCTAAGAATCTTCTTGAATCTATTGAATTTTGGCGAAGCTAGCTTCTTTCTTCTTCTTGAAACTCATTCTTAATATTGCTATTGGCCTGTCAGCTTTCCTCCCCCCTTGCCCTTGCAGACCAGATTTATGTGAAGAATAATTATAATTCAACATCGAAGTAGATATCCAAGATGCCGTCGCTACAAGCTGCCTTAAACATACGACGGTTCCCTTACGTACTCGAGCTTCGTGAATTCTCGATCCTCGTTGCTGTTTGCGACGCCAAATCCCAACGCCACAAAGAGTATTGTGCCCATGTACAGAGGACCCATCAGAAAGTCAAGAGGGAAATTAGAGGAAATTCCACAAAAAAGACAAAGAGGTAGGAGTAAAATAAAAGCTACAGGATCGGGAGCAGGAGAAGTTTCATCAAGATGCAACAAGACACCACCAGCATGATGTAAAGTAGAGGCGTGAAGTGTTCTGGGGCTGTTTGTATCGATTCGACGCTCCGGGCGACGCGTCCGATCCCGCCGGATTTTCTTGTGCTCTATTTGTGTTATGCTATGGTGGTCGTTGCGATCGACTACGGCATGTCTAGCCTTCACAGTCACCGCCGCCAGTTATGGCATGCCGGGCTAGGTGTGCAGGAGGCGGCGACTGTGGGTAGGTAGCGTCTGGCGGTGTAGCGCGGTCGGGCTGTCTGACGGCCGTTCTTGCCTCCATCTCAGTCGCTCTCTTCTGTCCCAGGCATTGACGTTCCTACAGCTTGCGCGCTTCGTCGTTCGTCGCTTTTTGGCTTTCGTCTTGTCTTCGTTCTGTTTGTCGTCACGTGCTAAATTTCTTGTCTCCTCCTTGCTCTTATTTCCCCACCACCTATCTCGGCCCCGTCCAATCGGAGCCGGCAGCGATGGCTTTACCACAGCGGCCGCTACTCTTTTCCCCTTGTCTTCCCTGGAGGTGTCCGTATTCTTCTAAGAATCTTTGCTAGTCGAGCCCCAAGTAAACTCTTCCAAAAGTATACATTTCTTGTTCTTACTAACAAGTAGATTCTGAATAGACTCCCCAGACCTTAAGCACGGTTCCGCATCGACGCGCGAGCCAGGCAGCAAAGGCACCATACAAGCGTTTCGTTTGATGCTCTCGTAACGTCACTGCATGTCCCAAAGTACAAAAAGCGAAGCCATATCTTGTCACTTTTAGAAGAAGAAAAGCAGTACTAAGTAAGATGTCATGTCAGTGTGTGCTCCTAATATGACCATCCGTGATCAACACCGCAGAAGCAAAGTAGTAAGAGATCTACTTCGCCCTCGTATCAGAATCATTATCATAGGGCCCCTCTGCCTAAGTGCTGTAATTCGTGATCTCGAGATTATGATCTTCTTTGAAAGTTGTCTGTATCTTCGTTGCCTTAATACTTCCTGGAGTGCTGGAAAAACGAGAAAAAGACTGATAGTACCCGTTCGCACAGCCTGCGAACCGAGGCCGCCTTGTGCGACTTTCTGCCAATAAATGGACGCAAGCATGACAAGGAGCAACGACACGCTCCAAATTAGAGCTCACCCTAATCCACGACCTTGAAAGCCATCCCGACGCCTTTTCCCACTTGAAAACGGGCCCGAGATGCTTCTATTTCCAAAGATGGATTAGCATTAGGGGAAGCCTTAACCAAAACTGCCATTTCGTCTCAGTTCCGTGTCTAAACCGTTCGATCAGCACCCGTTTGGACAGGGTGGTAAACTGTACCCACCAGGAGGGCCTATTTCGTTTGGCAATCTCCTCCAGAAGCATTTCCCGCAAAGCGGATTCAGTTTTGACGCCACCTAAGCCCTGCATTAGAGGAGCTCAATGGAAATGAATTCTAATTGATTCACCTCTTGCTCTTGCTCTCCCCTGTTCTTGCTCTGCAATATTCCGACTCTGACTGTGAGGGAACAAACAGAGAAAATGAAATGAAGTCGGCTGGTGGATTGTATTAACGCCACAGCCTTACCAGCTAAATATACACCCAAGCATAATTTATATGTATCTGATCTGATCGATATCGGCTTCGAAACAAAAAAATATGTCAGATCATGTTAAGCACAACTACTAGCCTTAACTGTGCCACAATCAGTTGGTTTAAGCGGCGCACTTCTTCTAGGTCGTCTATCTCGAGATGCATCTCTTCAAACATTAATGCTTCTTGTTGCTTCGCCAACGAGAGAAATTTTGGCTGCTCATCTTCACCTGTTAAGTGGATGTGGAATTATGTTTTTTATGTGCTAATGCTTGAATGTTTACTATGATTATGAATCTATCTCAGCCAATTAGAAGTACTTAGCTCCAAACATCTCGAGAGTCTAAGCTTAAAAATTGTCTGGGTTGGTTACTAAAGCTCGAGATCGATAGTTGGAAAGCGGTTAGCGAGATGCTCGCCTCTGTACCTGTAGTACCTTCTTGTTGAGTCGCCTGCATGTCCAGCAAGTATTTGTGCTCGTAGAAGTTCTTTACGTGCTTCATTGTCATCTTATCTGCAATGAGAGCAACTGTTAGAGTATTCTCGCTCCTATGGGAACAAAGGGATGCCAAGACTAGAAACAAGATGGATGAAGGTGCTGAGAGTGAGAGCAAAGATGGATACTAAATGTTGACCATAAAACAGCGTACTCTGCTAGGCCGTAGCTGCGTGGACATGGCGGAATTCCCGTGAGCTCCAGAAAAGCGCCTACTTCCTCGCCTCTTCCATAAAAAACCGTTTCACCTTGAGCACTTCTTAGAACAACAACAAGGAATAGATAAATTGGCAAGGTAAACTGTTTTTACCTTCAGCACATTTGCTTCTAGAAAATGAAAATATTATAATAAATTGACAAGCTAAACTTCCAGAATATTGGTATTTGCATTTCTACATGATCTACCCCACAGCATAACATGAACAAGACCCTGGGCAATATCGCGTATGCACCACTGAAAGGCTCTGAGTTAGAGCTATCGCGTTCGCATCCCTAAGCCCTAACGACCCATCCTTGGCTTCATTTTCAGGTAGAAACAAAACATAAGCCCTAGCCCATCTTCCTTGGCTCCATTTTCAGGTAGAAACAAAACAAGGTCGTATCTTAATCTTCTATGTTCTTCGTCTAATATCAGAAATGGGAACAGAAGCGGCATCGCGTTTCTTTTTCAAATAGAAAAAGAAGAACCAAGAAGAGCAAGGCGGAAATAAGATAAGTTAGTACTCAAAGCAAGGAATAAGACAAGGAATTAATCAAGTTAGTACTATGTATATATAAGCAAGTTAGTACTAAGCAAGGATTAAGGAATAAGACATGCTTCATGAAGTTCATGATGAAGCCTTAAGTGACATGGAAAAAATAATCGTGGTGCCTCGATCTTCCTTGTCGGAGTAGAGAGAAGGGTCCTTTGCAATCGCATCTTGTTCCTCCGGACTCATCTTCAGAATTTCATCTAACATCAAAATGTCACGCCGGTGCTATTAGAAATCAACGACCTCGACATCTTCTATAGATACCTATGCTGGTATAGAAAATGGTAATGTAGTTGTACTCAAGCTGCTGCAAACGTAAATTATCACGTTGAGATCGAGATGGATCATCTCAACAAAATAGAGTTGGTGTTGGATAGGAGTTCAAATAAGGTCTTTCGTTCATCTTGTGCTCACATCCCTCTAACAACGACGTCTACGTACAATTACTACGACTACCTGTACCTCTACCTCTGAGAGTCCCAAGAGCCCAAGAAACTCAACATAAATTTTCGCTTGTACCCAAGGAGGTAAGTTCGATCCGCCACAGCAACCTACTCCTACTTGATGTTCCTCTAGTTCAAGCACTAGCATCTTCCTTGCTTCTTTTAGAAATACTGGGCAAAGGCAATCACTGTATCTAAGCACTTATATCCCTAGTAGTTGCAGCTGGGTGTGGGTGGGTTCATCCCCTTGAGACTTCTATCTTTCCTTAGACTCTGGTCTCTGCTGCTGCTCTCCCCCCAAAGAACTAAATTATTTGCGAAGTTATAAGAGCGGAAGGGATTTTTTTATATAACTATGCTCCCCACTTGAAGAACGACTAGAAGGACCCTCTACAGTGACTTCTCAATACACGACTTAGTGTCGAGGAATACCTCCAAAGAACTCGATGTCTTTCCAAAATAAGCAGAATCTTTCTGAGCCTCGAAGCCATCGCCTTAGCTGTTGTAAATCAGCTAGTGTCGTTCCCAGCATATCATCCTCTTCACCTCCGTCGTCAGCCGTGTATTGCTGCCCCAGTAAGCTCATCACTTTTGCAGGGATAGGAGGTTAGAGGACTATGTGAGTACATAGGACTACTTATGTGTTGCTGGAGGAAGAGGACCCGAGCTGCAACAATATTGTTATTGACTCCTTGGTTGATCGATGGTGCCTAGCAAGTACTAGAGGTCAAGGCTCGAATTGATTGCATTCCAACTAGGAGTTGCTGGAGGAAGTAGAAGACCCGAGCAACAATACTGTAGTACAATGCAGTTTTCAACAAGTTAAGAAGCGCCGCGCTGCAGGAGATGAGTGAAAGAATTCTCGATGTATTTGTACTATCTTCGCTTGACTCTTCTCGTACAACTACGTAGTCGTGACCAAGAAATTTCAATTTGAATTTCTGTGAACATCATGAAACTTGCTCTGCAAATTAAGAATCTTGACTCAACATAATTGCAGGAGATGTTTCTTATTTCTCGTACACCACGTGCGCGCAAGTTGCCTGAACCACTGTCGCCTGCCTCTTCCTCCTCTCCTTCCTCCAGTGCTCCATCGTCACCCGCCTCTCCCTCAGAAATAGCAGGCTTCTTATACATATTGGCGAAGAATTAGAACGCAACACAATTCATTGATGTCTTAGGTTTTGTATGAAAAAAGGCTCGCAGGTTTCAATTCACTGTCTTACTAGGTTTTCTTTTCACACTGGTATAGCGCGGTCAGTGTTGATGAAGAGGCAGCTGGTTTTGGTAAAAATGGGGGGGGGTCTACTGGAAGGATCTACTATGCTTCCAATCTAGTCGTGTGGGATCCATTCTAGTAGTACTGTAGGACGTAGTATGAGTCCTTGCTCACACACGCTCTACACTTTCTCAGCAAGTGAATACTGTAGGACTTGCAGCACTTGCTGAGAAAGTGTAGAGCGTGATCCACAAAGACTACCCTGCGTCGCGGACACCACGAAAAAATGTTCCACCCCTCGACAACATCAGCCAGAAGTAGGCTTAGTTGTAATCATCTTTTTCTTTCAGGCTACTTAGTAATCATCTTTCGCTGCCCACAAAATACATCTAACGTTCACAAGCACGGCTCATCTTACTTTGTCTGTAAAATACATCTAACGAAAAGTCATCTACCTAGTGCTCAGTCGATGTGCGGCCTTAAAAAATAGCTGTAGTAGCCTCCAAAAGCTGCGATGACTCCGATCCTTTGCTGCCTGGTTTTGTGCTCTGCTTTGCAGCAGTCAGACGGGCGGACTTCGCCAGTGTTTCTGATTAGACAAGTAGGTAGAAGAAAGTAGGCAACCGCAATCTACGGGAGTCTACTGACACAGATGCTCTGTGATTGCCACTCAACATCAATGTCAGTTGCAGTGCTGCATCATCTCAAATGCTAGCCTTAGCCCGAGCTTGCTATTCTCAGCTATGTCTTCCCAAGATGAAACTGCAGCGCCTGAAACGGTCACGATCTCTTCTTTACGTCATTTGAGTTCCTATATAAGAATAGTTTATAATAGACGGTGGGAAGGCGAAGGTGGGCACGGTGGGCGACGCCGGGCACACATGGGGGGGCACGGTGGGCGCGTATAGCGTTGCCCCGCTGCTTCCGCCAATGTACAAGGCCGCAGTCGAGGGCGGCGCGGCGCTGTGCTCCTCCGCGGAGTGGCCACGCTCTCGCTGCTTGCGGTGCTCCGCTGCTGTCTGCGGTGCCACCTGGGTGCGTAGAGTGCGGCGCAGCGCTGCAGTGTGCCTCATTGCTCTGCTGCAATGTGCGGCCAGTGCTGCTGAGGGATGTCCCTAGGCGGGACAGTAGATGGACGCCCCGATTCGTGTGCAGCTTTCTGCGGATCCAGGACGCATCATGCGCTTACTTTGCCGGGGGCGGGGCTTCAGAAATGGGCGCCCGAAGGGCGGCCCAATTTTTGGCCCCAAGTCTCACGGTGGGCGCACGGTGGGCGACATCTTTCGCAGACGACCCACTTTGGGGCCGCCCAAGCGTGCCCACCGATCCAATTCTGGAGAGGGAATAAACTTTCCATTTTCAATAATTAAGGCTACTTCCATAAGTGAGCCTTCGTTCCAAACGATTTGGCTTCGGGACGCTTGCACTTGTCGGGACAGGTGCTGCCCCATCCCCTACAGGCACTTTATTCACCACAGCGTTATTTCCTAGCTGCTCAAGAGAGGCGCTTCCTTTCACCGGAGAGGCTTTTCCTTGCACAAGAGAGGTCCCTTCCGTGACGCGACGGCTGAGCGCTCTCGCGGCAGTAATTTTTGCATTCTTCGCGTTCTGAAAAGCTCCGAGAATAGGCACTTTTGGAGTTGAAGTTCTTTCACATCAATCACAATCTACTTCTACTAATCTCGTCCCCATAATTTTGTTCTTATTTAAAGTAAAGTGAGCGTGAGATAAGTGCCAGGTGGAAGACGTTAGGGTTAGATGAAGGACTCTGACAAAATTATTGAAATTTAAGTTAGATCAATAGTCATAGACGGTGAATAATAGTAGAAATAGATCTCCTAGTTAAATAAATTTCAAAAGCAAGAACCAAGCATAACTCTCCAAACGCCCGCCCATCTTCAACGGCTTCCTCAACCAGTTCCAGCACGTGGCGCTCTCTCCCAGCTCGTTCCAGCATCGCATTCATAGTTAGCGCTCTCCGTATTTCATCCTTGAAAAGTATGGGGAAGCGTTTCCCTGTGATAGATCCTTCCCCGTACGTGTACAGGACGCAGTCAAAGCTAACTGTTAGCTACAGCCTTACCATGGGAGCTGCCTTTTCACACTCATCTTCGTACCCAGAAAACCGAAAGCCTCTAGCCGTCAGCACTTTCTGATCCTCTGTCGATCGTCCGGAGCTTACATTAGAGGTGGTAGGTGTAGGTGGCTAAGCAGGTAGTTCTTGGCGAAAACTGGTAGAAGGCCGCTGCTTAAGAGGATTGGGACACTTCTAGGAGCTTCATCATCATCATCATCGACTAGCATCATCACCATCGACTAGCATCATGATCATCGCCATCGACTAGTAATATCAGCAGCGAGGACTATCATCATCATCATCATCATCATCATCAACATCGTCGACTATCACAATCATTATGACGTCCCTAGTTGTGATATTCCTCTATCATCTGAAGATTAACCCTCTAGGGAACCGACGATTAACCACCTGTTAAGCTTCAGGGAATCTAGCATCTTATATATTAATCGCGTCTTAGACATATTCGAAAACATCCTTATGAAGCTAAGGGAATCATTTTATTCAAGATAACATCTTCTTACTATTCTTCGAACGTCCGTAATTTCTGTAGCATCGCGATCGGCGATTTCATCAATATCGCCACCCATCGACACGGTACCCTTCGACGATGCAGTTTTTTTTGTACCTGTTGCGAGTTGGATGTGGATCTTAGAAGCATGATTTTCACTTAGGAGTTATACATAGGTACTTGATAGGGTCAACCCATGTACTCAGTTACCACTTCTAAAGAGCAAAAAGATAGGAGGTGTTGGTGGAGGACCAGTAAAGTCATCATGATTTAAAATCCAACTATAAGTGCGACGCGGTAGAGGCAATTATGGTTTGAAGTAGTCGCTGACTTGTCTACAACTTTGATTTTTAGTTGAAAAGTATGTAAGCTGATGATGATCTTTTCTTTTAATCTATCATTTACATTTTGATTGTAGATGAAATTTTAGTGGACTATCTATAATCATCATCATGATAAAAATACGTCGATTGATAGGTCCCTCTAGCTCATCCAGGCTGGTGTGTCCTCCCTCGCATAGGATGCGGACCACCTCTGCGGCTCCTATCGGATCTAATTCCATGCAAGGCTCATCCAAAAGCAGCAGAGCAGGCTGCTTTAAGAGTTCTTCTGCGATGTTGTTAGAGGAGGCAGTAGACTTCTCCTGAATCGTGAGCAACTTAATTCCTAAGCGCGCAACGAGGCAGCGAGGCGAGGCGCCTGCGGCGGCGGGCAAGCAAGACTCAGGTAGGAACAAATCGAAGGATCCCGAAGAACGCCTCCTCGACACTCCCAGACGCTGGACGGGAGGTTGCCGTACGTTCGCGCGCAAACTCGCGGACACGACCTCGCCATCACCGCGAGTCTCCAGTGTCTGACGCATGTGGGCGGGGCGTGTCGACGCGGGACGTGCGCGTGGGATGCTAGCACAGGCTGGGTGTGGGGGGGGGGCGGGGAAGCTTCTTGCTTCCCGAAGTGCCTCGCCATCGCAGGCAGGCGCTCGGCTAAACACACTGAGCAGGTTGAACCTTTTTTACCCGGCGTTGCTCCCCGGGGAGCGCGCACCTCGCGCACTCGGATTTAAACAACAATAAAGCAAGCTCTAAATTCCACAAAAAGTCAAAGTATTTGTATTAAGTATGTCATCTCGCTCGCCGTAATACTAAGTCGTTTTTTCTGTCCTGCGGAAAGTGTCGTGATCACCTTATATTCAAAACCATCCAGCGCAATCTTTTCCAAAACGTAAGAAACCCGGTTTTCCTTTTCTTAGATGGCCGCGGTCACCATAAGCGTCTACATCATCATCGTCACAAGTCTACTATATATCTTGTGCTACTATGGAGACTAACAGCTGTCGTGACGCTGAGAGAGGCCTCACGCGCGTGCACATGATGATGATGATGATGATGATGATGAAGATGATCTCCCTTTAAACCTAATAAACCTAATGCCAACCTTTTTTCTCAAACAAGGCAGAGTTACATGCTTCTCATTCTCTTTATTCAAGATGGATGTATTAGGAAGGTCGTGGTACCGAACCTAATCAGATACGACCTGATGCCTTAGCCTAAATACCTAAACCTATCGGGGTATGATCTACTAGAGAGTTGTTGCCACCATAATTCTCCTCTATGCTCAAATGAGGACACCTCAGATGGGCATTGTACATCGTATGCTCCCAAACTGTGTATTGGCCAGTGAAAACGTCCGTTTTCTCCACTATCCCAATGCAAGATATCTGCGGTGAAGTCGCGTGATCTGCCGCGTGGACAGGTGATTAGATCAGGTGGAGGCCGTGGAGGTGGAGGTTGATGAGAGTAGAACCGAGGGGTTCTGGTATTTGGTAGCCTGATTTTGATCATAAGGAAACCAAGAAGAGAATTCTTGTGATCAAATTTACTAGGTTACCAAACACCAGAAACACACAGAGTTGCAACTAGAAGGAAAACGAAGTGTAAAAATAAGTTTGAAGCGGAGAGAACATCAGTGGAAAAGATCGTATACCTAAGCGTGTAAGAGCTCTGAGTAGAAGTGCCTTGTACTTGTAGTAGTGAGACCCTACTTAAGTTGAATTAGGCCAAAGACTTCCACCGACTGCGATCTGTCCGTCTACCCCATCGCCGCAAGTCGGTGATGCTGATGCGGCTGCCTTCACATCCTGCCGGAAGAGTTTACTAGTTTTAGAGGACTTCGACGACGTATTTCTTAACTGCGTCCGGCCCACCCCACGCACCTCCTACTCTTAAAACAAAAGTCCGTTGTACACGGAGAAGGAAATACAACCACAACTGACCCTACTAAAGACCATGAAGTAAGTGTAGTCCTGCAGCGTATGCATCCGCAAGTTCTTCAGTCCTCACCCCGCCTCTAAAAAATGTCATGTCATGATACCTCATGGCCCATCCTGTCATCAAATGGCACTGAAGTCGTTTCAGCCAACTTGTACTATAAGAGAAAAGAAGAGCAAGAGGACCGAGTGATAAACTATCAAGTATTCGGAGCTTCTGCTTGAGCTACAAACATTATTAACGCACCTAGGAAGTGCCCGCCCCCTTTTCAAGGCTTGACATTGGTGAATCAGACGCGTAGGAAGTGTCCGCCCTCTTTTCAAGGTTGAATGATCATAATCTTGTTACGCAGCGCCAACCGATCGCGTGTGCCTACGGATGAAGATGATATTGTAGCGTATCTCTGAGAAGCAGCCTCTTCCGACTCTCGGACTATACCTACTAAGGAAGCCGCTTCCGACTCTCTGGGGGGACCTGCATGGATTAAATGGGCACAGACTTCCTACGTACTTCGCCGCCGCAGCAGTGCGCTGGGTGTGGAAGGCCTCCCAAGGCGGCAAAAGGCGCAAGGCTGGGACCCCTGAGCCGTGAGGCCTGTACCCTCCGAGCCCTTGGCCATCGGCCTGCTTGCTCTTGTAGAGACTCTCCTAGAAGCAGCCGCTTCCGACTCTCGGACGAGTCAGTTTGTCTTTGTTTTACTCACTTAATCTTCCATGTAGGTCGGCCCCCTCAGACTGTTCTCGCTCTTTTCGATCTTGTTTCACGATGCCTTAGCCTTGTAACTATTTGACTAGTTATCTTCTTCCCTGGAAGGAAAAGAGTATGAAGTTGAAGCCTTTCTCCGCCTTGTATCTCTTCGCATGGAAAAACAGAAAGGGCACAACCGTCGAGATCAAGATCATGCTGAGAAAGATGGACAGAACTAAAGAATCTTTGAAGCGAAGAGAACAGCGCAAAAGAGCGTACAACTATGCAACACCTAGAGGACAGCACGAAAAAATATTTAGAAGTAGTTCCCCAGTCCCAGAAGTCCTCTCTATGAAGCCAAAATCTGTTCTCATTATCTATCAGGTTTTTTAGGTAGAATAGTCTGATAATGTTAATGATAATAGATTTTGGCTTCATACTGACGTGATAGTGTCGCTGACCAGAATCGCACATCGTCTGTCGAGTGTTGAAGGTAGATTTTTTTATTGAGTTAATAAAAGCTTAAGAAAGTATGTCTATGTCATGAGGATGAAAGCAAAAGTTGAGTTTTTAATTTGGATCCTGCTTGTGCTTTTTTCCTGACAATATTTCAGATGTTCTTTGCAGAGCCTATGAATCGTGCTAGACTTAGACGGTTGGATCGCATGCTAGTGTAGGAGCACCTCCTCTCTCATGGCATTTCAAATCGTGTATTGGTCGTGGTCGTCTACAATCCCTTTATTGAATGAACAACAGTAAGAGCAACAGTATAATATTATTACTCGTCTAATCAAATTATAGAGATATATTACTAGTCGTCGCCGTATTATTTAAACGATACCGTTCTCGGCAGCATTTTCTGGTCTGGCAGCATTTTCTTGTCTCGCAGCAGCAGGCAGTTCTAGTACACCAGCCAAAACGGACAAAAGCATGGTTTTTCCTCCTCCATCCGGTCCCATAATCGCCAGCGTTTCACCCGCTCTCACATGCCCGGACACACCGTTGAGGATGGCTTTGCCACGGATGTTAGAGTAAATGTCTTCTAAGATGAAGAGGACGGATGTTAGAGTAAATGTCTTCTAAGATGAAGAGGACGGATGTTAGAGTAAATGTCTTCTAAGATGAAAAGGTATAGAAGTTCTACTTAACTGATCAGAATAACCGAGATACTGACGAGAAGGAAGAGTAGCCTTGGTGTTAAGCTGCCTAAGTGCCTTATTTCAGTCAGTAACTCGGTTATTTTGAGTTTTCGATTACGTGTGAAAATTGAGAATGAGTAAGTGGTCGTGTTCTTGCCATGGAGGTTAGAATTATGTGAGAGGTAGAGATTTAGGGGAGCTAGTAGTGGAGGTGGAAGGCGTCGTCTATGATGTATGTTGACCCCGAAAGCAAAAGATAGTAGTACTATAAATCATGATAGGGGTATTTGTATTTGATCAAAAAAGACTATGACAATGGAACCCCGTTCGGACTTGCCCCCTTCGTAGAAGAGTTGACTCAACAACTTGTTTACTTTTCAAGAACCCGCTTTTTCTGCTTTTGTGATTGTCGCTTCATCAATTCTTGTTGGGAATATCATATCCTTTCCCACTCCCATGTGCATGTATTTTCAATTTCATTATATATAAAAATAGTGGTGGAGCCACCCTATCGCTATCTGTATCTACCAAGAAATTCATTATAAACTTTACCAAAAAATCCTCAATTCCCCGCGTCCTTAACAACCACCGCCGTTAGATTTTCCCATGTCAAAGACATGGGGTCTTCTATCGAGTTGCATCGCTGTTTTTGCCGATGTTCACGCTCTAAAGCGTCCGTTGGAGTGTTCGAGGTTCTCATGGTGTCGTGGTCCGGTGGAGGAAGACCTGGTTAGGGAAGATGGTGTCGTACTACACGGTTGAGGATCTCGATCACCAAGTGTCGTCTAGTAGGGTCCTCGCGTAGTCCTCCTCCTCCTCCTCCCATGGAGATGATCCGGCTCTTGCGGTATATTAGATAGGTGGCTCCTCGTGCAGGCCTACGGACTTGTTCCAGGGAGTCCTCCTAATAGCGTAGTCCACAAGGTAAAAAGGGCATGAGGAATAAATATAATGTAAGAAACTTCTAAGACGTGAAGAGAGAGTCGAGTTTTAGGTTGTTGCTATCAAAAAAGATTTTAGAGTGCTGGATAGGACAGGAATTACGCTAAACTACAAACCGGAGTGGACATACGAATATAGCGATACCAAGGGCGGGAGAGTTTCCTTATCCTCTTCTCTCCTCTATCAATCAATCATTCTCATTTTTTTCACTCTAAGCCTTTTGGTTTTGATTAGACTTCGTTCCTAAGCCTTTTGATTGATAACCTTTTTCGGAGTCTTTACTATCACGCGCAACACAAGACAGCTGTTCTCTAACCCATGACGATGATGATGATGATGATGATGATGATGATGATGCGAATCTATTCGGCAATCTGCCTCAGATTTACCGACATGAATACAACGAATAGACCACCCATTCAGGTTATTTGGTGTGCAAAACCAGCAGGATGGTTGCGAATATCTGTTCTTTGGGTTCTTAATATCAGTCATGCGTGAAGAGAGTTTGAGATAACAGATGATGAGCTTGAGCGAGTAGCCTAGTAGATTCATCGGTAGTTGTAGATGGTGTTAGCCGTGTACGCAGTTTGTTACAATTTCTATTTAGAAGTACTAGCCTAGCCCTAGGTGTAATTACAAGAATGGTCGTTCCTTTCAGTTTGTGCTGTGCAAGAAACGCCTTTACAGACGAGTACCTCGTGCAAATAATGAGCTTTTTTTTATAGTATCAGATGACTGAATGTGAGACTCAGAAAAACAAGATCTAGCAAGAGATTCTTCAAAGTGCTGACGTAGATACAAAACTTTTTTGCTAGTTCGTGGTTACGCTAACCCCAAAGCCCGCTGATAAAGTTAAAAAAGACTACGTGAAAAAGCCCATAATATCTATACCGGAGATTTCCTTCGTGTGGTCACACCAGAGACCGATGCAATTTTCTAGACGTCTCATGGTCGTCGTGGTTGGTTGTGTCACAGTCACTCAATGTCGTGTCAAAAATATTAGATCCTACTGCAGGTGTCTAAGAACGATAATATCACGTGTCGTGTATCATGTGACTATGCTGTTTACGTCAACAAAAGGAAAAGCATCTCAAGTACTTGTGGTAGTAAATAACGTGAGCAGAGGCAAACGCATCTGTAGTACTTACTCACTAGATGAACGTATGATGATTGAATGTCGTGCTGTAAAAATAACTAGTTATATTTTCTATATAGTAGGATTAGACAAGATCGGCATTGTTATGCGTTGTATTTCCTTCTCTTTGTTTTGATTGCTAGAATTAGAAATAGATGAAAGAATTTGATTTTGATATCTATCAATGGAAACATGAACCATCATCTCCTTGTCTTCTGCTTCAGCTCCTACGACTCGTGAATTCAGACATACGTCGTCACTATGCTTGGATTCACCGGTTTGTAACCTACGAGCGAGGCCCCCATCGGCAGTGCTCTGGTTCCGGCTCTGCTCGATGCGAAATCCCGATGAGAAATAGACTCGTCGCTGAGATGAATATTAGAGTAGAGCGTCTGTGCCTTGTTCGTCTTCGATATCGATGTAGTAAAGTTAAGGACGAAAAGGAGGTTTATTACAACGCTTGAGTGGTTATACTGCAAGAATCTGCAATTAAAACTTTGATGATCATGATAATTGAATAGTACAAAGACCACGAATACGAGTACGTACTGATCATACTTCTGAAAAAACAGAAGCAGAACGAAACTTTTTCCTGTACTTATTTTTCATCATAGGAGACCGAGACATCATTCTGGCATTTCCTTGCGGATAATTCGGATTGTACATCGAGGCAGTAAGCGGACCCATCGATGCCTGAGATCCCATCGTTTGATTGTAGTAACCGGAGGGTGATTGAGAACTCATGTTCATTGAGCCAGCTGGCAGGTAGTCTTTAGACAAGGACATCATAGACGGATCATTAGAGCACAAAGCAGTTCTATTCTTCACCTTATTTCTTCAGCATCCTAAGAGAGACACAGAAGAAAATGACCGTCGAAAATGAATTGTCTCGGGCCTTAAGATCGGGGCGATTTGATTGTGCAATTGCCTGTGACTGCGCTTGCTGCGTCTGCCTATCTCGGTCAAATTGTCCTGAAAACTGCTGTGTCTGCTCAGGTCCGGAGCCGCCGTAGTAGTTTTTGAACCTGAAGAGCGAGGGGAAGACTACTACTGAAGCAATTTAAAGCTCAAGAGTTAGAGGATGCTTCACAGTTTTTCTACATGAGATGCTGAAACGACGTAGTATCTAGCTTTTTCAATTGGGTGCCTTTAGAGTGCTGCACATGCAGTAAGAGTAAGTTTGGCCCGCTCATCAATCATTAAGTAGTACCACGTCTGAAATTGACCCGTTTGTCCTGGTGCGTAGTATATGGTCTCTTCTTCCCGACCGTCGTCTCGGAGATTTACACTACGATTTGAATTTCCGAGTCCTTCTGGAGGTAGTGGTGGTGCCTGCGACACTTTATTACTCACTGGCCTTCCTCGCGCACCACCTACGCCGGAGGAAGAGATCATACTGCTTTCTCCACCAAGCATACTGGAATTTTGTCCAACTCGCGAAGATGACGTTGTTGTTGACGAAGACGACTGCTGCTCAACTATTATAATAGTCGGCTCCCTTCCCGGATTCGAGGACACAGGTAGTGCATCCAACGAAAACGGATCGACGCCGGGTGGAAATAACTCGCGAAGAGTGTACATGCGGTGGTCTAGATCGTTACCTGGTGATCGACTTGGACATAGTAGAGTCTAAATAAATCAAGTATGCTGATTACGAGCACTTTTTAGCAAACTACAAGCAGCAGGCCGATATCTATGAATCAATGAACAAGCATGAAGACTCAGATGGACTGTGGCTGCGCTCCGAAGTTAGTACATGGTATCTATTGGTACCCAGTCGAAACTTCGTTTCCCTCCCGCCCGCTGTGTTCTTATCAAACCGTCCGTCTCGATACCAATTCCGACACTGCGTGTTTGAAAAGGGTCCATGCCAAACGCCGTTCAGCTCAAAACTGTATCGCGGCCAGGCAAAAACGGAAGGCTGCCAGCCACTGGCTACGTTGGAGATGGGATTAGAACATTTCTTCGTGAAAATATTTTAAGAAAAAGGTGTACCAAGCATGGTTCGGTGACTCTTTTTACATCACACATCTTCACAATGTACTCCTTGTCTCAGTCTCTGTCGTTCACATCATCGATCGTATATTAGGATCTAAAAAACTTGATCAGTATCAGCCCTACTTAGCCTTTCAGAAGAGAAAATTCACAAACATAAAGCGTAGCTCTTCTCTTGATCTTTACTTCGCAGTAGATCATTCCAGGAACTCTGCGCACAGCTATCTCAGCACCCGCCAAGTCACTCCGCTCCTCTGTAGACTCTAGACGGCCTATGCACCAACCGTCTGAAGGCTCTGCATTCAGCTGGCACTCTTCAAGTCCTCCGTCGGTGAAAAGGGAAAGCCAATAGTCGGAAACTTCCATGCCTGTGTTGATCAACATGTTAGGAGGAGAAAGCCAATAGTCGGATTCGGAAACTTCCATACTACTCACCTACTTGCGCATCTAGTTGTTCTAGACATGTAGTAAAAGAGTCCTTACCATCGGTAATCCGAAGCCGCGACTCTCCACTATCGCCGTAAAACCAGTCGCCTTCTATCCGTCTAGACGTCAAAAAAGATCCCCCTATGCCCTGTGGTGTCGAAGCAACTTGAAGAGCACTTTTGTTCTAACTTTTCTACTCACATATCTTTTGAAACTTATGCACAAGTAAGGAGCAAAAGGTGACCTACAATTTGCTTGATGAAGATAGTCTTATTTCACTCTGAAAATATCATCCCCTTAAACTTCATAGTACTCTTCTCTGATCATCCTCTCCAAGCAAAGCCTGCCCATCTGCCACTTGCTTCGTCGACTGACCACGATCTCTATTTACTTCTTCTCCAGCAGTTTGTTGAGCTGGACGCAAATTTGTCTGCTGCCCTTCTTGTTGTTGAGAAAGAGTAGGAGATGCTGAGGAACTTTTTTGTTCTTGTTCTTGTTGTTGTTGTTTCATCAGAGTCGATGTAGCAGTTCTAGTACTAGTTGTAATAAAAGTCTCTTCTTCCACAGGTGGAGGCTCTTTTTCACCACGTGCTTTTGGACTAGGATCTTCGCTTTGAATTGGCATCCGGAAGACTTGATCCCATTGTGGCCAGACATCTTGCAGACAATAGTCGCCGAGACTGAGTTCCTCTAGTCGTATCATCGAATCTGGCCGTAGCATTTCGGATGGGAGTGGTCCGGGTTGCTCGGGGTTGATTAGAGCGTCAATGATTAGAGCTGCTAGGTTGCAACAACTTAGTGCCTTCTAGGAAACGTCTTCGTAATTTATACTCTCCAGATGATGACGTCGCTGCACTGCCGTTGTATCGAGTGTACATGGCGAGCATGCTGAATGGCCCTTGCTCTGGTTCTGAGGCATGATCGCGGAGACGAAAATACCTGACAGTGATCATTGCTTCGTTGCCGTTTTCAGATTACTACTGCGGAGGAAGAGGATACTGTCGTGTAATAATTATTACACGACGGAATGATCAGAAGAAACACCGCGTCGACGCTGTACACAAGATGAATCTTGTTCACATACAACTACAACTAGGTAGAAATAAATGAACCTCAAAAGTACCAAGAATCAAAATTTATCCTCGTTTTCAATGCTGCTGCCTCGACGTGCCAGTAATGCGTAGCTGGAAAGTAGGGACCGTGAGCGCTTGGCGCGATCGGAGTGCTATGTGGGATCTTGCCCCGTCTCAGCCAGTGCTCCAGTTTGGCAGCTGCGGCGGGACCGTAGTAGCACCCATCAGGGGCCAAGTAATACCAATAGCGACAATCGGCCATTTTTATCGAGAGGATTTGTCGGAGGTCATGTGCTTTTTTGTGGATGTTGATTATGATTGGAATTTTTGTGAGTTAAGAAGTATTTGAAAACGTGTGGATACCGATTCCTTCGGAGTATTTTTCTGCTCCAGATTTTTCTGTTTGTTTTTCTAAGACGAGTTTATTGATAACGCCAATGCCTTCTCGTGGTACTAATCAATACGTTTGCTTTCTTGCATTTTTCCCTCTTTCATGGTAAATTTGTTGAATTTGGCTGCGATAGATGCAGTACTACTCTTTTTTGTTGGCGTTAGGAAGTGTTTTGGGCTGCTACTTCTAGGAATCTCTATTGTTATGCTTTTCCAAAACACATGTAGCCATGATGTGCTGTTGCGACGTGCAAGCAACGGTTTTCATGTGCTTCTTAAGCTTTGTTCTCCTTCGTTCTCGCAAGTAAAAGCAACAGTAAAAAGAGAGTCATGGTAAAACCAAGGAATCATTATTTGTTCCTGCTCCTGCATGTGTAGTCCCCGTTCACAATGTGCTACTATTTGCCTGTGCTTAGAGCCTATGAGCTTGATTGCGCTGATTTGCCAGACACTCGATACCAGCAGCGCAAGATAACGCTCCCCGTCATCCTTCACCGCAAAAAACTCCCCAATCTTTGAAACCCATTCTGACTTTCCACTACTGTCCCCTTCTTCAAAGTCAGAACGCGTTTACTTCCCGGAAGCGGCTTCATACCAAGGGCATTGGTCACCGACTGCGACAATGCAGCAGCGCCTGAACGCACGATACCGCTAACACCATTCTGAAACAAGCCAGGTCCCCTCAAAGACATTTCTCCATGTCTCGGAACGGCTTGCAACACGTCATAGAGTTCGTCGATATATCGCTGGATCATGTTGATGTCGTCGAGGGTTACGTACGCGTTTTGGGGAATGAAAGGAGAGCGAGGGATGTATCCTGGAAATGGAATCAAGAACGCGACGAAAGCTTTTTCTATGAACTACTTATCTGATGCTGTGTCTCTTTCTGAGAGCAGGGAGATCGAGATAATTCATATACATATTATTCATCTGCGGCCCTGTTTCTCTAAGTTTTTTGGTCATTCATCTAATCATTTCTTCAATTCCCAAGTTCATAACATTGTCCTTGTACTTCTTCGGCTTTGGTCTCTGTCTAGGACCTGGCAAGAAGGGTGGTGGCTCCGATCCCAGAATCTGCGTCCTATTCTCCCCTCCCGCCATCGTATAACTTGGCTCCAGTCTCATGCCTTGGTATATTGCATTCGCAGTTCCCGCAATTGTTGCTGCTGCAGACTTGCCAGTGCCTCCAGTAGCAGAAGCTGCGCCTCCAGTGCCGACACTCTGTGTAACCTGTGCATTTTGCGCCTTCTCTGCACCAGCTTGCCCTTTCATCTGCGACACGAAATTCTCAAACAGAAACCTCTGATAACTCTTCAATACATCTGGCTCAGTAGGGTTCTCAGACCGAGTCTGAATCGCATACGCAAATTTCCTCAGAACTTGCGACCTCAAACCCAATACTTCATTCTGCAATTCGTTCCAATAGCCGTCACGGGCGCACTTAGGAATTGCATTTGGTGTCCAGGAGGGTCCTGGATCGTAGGTGTAGCTCCAACTCATCACCCGTCGTTCCATATCTGTGATTTTCTCAATGATTTCGTCACTGAAGTAGCGGGTACCGTTCGAAGGCAAAGCGGTTGGGTCGCGGAGGGAGGTGATTAGATGCGGACGAGATGAGGAAAATCCGCGTCAGAACTCCAGACAATTGTCAACAGTGGAAGGACACTCTTGTTCTCAACATCTAGCTCGTCTAACTAACTACGTGAGGACTGATTGAACTCTATACATTCAAAGCTGTGTGAGTTCATGAACCTCGCGATAATTTCAGATTCACAAGTACAAGCTTGAAATACTTTCACATAAAATCAAGTGCCACTTTAAAGCTATAATCGCCTTTCGCACCTTCCACATGACTAAAGGGTCGCAGGCGTCCATCGTTATCCCTGGATGCCAGTGCATCAGATTCATCATATCATTCGGGTTACTGCTCGCTCCTATCCCATCCCGACCTCTAGGTGGTGCGCCTGAAATCCTTGGTGGCCCGAGAGGTCCATTTGCGGTAATACCGTTGACACCGTCACCATCTATGCCCAGACCTCCGTTATTCGCTGATTGGTCTTGATCGGTGGAGGTACCGTTAGCACCTCCAGCTTTAGAGGTTTCAGCATTACGTTCTTCAACAAAACATCCCTGACTTCTTTCCTACTGGAAAGCAAGTCCAGAATGGTAGTGAAGAATGAAATGCGGAAACCCTTAACAGCTGCACCATTTCCATCACTACCAGCAGCTGCATTTTGTTCATTATCGACAGCTTTGGCAGCTGCGTCAGTACCGGAGGCTGGAGCCTTGCTTTTCGTGTCGGTCCCGAACGACATGATATCACTATCCGGTTCTTCTATCGTGTCGAGTTGTCTAAACCCGATTGCCTCCACATCTTCAGGTCGCACGTAGGTAGCAGGTCGTGGCCCCAGAGGTGCAGCGGCAAACGACGTTGGATTACTGGAACAACTGGCAGCAAAAGAGGTGCAGGAGTATTTTTGGTAGACCAACATTTCCTTCTTCAGAACGCTTAGTCAAGTGTTGGTTCGTCTTGTCTGATATAGAGAGGTCCTGAACGAAATTGCGTTCAAGTGTTGGTTCGTCTTGTCTGATATAGGGAGGTCCTGAACGAAATCTTGTTTTCTCAGAGCTCGGCCGTCCTCGTCTGTTATCGAACGTATAGGATTTGGCCCTAATTCGGGAAAGGAGGCTTCGGCTTTAGACATTGAAAGGTACTTCTTCTAGGAAATGTTTTTCTGCACGGCCGTGAATTCATGAGGAACATGGCCATGGGGAGTAGTTTCTGCGGTCACGCTCGTCTGGACTAATGATGACAGAAGATCGACAGATGATCAGAGTGAGTACCGACATGGACAGCAGAGTGAGAATCAATTCAGCAACACTACATAAACCGATACGAAGGCGCAAAAGTTCTACCTCATCTACTCACCACTTGATGCAGACAGATTCTAATACTCATTGACCTCATTTTGGTATTGGACGACAGAGTTTAGGGAAGATACCGCTAGCAGCAGGAAGTTTACGTAAGATGCAGATAGTGGAATCGGAACAGGAAGGTTTCGACGCTTCTGCTCAGTGCTCGTTCTACAGGAAGGTATATTGAATCCACTGAAGATGCGTACTTTCGTTGCCATTTTTGGTCTGTGTATTCTCTCAAGTTTTGTAAAGCATCTCCATCTAGATGTAGATCTAGTACAGTGTAATATTCTTTCTGTCTCATTCCTCATAATCCCTAATCTCCCACTCCTTCGCTGCTGCAAGCATCCCTTCTCCTATACTGGCTGTAGATGTCCCTTCTACGGAATGATCTGCAACTTTGTAAACTGGTTCTCTCTTCTTGCCCATGCACAGAAGAAGAAAACACGCTGAGCCTGACGGCTTGCATTCAGCAGATTCTTCGTCGGTGAATTGGAGACAGTCAGCGTGATCCTGCAGGCCTCCTTCCACCACTCGAAAAAATTCCTAGAATCAATATATAATGCTTTACTGGAAGGGCTTGTTCTGCACAACCATTACAACGAGGAATCGAGCTTGTACAACATATTACGCCGTCTCAACTAAAGTTGCCTTACTCGTCCTCGTCATTACCCCCACTTGGCCTCGCTGTCCACGACTTCACAGTGACTGCGTAACCGACAGCCATCTTCGAGTTGCTTTTTTAGCTCAGCTACTACGACCGCATCCAAATCCGCCGCCTGACCGGAGCCGACTTTTATCATCGCGATTTTTGACCTCAGTCTTGTTCTTTATAGAAGAAAACAATGAATTATATAAAGAGTTACACCTTGTGGATAGTCCTCTAAGTAGAAAGGCTTCTAGAGTTTTTGTTTCCTGCGGACTTCACTTGTAGTAGTTGAGCTTGCCTCTTTTGCTTGCCTCTACTTTCTTTTTTCGGTTGGAGGAGGGGCGGGAAAGGAAAGAAAAGGAGCCACGGTTGAACTGCTTGCATGAAGAAGAGTGCACTCTCCTGCGCATATCCACTCTTTCCCTGTATCTTCAGACAGATACTTGGGGGTGATCTGCATCGGTCAAAATCCATTACCATCGTCCATCGACGTCCATGGATATACATTTTTCATTTTCGGGCATAAGACATAAATGTAAATCCTAGTGACAGAAATCATGGAATACCAGAGCCCACGAGATCTTTTACCTCGGTCTCTACATCTTTCTGGGTGTGAACAGCCAAGATTCTCTCCCTCACTGATGCTAGTTGTAGGGGAGTCGTCAGTCATGAGCGAGAGCGAGTACGTTGCACCGCGTAAGCAGACGCGCGTGCGTCCACCCTCGCGAAAGAAAATCACGAAGATGGAAGAAGTTGCTGCTCTCCCCATAGACAACGACACGATGGAAAAAGCAAGGCTTTTTTGTGCCGGGCGAGATCTCAAATTTTCGGAGCTGCCACAAGATGCACAGGACAAGAAGACCCAAGCCAAGTACCTGGGGTTGATGCGCTGTAGAATCTACTATCAGAAAAACAAGGACAAGATCCTTCAGCAAAAATTAGAAGACCATAAGAAGCGAGGCGACGTCATCAAGCAAATGAGGAAGAAAAGCATGAAGAAATACTACCAAAAAAATAAAGAAGCATACAAGCAGCAAAATGCGGCCTACTACCAGAAGTACAAGGAGAAGCTGAGCGCCAAGCAACGACTAAAAAACAAGGACTACTACAAAAAGAATAGGGAAAAGATCTTGGAAAACCAGAAACGAGACTATCATCAAAGAGATAGAGAAAGGATCCTGGAGAGCCGGAGACGCAAACGGGAGTTAGCATCATCTACTTCCCAGAGTAGCTCTGCATCAACATCAACAAACGAAACAGCACCGAAGCAGCGCGGCTCGGGGCTAGTGTCTAAGGCTGCCAGAAGCAACAAGGACACGGCACCAAATAAGGCCAAACAGATGTCCAAGTCGGGTAAGAAGAAGTTTGGATCTTCCCCGGAGTTCACAGCGAAAGGAAACAGTATTCAGAAGCTGTCGCCAGTGGTCAGCACTAGTAGCACATCTTCACGTGAGCCAGCGGCGCTCCAGCAATTGGATGCAGCACCCACGACGAGAGATAGTAGACCGCAGCGCGACCCATCTCAGCTCTTCAGACTAGAAGAAGACCACGATGATGATGAAGGCGAGGCTGAGGAGATAGGCGAGCTTGCGGAAGGTACTCTGGTAAAATTTTTAGGGTGGAACATGAATGGCATTGGTAACCGGCGCCATTTGCGGCGGTACTATAGGGATGTACGGCCTGACGGTGAAATGTTAGTGGAGGTGAAAAGGAAGGAAATAAAAGTGGAAGAACTGAAGAGCGAAGAAGCCCCGGTAGAGGAGATTTTTTCACAACAGTTGGCGCATGACTCGCTGACAGCAGAAAATAGAGACACACAAGCTGACGTAGATAGTGAAGATGACAATAATACATTAGCAGAGAAGGTAACTGAAGCGAGCAGAATCATGGAAGTAGGTCGAGGATTTTCCAAGGCGTTCTATGTGGTGCAGGCTGTGTCCCATAGTAACAAATTCTCGGTCACTTCTTCCGGTGGCGCGGCCACGTCGTGGCGAGAAGACCCTGATAAAGCGCGTAGGCTGCCGGATGTAGCATGGGACGACGTCGCTTTTTACGACCAGGTGCGAGATGATGAGGAAACTACTGGCGGCTTACAGCGAACTCGCACAGAACCCCATGAACATCTACTATGGTGGACAGTCTCCATGAAAAACGACGTGACGCAAGTAGCTGTGTATATTAGGCCCAGGGACCGCAATAAAATGCCGCAGCAGCATGCTGCTGCCATACAACAAAAGATGGCCGACCTAATGAAAACCACGGAGGACGTGATAGCTGAATCCGGCGCCGTAGTGCTGTGCGCAGATGTGAACTTTGAGTACGCTAGTATTAGGGACCCTGCGGAAAGGATTGCCACCATCCTTGGAGATAGTATCCCACCGGCACACAACCTCATGTCACTAGTGCAGCTCCCTTTTTTGATGTGGGTGAATAAATGCTTTGGAGGGCCTATGCTACTGGCTGGGCCCACCTGTTTCTGTAGCAAAGTTTCCCCCACGACGATCGATCTCGTAGCATGCAAGGGATTGGACGGCGCCGGCGCTAGAAGAATAGCCATTACTAAATCGTCTGATTTTTACTACCTGGATCATGACGGGGATGCTAGTAATGCAGAAGCACAGACGAGTGCCGCTAAATCATTTGCGCGGCCAACTGATCACGTTGCGATTGAGATCACCGGTCGAAGGACGCGGCCAGGCGTGTGTGGCACTCAGAAAACCAAGGTTGACAAAGATGGATCTGGCGGCGTGGATAGTAGGCACATCAACACGAGCCACCTTATCACCAGTGAGAACATGTTTGCATCCTATGAAGATTTCGACACTAGTTTTGTGGAGACAAGAGATATGCCCGAAGTATCACTGAAGGAGCTTTACAAGGCATACCCAGACGCGTGCCAGATGCTTCGCAATGATAAGCAGCATAGCAAAGAAGCACTACAGATAGCGCTCACAGGATATGCGGCGATTGAGTTTCCATTTTTTACGTATGAAGTTGGGCGCAGCATGAGTTTCAAGTTCGAAAAATGGATAGCGCGAGCGCTAGTACATGGAGGATTAGCGAAAAAACAGCAGCACACTAAAGATTCGGCCGATAGCAGGAAGTTTGAGCTACCTAGCGACGAACAGCGACAGGCGCAGGCTTTTAGTGCATGGATCCAGAAGTTTATTTCACGAAGCAACCACTCAGCATCGGCCTCCAATACAGGACGCAGCAACGATGGTGCTGCTGGACTGTTTACGACCGCGCGTGATGTGGCTTTTTATCTCATGGGACCACAAAAGGGCGAGCCTGCAGGTGAATTGTCAAGCATCACGCGCGGCAGTCGTGTGGTGGTTGGCGAGTTAGAGGTTGCGAGAGAAGTAGCCAAATACCACGTCGTGAAGAACAATCTGATTCGGACGGAGCTGGGGCTTGCGTCGGAACTGGCGCAAGGCGACGCAATGAAGATGAAAGACCAGATACGCTTTGCGCAGAAGTTCTGCATCCCTCTGCGAGTATCGACTGAACAGCTGAAGGCACAGATTGATAAAGGGAGTGCTGAACTGCGTGGGATACTAGGCGTTAGACTTAAGGCCTTTAAGGCCTTATCTGCCCCCTTGCTAGAAGCCTTCCGTATGGCAATAAACAGTGATCTATCACAACTTGAGCAGGAACCAATTGCGCACTGCGGACGTGTGTTGGAAGGTGAGTGGTTGGCCCAGCTAATCGAAATCCTGAGGAAGTCGAACCAGGTGCATTTGATAAAAAAGCTGAGAACAATCATACGAGGTTCCCCGTCGTTCAGAATTACGGCAGCGGTGCTAGGCGTCGCGGCGATAGCAGGCGCACAAGAAGCGAATCTCATGGATGACGTCGCTCTTGGTGGAAGGCCCGGCATTGGTAGGATAGTGGCCTACATGATGTGGGCGCAACAAATACTAGCACTAAAATCAGATGAATGCTGGTGCTTAGTGGAGACCGACATCACGAACTTCTTCAACTGTCTTCTCGAAGTAGATACTTCTACCCAGTTAGTAGCATCGAAAGTACACCCTACCATAGTCTACTTCTTCCAGCGGGCGAATAGAGTAAAGAAGTTGTACCTGAGGAATGGCCGCTTTCTCATACAGTTAGGTAGCCACAAGGACGGAATCCAAGGCAGTATTGAAGTAATGCTTACTGGAATGGTGGCGATCACGGACTCTATCAAGCGTGTGCGTAATTTCTTGCAGAATTGCTACGCAGAAGATGGCTCCCAGCTAGATGCAACACGCGTGGCAGCGGCGAGAGCTGCGGCGCTACAAGATCTAGAGGACACGCCCATCACTGCGCCGGAAAAGTGGAAAGATTACAAATTCTGGGAGGACACTTGGGACAAGTACTTTGTTGAGGCACAAGCACAAGCTTACGGCATTACGCGCATTGGGCCACCAACGGTCGACGCGGTGAATAATAGAGGACTCGGCTTCTACCCCGAGGTCTCTGGAACTAAGATGCGGCTTGTAGTCTACACAGGCAGTGTCGTGGTAGCATACGTAGACGATCAGAGCACTTCCTTCCGCTACAGGCAAGTCGATGCTGAGAACGGCACAGTCACCATCATCATGACAACCCTCAAGACCTTGGTCGAAGATCTATTCGTGAGGAATAGGCAGTACTTGGCGGCCCAGAAGCTCGAGTGTATGGTAGTAGAAAAACAAGACTACCGAGCTGCGGCAAACTTCGCGCCGGTTCTAGCTCAAGTTTTGGGTGCTACACCAGAGCAGCGAAGTGCGTGCAGAGAAAAAGTGAAAAGGATCATCATGAAGAATATGACCCCATTCAACTGCGTGCCGACGATCGCGAGCGAGGCGCTGCTTCTGGGCTACCCGATATCGTCCAGCTCATGTCTAGCAGATAGTATCTGGGCAATGATCTTTCGTAGATTAAAGTTTGCCCATGTCAAGATCATCCGGGTGCTGATGGCTAGAAAGTGGCGCATATCGGGGCCTGTCCTCCGATACTTGCTGCTGTGGGCTTACATCCAGCCGGTGATCGACTTACTCTCAGCGGCACTGCTAGTATGGAGTGCAGAAAAGTGGGATGCATTCCACAGGGAACTATGGGATGCAATGGCTGACTCCATTGGGCTACGCCCGGAAGCGATAAACATGCTTCGGACGAAGAACAAGATCCACAAAAAGGACTTGTTCATACTAGCTTTTTCCACCTCGTTTTTGTCGCTAGTCGAGCCGATCCTATTGGCAGCAAAATGCTGCCGACGTGCCGCGGCGAAGTGGACAGCGACTACAGGGAACTGCACGCTCATCAACTTCCTAATGATGCTGCCAAGTGTCCAGATGAAACACTTCAAACCAGAGGCGAGCACCATCTTCGAAGAGATTGACAAAGGCGATAGGATGTTTTTCAAAATACTATCAGGTAAAACGAAGTCGAAGCTGAAGCCGGCCAGTGGCAGTAGTGAAGCTTCGGCAAGCTCGGCGGTGGATGCGCCGCCACACGTCTTGACGCAGGTATTTGCCGGAGCACATCTAGGAAGGCAGTTTCTGCTTGCGTCGGATGTACTACCTCCAAAGTCAGTGGTATGCACTAACAAGATCGACGATGGCACCAGTATGGTTATACTACGGACCGACGGGGGAGCGCGAGCCGTCAAGTTTTGCAGTGGCGCTATAGTGGCTGAGGTGCGAGTTGACGACCACAGCACTAGATGTAGCTCTACACACGCTAAAAATGAAGAGGAAGCGTATGCGTATGCAGTGGCTGCTGTGCTGGAGGACACGCACATCATGGGGGAGCTTTTAGCTGAAATCAACATGTACAAGAAGACTCGGCGCATAGCTGTTGATGGGTTACAACTATGGATGCTAAAAGGATCCCCGGTCGAGACACTAATCTGGGAAAATGAGAAGCGGATTGGGAAGAACGTCTGCATCTTCTACAACAACATTCCCAAACCAATACTAGAACGGCTCCAAATGAAGACAAACGCGCGTGAGTCTCTCTGCTCTACTTCTAGCAAGAAACTGATCCGGGTCACCTCTAAGGTGGTTGATATTGCTGGTCGAGATGAGATGTTGCAGATGCCGGCACGGGAAATCGAGTGCCCAATTACGCTAACTGAGATGACAGAGGAGATGCCAGTAAAAAGATTCCGAAACATGATCAACAAGAGAATTGAGCAGTGGGAAGTGAGTGCATCGGGGGTAGGCGACCTTAGCGAAGGGATAGCGGGCAATCCAACGAAAAAGCGCAAAGCTGAGCAGGGCAAAGAGTGCGGAACTTGATTAAGGTGGACCCTAGAAAGGGAAAAATACGAAAATTAGAACATAAGATAAGGATGGTGTTGAGATACTAGTATTATTATTCCTTCTCCGTGGCGATGAAAGTTCAAGACCAAGGGAAATGAGTATTGCTTTTTATCCCTCGTCAAAGAGGCGACTGAGTTTAGTCATTCAGCTTACGAGGTAGTTGACTACTGAACGGATATTCATTAATTATGACGCAACTACATTTTGGGTCTGCATTAAAGTAACAGTTTGTAGTAAGTTAGACAAGTTGACTATTATTTCCTTCGAGTAAGTTGGTTATCTTCCCGGTTAATGTAAGTAAGTAGTAGTATATCAAAACCAGCAAAGAATGACGTAAGCGTAAGCATTCTGATAAAATCAATAAAGACACTGAACATTAGGTCCGCGGTCGAGTCAAGACCTTCCGTACTTATTTAAAAATCCGACAAATTACAACTAAAGCAGCGAAGACCAGGAGCCGAAGGTGGGTGCGTATAGTTCTACAGTTTATATTGTTATTTATTTTCTCTCCGTAACGTACGTTCAAGCACATTGATTATCCAACATTCACTCATACTTTGTTTAAATCTGTAGTGTGCTTCTTACAAACACGACAACTAGGCATATAGTCACAATAGCTACATTAGGAAATAGTCACACAAGAAAAAACAAACAAGACAGAGCTTCGCAATTTATGAACAAAAACTGAAAACTCAAGGGCAAGCTCAACATGGTAAGTCGAACATTCCAGAAGCTGTATGTGGATAGATCCAGGAGAAGAACAGCATCAAAGCAATCCTAAAGGAGCGCGAAGTGTCCCGAACAGAAACAAAACGTCAAGCGATTTGTGAATGACGAAAGGATCTATGATGGTGAACGATCTCGGAAGTGAACAGCAAGCCCTCAAAGATCAAGAATCACGATGGTAAAATGGTTGGGATGAAATGAAAATGGCCGCAGCAAATGGAGTCAGGACCTTACTTTTTATTCCTTGTTGAGAGAAAATTTTTATGCTCCGTCTTCTGTAAGAGTAGTGATAACCAGATTTGTGTTTGTTGAATGCTACAGCTGACATGTGAAGACTGTCCTCCTATTCGAATACCCTGATAGGAGTTCATTAAAGTCCTTTCTTGTCTCAAAATAAATACGTTACGCTACAAGAACTTACGTGGTAGATTTGTTTCTTTTTTGAGTTGATGTTTCTTCTTGCTAACGGTTGTCTTTGCTGCACTAAACGCGCGTACTTATCCAAACTCAGTTTCTGGATTAGGCTCACTCACTAGTGGTCCATATTTTACTCTTCAACTCTTCCCCCCCCCCCCCCCTTCCACTTTTTTATCTTCTCTACACTCCTCGGTCAGTTAATACCAAGACGATACGACAAGAGAAGGCTAGAAAAGGATGAAGTCATAACCTTGGTTGAGGGGTGGCACGTTACTGCACGGAAGCCCCCGAGGCAAAGATATGGGTGCTTAATACTGAAGACCAAAAATCGGAGGGATCTCAAAATAGGAAGCAGAAAGTTGAAATGGCGAGACGAGACGGCTCTTACATGCAAAGTGAGAGGATAAAAAAGCAGCAGGTTAAGTGAAAATAGCTCATGAATCAAAGGCGCACTACTCTAAGTTATATGCGGGAAGGTCACGCACGGTAGCGGGTAGTTGAATCAGTTGATTACTAGATGGCAGCATGAGGCAAGCCGCATCTTATCTATTTCAGCTCTCAATCTTTGCTTCATGCGTGGCGTCGGTATAACGAAACGCTCGGACTGCGATATCATTTCTGTGGCAGGAGGATGTGAGGCTGGAACGAAAGGAACGCATAAGGACATGGAGCGTGAAGCAGTGATGATAAGAAAAACTAGGCTAATACACTCCCAACAACGAAAACACGTTGTACTTAAGGCCCTACGCCAGTAGACATTTATTTCTAGTTTTTCACTCGTCAGTTGATTGCGCATTAGTCAAGAGTTAGCAGGGTTGGCATCCCCTGCGCTCGTGCCTTGAAGGTAGGCGTATAAGCGTGGGACGGTTGGCAGCCGGTGGAGGTTTATATAAGACTTTTAACTTACCTCCTTCACCCCTAGGGTTCATCAGTTTATAATCGGCGGGTTCGTAGGCAATTAGTGCACATTGATATAAGGAGGTAACCGGACTCCACCTGTCGCCGGTTTGCGAACTGGTAAAAACTAGGATCACCCCTCCGGCGGTCTTGGCATACAAAAAAAAAAAAAAAATTCTCTACTTTGATGAACACCATGAATGGAGAAAAGATATCCCTACCCTACCTTTTTATCGCTAGTATGGAAAATCGATAATCGTGCTCACACGATTCTATCAACCAGGACTCAATATCATAGGACTCAGTATTAAGATGAGGGTGAAACCACATGCTAGGGCTACTGTTAGATGATGATAAGACCAAAAATATGTGACAACTTGAACTGTACCATGAGTGATCGTGGTCGGTACCCTGAATCTGATAAGAATTCATATCTTAGCAACTTGATATCTCGATCTCCTCCCCCAGATGAACCTAATCGCCTTATGCCGCAGCAGCCGCCGCACCCCCCGCGTTGACTTTGGGTAAAGATTGGAACATAGTCATCATCTTCTTCATCTCATTCATGCGAGAGAGCATCTCTTCTTGCTGCGTCTGCGCTGCTAAAAGTTGTTGCTCCATCTCCAATTTTTCGGATTCTAAGTCGTGCAAATCCTTGAGATAAGTCTCCATTTGCTCATCGGATTCGCGCAGCTTCGAATGGAGGATCTGGGGGTGGCGAGGAAGATGGAGGTGGAAGAGCTTGAAATTGAGATAACATTTTCAGAAACTAACTACCATCCATTGTCAATCTTGAAGAGGCCTTTGCCATCATTTTTTCTCGGTTGTCAACCTAGCTACCATCTGAGAAAAACAAACTATCTCAAAATAGTACATAATTCTCATACATAATACCTTTGCCGCTTCCTCCGGTATTTTCCCTTCTAATTCGCGGAGATCTGGGCTGTCTTCTGCATCATCCTCAGAATCCTCTTCGTCTGGTGGCAAATCGGATTTACCAACCTCCTGAGGACTATCACCTGCTAACTCGTCCTCATATCCACCAGCGCCAAGGAGGTTCTTCATCATCTCGATCTTTTGCATGAGGCCCTGAGAGGTTTTTTTGTGAAGGACAGGAGTCGTGAGGATTGTGGCAGGAGTCGACACCAGAACAAGATTCATCTTCTTCATCATATCACAAGTGATTTTCATAGTTAAAAGGTTAACGTGTGGTCTGGATCTTTTTAGTTCTTTAGCACCATGAAGCTGGAGCTCCTGTAGTTAGTTACCGTCATCTCCGACATGGTTGAATCAAGTGTCGCATCGTCCATCGACCTCAAGTTCTTCTCCGCCATCTCTGGGTGAAAGAGCGCGCTAGATCCTAACCCGCTGAGGCCACTCGCCGGTCGGGTAGATGTTCCTCGGGATGATGGGTTAGAACTTGATACTACAAGGTGACGACCCTTCCAGACCACGGTGGGTGTTCTACTAGAGGCACTCCTAATCCTCATCCGACATGTCGTCAACCAGACCGTGGAGGTATGAAAGGAGGGCGAGGGATGTATCCTGGAAATGGAGATGAAAGGACCAGGATACATCCCTCGCTCTCCTTTCATCCCTCGCTCTCCTTTTGCTCTGGTGAGAACACGACCACTAGTAGTGGGATTTTTTTGACCTTCCTCGAGATGATGGATTAGAACTTGATACTACAAGTCCTAATCAAGTTCTAGTCCATCATCCCGAGGATTAGAAGTTGACCTTCCTCGTAGAAGTAGTGCTAGTAGGTGCGATTCTAATGAAACCGTCATAACCACGCCAGCACTTCCTCCAGTCTTCGGCTGCTGCAAAGGCGATTTGCTTGTTGATAAAACCTCTTGTGCAGAGCCAACCCCACGTGTCGGCGGCTCGAAACTCCTGAGGCGTTCTGACATGAGTAATTGAGCCAATTTCGCAGACGTGGGTGTCCGTGAAGCAGATGCTGCTGCTGCTGCTGGTTCGCTTGATTTTGAAGCAACAGTAGATGCAGTTGCTGTTGTTGGTCTGGAAGTCTTAGAGCTTGTTATCCTAGTTAAGATCCATCTTGTTCTCGTGAAGATACATCCTGAGTGACGGTAATGCCTCTTTCTCCTTCTATTTATGAAACAACAACTCGCTCATCAAGTTCAAGTTCGCCGTGCTTCTAATAAGCGTGTCGAGCCTAGAATTTTGAGAAATATAGTGAGATCACAAAGATATTATCTTCAGGAGGCGCATACGGATTCTTCTTGGTTCTTATTAAGAAGTCTGATTAGAGCAAGCCTTAAAACTCGCAGCCTCCTTTTTCGCGTTCAATGCCGCAAGTAATTCGGCAGCCTTGTCTGCCGGATAGATCTTCTTGAGCATCTCTAGTGCACTGTCCCTGACTGCATCCGAATTAGCGATTCTCGTAGCAGCTGGAGTACTAGGAGCCGTCGCAGGTTTCTTGAAACTGGTAGGTCCGGTGTTGACTGGCGTTCCACCTGGAAGGGGTTTGTTTTGGTCCCTAGTTGACGACGTTGACGTTCACAATAATAGCACAATTTCTAGCATCAGGACGAATAACCTTGTTGATCATGTTTACCTTTACAGCACCCAGTATTCAATATGGTGCTTGTCGTGAAAGGGACATTTTTCCAAATCTTAATCACGACAATCGAACTAAAATGACGATTCAATAAGAATAACCTACTCAATTTAATATCGTACCTCCTGTACAACAAGCAGTAGTACCTTGACTAGCGCCTCCTCCTCTCGCCACACCTCCACCTCGCGCACTCGCCAACGATTTTTGGTCTTTCGATTTCAATATGAGTTCCCTCATCTGCATTGCTGCCATTTGAATGGCCTTGTTGGCTGAATCCATCTCCTGGATAACTTAAAGCTCAGCACTCAATGGCCACTGACTCTGAAAGAAATGGGCCCCATGCCTCTCCCTTTGCTTTTCCTTCATTTTTCCCTGTTCTCTCAAGAGGGATCTCAGTGACCAACCCCAATGACCATTGAAAGCTGAGCCTTAAATAACGCTTTCTTGCGCTGATATCACGTTGGATTGCTGCTCGTACATAGCATGCACAGACTTCAACATCTGCAGCGCATGCTCCAGTCGCTTTGACAGGAGACTCACTTGTTCATCCTTCTTCGCCGACACCTGTCGTTCGGCAGCTAGTTCCATCTGCAGCCTTCTGTTTTCGGTCAAAACGACTCTGGCAAGAGCGCGTGCTTTCCCAACTTCTTGCTCCTTGGGATTAGATCAAGGGAGGGGGGGGGATCAGGCACAGCAGAAACAGGGACAGGATGAAGAAGGTTGGGAAGACTATAAACTGTTGTTGAAGATTTCATTCTTTTTTCCGAGGTTAATAGATGTAGTAAATGGGTTCTGAGTCTGTTGACATCTTAGTCTTAAATCCTTGTGTTCATTGACGAGGTTCTTATGGGTTCCATTCTGGATCTGAGTCATGAGCTTACGAGAATCATAACATCATTTGCTGAATCTTCTCCCCCTCTCTTGCCTTCTTCCGCAAGCATGGCAAACAATTTGGCGTCGAGCTCTGAATCTGTAAGGTCCCCAGTCAGGCCCTTTTCCGGTGAGCTGGCTACACTGGTGCCAAGGGTTAGACGCAGCAAAAACAAGGAGTACTAGGAGATCAATATGACTAAACATTGTCATCCTCATCTCACTCACTCCAGTGGAGTCTTGGTTGTAGAAGCAGGCCTGATCTTGGAAGAACAGATGGTCACTCGAGTGCAGTTCGTAACTCAAGCTCCTTCAGCATGGCACCGTAACTCGTATCCAGTTTATTTTGTAACGCGTCAATCTGTGACTGTACATCATCTTTGACTGCTTTTGTCGCTGCGGGAGGACCTTGGGTTTTTGTTTTGGTTTGTCTTTTCATTCCAAATTCTAATTTTGTCTAGCCACAACTTAGAGTTGTAGCTAGACCTACTAGAGAGCTCAGTGGCCACACGAGTCACAGCCAAAACCTACATCATAAAACTAAATCAAAAAGAACAGCAGCAAACATCTACTTTCTAATTCTATCTTCGTCTTCCAGGAAAAAACTAAGAAACCTCCTAACGATAGCCTGCGCACAGCTTGCGCCATCGTCTTCTACCAGACAAAGGGCGAGGTGTGACACCCTTCACCAAGCGCGCGGGCCCCCGTGCAAAGCGCCGCAAATGAACTTGGTAACCAAAAGGGCGAGGCTAGGCAGTATAGCTGTGCCAGTCTACTAGTAGTGAGATATACCACTTCCTCCACTCGCCGTGTACTAGTAGTGGAGGAAGTGGTATATCTCACTACTAGTACTGTTAAGGCTAGAAGAAATCCATCTTCAGCGGCATCTTCCGTCTTTTTTCCCTTGAGAAACGGGACCAAGATGCCTGTGAGGATGGAATTTTAGCCAGCTGCCCGCAGCCATCGCGCAGCGCTCAGTCGCGTCATGCCTCATGCATTTGCGCTGCAGCGTGTAGGGTAGGATAGGAGTTAGCTCACCTGCGCCGGCAAGGTAAGCGTATAGGCTTGACGCGCCATCATAAAGAATAAGAGAAAAAATTTCTGACCAGGAATCGCCACAGATGCTACTTTTTTCAGGACTGTGAGGGCCGTAAACCATTGCTCAAGCTCTTCAGCGCTTTCACATTGTAACTCCATCACCCCTTCAAGCACCAAGGCATTCCCAGCGCCCTTACTGATGCCTGCCAAAGAGGCTATCTCGACGCTCTCTTGCCCACCGACTTGAACGTCGTCATTCGCGCTTACCTGTTGTAGACAAGGAAGATGGCATCAGATGGAAAAAAAGATGACGATCGAGATCCTTGCAGCTACAATAACAATTCCAGTGTCTTAACCCTAAATCCTCAAAGTCCAACTACCCAGGCATCGCTAAACTGCAAGCATTCAAGCTTTTCGGAGTCCACGCATAGGACTTTCACTGTGCTTTTTCCAAATCTTTCGCCGTCCCACAGCTTTGCAACCATAGCCTTCGGCTGCGCGATGCGCGCAAGGGCCTGCTTTAACATCTCACGATCCATTCTCTTCCTTTTGCTCTTTGGTTTCTAGAAGTGTCAACTAGAGCTCCCTTTTATTCTCTGGTTTCTAGAAGTGCTTCGCTAAGGTGGTACTTAGTTGTCAACTACTCAACTGTTGCTTCAGAGAGAAGGACAGTTATATCGAAATAATGGATGCTCTTGCAGGTCATCATCGCCATCCCCATCCGTAGTAGTTGAAAGAAGAGAAAGTATAATGATGAAGTTGAACAAAGGGAACGTGTTTTATTTGTAAAGTCACTTTTTCAAAACTTTCCAATATTTGATCCTCATCCGACATGTCGTCAAGACTCTCTCTTCAATTGATTGCAGCACCAGCATCTTGGCTGCACAGAGAAAGACTAGCACAACCGTTTAAGCTTCGTCGAAACACCGCGGTGTAAATGTTGTAGCCACACATCGGGTGCGTTCTTCAAACGATGATGAGCCTCACTCTTCCACATCATCAAAGCACCCAAAATCTCAAACCAAATTTTTGTCACGATACATTAATATCTTGCGTAGTTTGGTTGCGTAGTTGCTGGAGCTAGAAATGGAAATGAGCCAACTACAACGAGTAAGACTTTTCATACACAGATAGATACAGGATCAGCTCCCAATCAGATGATTTAATGCAACTCTCTGGCAATAGGTGTCCCTTCCAAAATCAGAAACTAGTCCTCAATTATGAACCAAGAATTAGATTTCTGCGCGTGTGGTCAGCATTAGTGTGGTGTAACAGAAGTCAGTGTGTTTCTTTCATGAAATAGAATGCTTGCAGGCTCCTCGCCATGAATACCCTATGCATCAACATATGTTGTCAATAGAAATAGATAGCTACATGTGTTGCACTTGAATGATTGAAGTAGATCTGATTGTTTCAAGCTGCACCGAGGAAGTAGAAAGAGAAAGAATTCTTCTGCTTGGTGAACTCGAATTTTCAAAAAAACAAATTGCTGCATACAGATTTCAAAACGTCGAAAGCACAAAACTACATCATCTCAAATGCTAGTATTCGAAAAACTGAAATAACCAAGTTAGTAACTGCTTAGAATAAGAGAGATACCGAACCAAGAGCAACGTAGTGACTCTTATATTTCAGTCAGTAACTCGGTTATTTCAAGTTTTCGATTATATCAAATGCTAGTAGTTACAACTGGAAACAAAGAACCACTATAGGCGGTTCAATGATCTCCATGCGACGAATTATTGAGCCATCAACAAAGTCAAAGCCTGGAACAAAATTCCATAGGTGGCTCGAGGCTTTTGATTGGCGCTATAAAAGTGTGAATGATGATGTTTGAGCATGGTGGGCTGCAATCTTTGTACTAAAAATACAGAGAAGAGTCGGATTTGAAGGATTTTGACATGAGGTTTCTGGGAATGTCGAGATGCAAAAGTAAGTTTTAGTTTTAGTTAGTGACTAACTGTTAGTCTGCTTAAGAATGTAGTGTGGGTAAAAGGTTCTTGTTGTCGAATTGGTATTTTTAGTACAGTTGGAAAAATCAGGAGAGCTGCATATTTTCTTCACAATATTGAAGGTTCTTAAGCTGCAATCGTCAAAAATGTTGAAAGTAACTGGTTTGTTCTGCTTGAGAATGTCTAGAATCAAAATAAAAACACACATTCATCGATTCTCATCTTGCTTAATCCCGTAGCCAATCAGAGTAGCAAAATGAAACCTGGCTGCACAAGTGAAACCATTTTTACATGTGTCCTGTACAGTTCTACGCATCACCGATGGTCCCGTGGTACACCTTCTTCTGGAGCAACGAGCGTTCGTCTGAATATTTTTCATCTGCTGTGTCCTCGCATTGTGCTTCTACTTCCGCATCCACTGCTAGTTTCCTACTTTCCCCCGCTGAAGAATAGTCGTCCGTTCTTTGCCGCGATAAATTGCAGACCACGTCGCCAGCTCAGTTTCGCGGCGGGATGGTTGAGACTAGCTAGCCACACAGGAAACGCATGGAAAAGTCCGTCATCGATATCCAAACGCACCAAATCGCCTCGTTGATTCCCGTGTTAGAAGTGGAACAAGGAGAAGGAAGGAGAATAGAACCAGAATGGAAAAGGGAGTATCTGACTAAGGGTGAGGGGCATGATCGACATCCACAATCATGGTAGAAAAATTGGAAGAAGCAAAGCACCAACTACAATTCTAGTTCTATCACCATTTCCAAGAGCATTATATGTAGCCACGGGTGCCTCTCATAATGTGAATTGTTGTAATCCCTGTGCACTTTGAACGCAAAATCGATGATTTCGTCACGCAGCACCTCTGCCGCTGCCAGTTGAACGACGATGGGGACATTCACACCACAAAAATCTGAGAACATTGCACTTCCTCTCGGATCGCGGACATTCTTAAAGGTCGGCAGTCTGTCGTGGTCACTGATCATTCTGAAGGAACAAAACCCCGTACACACCTCGTCTCCCATTGTTTTCCCTTCATTTATTTCCCCTGTTCTCTCAGTCAAGGGGTCTCCTCTTACTTCGGTGTCAGTGACCAACTTCAATGACCAGGGAAAGCTGAGCCTTAACATTCGGCTTGTCGTAGTATCTATCCCTCCACATCGATGCTGCTCTCTTCTGCACCTGTTGTCCCGCCCGAGCAGTCATGGAGGAAACAGAGCAAGTTGCGGGACAAGACGTTGTTTTACTGAGGAATGATACTAGTTTTGAAGAGGACGTTCTCCTTCTTTCTGAGGCTCCTGCTGTTGCACAACTACTATAAGTATCTTCTACTTCGGACGATGAAGGTTGAGCAGGTGCAGCTGTTGTAACTGCCGTTCCTGCGATTGGTGTTGTCTTAGAGTCGTCCAGTAACCCTGCGAGGACATCTTCTTGTTGCTCTATTCCCGTCTCTCCGCCAACGTCAACAACATCTTGTTCATCTTCTTGTTCCTGCTGTCCACCTTGAGCTTCGTCTTCAATAATAGGTGGTAAGGTCCTGGCGATCAGGTTGCCCACCACCTGCGCAGCCTCCGCATCGATGATGTCTGTAGGTACTGAAGCCGGTGACAAATTGCCGACTCTAGGAAGTTTCTTGTCCAAGTTTACCCAAGGACTGTACAGCAACGCTCCCCCTGGCTTGATCTTTTCATAGAATTTCCTGCGAGAGGCAAAGGTTGATGCTTCGCTCATGATAATCTTCGTTGTACTAGAAGTTCCTGGTCCTGCTACGACGACTTCATCGTTTGGCGTGAAAGAGCCGTCTTCTGGTGAAGATGACGCACTGCCAGATTCAGGAGAAGGTGACGGGGAAACAAGATGAGTAGAACTAAAAGGCCCGGTAGTTTTGGATCTCCTGAGAAGAGGAATTTCGGAGGTACTTCCAGAGGATGAAGAGGATGGCTGCAGCAGCTCTTCAGGAGAAGAAGAACTGGGTTTAGAGCAGGTTACGGAACAATTACATTCTTCAGAACGTGACCCTTGACCCTTTTCCTACTGGAAAACGAGTGAAGGATGCTAGTGAAGAATGCAATGTCGAAACCCTTAATAGGTGGTGATGCTGAGTAGTGGTCGGCTTCACTGCTAGGGAGCCAAGGAAAGTCGCTTTGTTTAATCTCCCCACTGAAAACCATTTCTCGCAGTCGGAGCATTACATTTGGCGCCAGTCCGCCACCAGCCGACTCACCGCACAACACGATCCGATGAGGCTCTATCCTCATATCTCTGACCAAATAGAGGTAAGCTGCGACCCCGTCTTCGACACCGTCTAGTAGGGTACGGTCGTTGCGAAAGTTGAACGGTTTTCGATAGTAAGGAACGAGCATCGGTCCTTGACAATCGTGGACGCATTTGTGAGTGAAAAAGCGGACCATCTTTGGATGCATCAGAACAAAACTACCACCATGGAAATAGAGAAACACTGGCTTGTAATATTCGGACTTGTTATTGCTGGTGTCACCTTGTTTCACCTTGTTTCCTCGTTCATTTGCGTCACCATCATGATCCGTCGCTACTTTTCTATTCTCCAACCCTGTTGGCGTAATCCATTCAGCCATGATTTGCTTGCGGCAAGAGCCATCCCTTGCATTCGCGTCAACAGGGATCCAGACCGTCTCCCTTTTTGTCCTACTAGGCAAAACGAAAACCGGTACGTCCAACAGCACGTACATAAAGGCACGAAGAAGAGGCACAACGTAGGGAGCGACGTGGGTTAGATGATGATGGAAGAGGAGTCGGAGTGAGACGCAGTCCAAGTAGAAAGGCCACAGTCCAAGTAACAGTCATTGTTTACTGGAAAGGGTGTCTCTTGCATGCACACTACAGACACCTGCTCAATTTTTCTTGGTTTCTGATTTCGAACTTGCGCATCCAAGCACAAGAATCGCGACATGCAGTTAGTAGTTGACGTCGACTCCCAACTGCCCCATTGCAGGTATTATTTACTTACGGAAAGCACAACGTCATTCGTTCATCTTCATCAATGTCAAATGTACTACTACTATTATGTTCTTGTGTTTCTTTGTAATTCATAAGTACGGAGTATACGTCTCGCCAAGAAATTTCAGTAGCCGCATAATCGGAAAATTCCAGAAGAGGATACAGAAGCGGCATATGCGGGCTCGAAAGTCATGGATTAGAAGGCAAGGAGCAGAAGGTTGGTTGTTTGAGAATCCGCGGAAATGAGAGGGAAAAGACAAAGAGCGCACAGCGAATGTTGATGAAGGCAACTGCTGCAGACACCGTAAATGTAAATTCTTTACCTGTTGTTCCATTTCAATGGCTGCAGCAGAAATATGACGAGTGAAAATGAATCGTAACTCAATATAGTGACTTTGTCGCCAGCTGCCACTTTCAATCCAGCGTTCACAGGAACTACTCGCCGTTGATACTGCAGTGCTGAGCGGCGGACTGTCAGCTGCAGATGACCAATGTTGAGATTCTTTGCTAAGACGAGGAAAGACGTTGGAGCGAGGCGGCGTCATGTGCATGTCCTCTGGCATGCTGCCCTCAAAAGGCAAAGGTTTGATGTCGTAGTCTTCAGCATGGGAACTACAAGAGGCTGTCGTTGAACAAGAAGGGTTGTCGAATTTATTTTGCAACTTTGACACTCCGGAAGATGGAGGTTCTATTTCGTGTTCATTGTACTGCTTCTCACTAGGTATGCCGTTCGGTGGATACGTCATATCACCTCCGGAGAAGATCGCGCCAGGACTGTCGAGCCTCGAATCCTCGTCAAACTCGTCGAAGACATTTTCATTTTGGGCTGCTCCAGAAGCTTTTCTGTACCTGCTGTTCTCGTCATCTCTACGACCTTCAACATGATCTGCGCCCCCATCAGAACTAGAAGATGGATGTTCTACAGACATTGTTTCATCATTTGGCTCTAAAGACGAGGCTCCTTCACTTTCTCCATCACTATCGACATCAAGTGCTTCTGGCTCTGGTGCCGGTGCTCTGCCTCCAGCAGTAGTTCCTGCTTCCACCTGCTCCGTGCTGTTGCTTTTGTGTAGTTGCTTGATGATATTATCATTATCATCTTCAACTTCAGCACTATCAGCAGGATCAACTACATCACGAGCAGCATCTAGTTCCATCGAGTTAATCTGGTCATCGAAAATCAGCGCTCTCGATTTCGAGTTAGTCGCAGAAGACAGTCCATCGGAGCTGGCACAGCTGTTAGAACTGTCTAAGTTAGTAACTAGAACTACCTGTTGATTCATACCTGTTGATTCATATTTTCTACTTTTTATGGAGTGCTCCTGGTAAGGCTTAGTTAAGAGATTAAACTACTTAATTAAACTCAGCTAAAGTCATAGTATGTAATATTGGTATTTTCCAACTTGTTCATGACACAACAACATGATGATCCATCTTTTTCCTTCCCATAAATGTAGTCGCTGTATCAAGGGCTGTTGTAGATGCTATGCTGTTGGCCACGCACGACGACCGGAAGAAGCTACAACTAAGAGCTGGACGCTTCGTCCCACAACTGTCGCTCTCGTCATCGTCTGTGAAAAGAAGCGTAGCTGAGTCAACCCGTCTAACAGGACTCCAATCTTCGTTCTCATCTTGTTCTACTCCTATTCCAGCGACAGCACGTGCACCTGAACAAGTACTAAAAAATCCTTCTGCTGCTTTTGTTTCACATGTGGTAGAAGTCGAATTACAGTAGAAGTTGGTGTTGGAGGTCTTGTTCTTAGTCCTGTTAGTAGTACCACTAGTATTAGAGGACACTGCAGAAATCCATCTCGGTGAGCATCTTCGTAGCCATTTTCGCTTCAAAACGGGAACAAGATGCCGGGGAAAATGGATTTCGTCCTCCAGCCTTAATACTAGTAGTTCTACCTTGTGGGGTACCGATGTTGCCAACATTTGATGGAGTTCCACAGTCCGCACTGCCGGGATAATTCAACTGGCTCACCAGTCTTCGAATTCGACTACTTACTGGTTCTCCGCTCACCATCCGTTCGAGATTTTCCACACCGAAATAGTCTCGCATCTGCTTGGTGGCGTGATCACCCAGAAGTCTTTTGCTTGCAGAGGAAGAAGAAGAAGGATGCGAATGGGCGGGATCACAAGAAGTATTGTTGTCTGATGAAACAGTCGTCGTAGTAGTCAGGATTCTTCGTCTTATAGATGGACAAAGAGGACTCGGCGTACTGTGATCTTGGAACATCAACGCTTGATGTCCTCGTACAGCGTATTCATCTTCGTGATCTGGTATATCCGACAGGGCTTTGAACTTGCTTTCACTAGATGGAACGTTTTTCCACTGCTCGTTGTCCGTCTCCATGGCCATGGCCATGCGCATGTTGTGCTGATGGCGCGCTTCGACACTGCTTTTGATGGCGGCAGCTGTTGCACCAGCACTGAGATCGGTGGCGCGGTCGACTTAGAACTACCCCTAGTTGTTGTTCATCCTTGTGGGAATCTTTCAACATCAGAACATCAAGTGGTATACCTTGTATACTGTCGAGAGATTGTTACTTCCAGAGAGACAAACTGTGTCATGTGTGCACCTCAAATGACTAGTATCCTCAATCATTAGCGAGACGGATTAATAGAGGTAGAACTAGCCTTAATAGACATTGCACAGTAAAGTCGAGTCTGCTCCTTCATCATGTCCGGCGAATTCGTAGTACTGCACGGAAATCTCTCCCTGCCGTCGATCTTGGTCTAGGAAAGCGCCTTCGTCAATGCTCGGAGACGATGCAGGAGAAGGTTTTAGATGAGGGAATAGATGAAATGTTGAAATCATGATCCATTTTTCATTTTCTTGATCGTCTCAATAAACTCAATAATTAAACGAACGACCTTTTAAAAATAGGTAGGAAGAGATGACCTCAAGCTGTTGCTGAAAGTGAAACCTAGGATCAACATAACTCTACCCGCGATCGATGCGTCCTGCATGTGACGGTTTGACGCCGAAGACATCGAGGAGGCTTGACCTGTAGCCTGAAGTTGCTTCCGCTGAAAGGCACGACGCAAAGATCATTCAAGAGCGGCAGATACCGGGAGAGGTACTTATGCAGAACATCCGAGCCATCTATACACGTGTCACATCGGAACAACTCGGGATTTCCTGCCGATGCTGCACCAGGGAGACCATCTCGATCTCCCACCTTACACTTTTTGTTGTCCCCGCCTTGCTTGATGTTCGCCTTGCTCCCGAGTCCGACATCTTCACGCTCACTCCTTTGTAGTTCACGCTCATTCGGAAAGGGTATGAAAATTCGTAGAGCGTCAAGCAAGACCATAATTGTGTCCGAACCCGAAGTTGGTACTTCGATCGTGTGATCAAGATCTAACAATTTCGTATCAATTGCAACGCAAAACAGAAATAAAGACCTCCAAATGAAAAGCCTAAGTTGTCCTTGGGTTTGGAATTGCATTTCCATTTGCTTAAACTGAAACTTTATCGCTAGACAATTCGAGAAACCATTTATGAATCTTCTGAATCTGATGAATAGATAAATTCAAATAAGCCAGCTTTTCTCTTTATTATGTCTTCAAGCGAGTGTTTTTTCTTTTCTTTGTCATGGTAGTTTTCAGATCGATTGCAGTGTGTCCTCTTTCATTTTTTGTCGTGTAAGTAACTAGCTTCTTGTTTGCTTTTAGAAAATTCATTCCCTCGATGCGCAAAATCTCTCGTAATCTCCGTTTTCTTGAGTTGTTTTTTCCGCGACTCATTCGGCTTAAGACATTTCTGCTTCCCTGTTTTTCATGCCTAGCAGCTGCAGAAGTAGGGACGAGAGTGCCGCTCAGAGTAGCGATAAGCATGCCCCTCTCATTAATAAAAAGGAAAACTGATACTCGCTCCGCGACAAGTAGAACAGCATGGTCGGTTGTACGTCTTGAGAATCAATGTTGAGCTGAAAGAGATCATTCAGGTATATTCACATCGGAATAGGATATAAGGAAGGAAGTGCGCCCTATTGATATAAGTAAAAGCGCACCTTTGGAGATTTCTTGTATGTGCTGTCTGACACTGACTTTTTGCGTGAGACCTCGAATAAAATTTTCACACTTCGGGTTGCGAAGTGGAAGTGGTCCGCGATTGCGTTTCGTTAAATGCGGAATGAAGCAGAGCTTTTGATTTCTCGTGAATGGGTGGGGGTGCCTGCTTGATATCAAAAACAATAAATATGTAAATTCTACTTTAACTTTTTCATCTTTCTTTATTTATTAATATGATCTTCATTACACTTCGTATTTTCATACGATGCCAGCCTTCTCGTTCTTGGAATAGATTTAAATCATAAAATTCCGAGTAGGGGCATCAAAATCCGGATTGAATGCATATCTTCAATCTCAGAAAAACGTTCAGTAATGATGTTTCCACGAACAGGAAATCGAAATGGAACTGACAAATACAAATTCGTGACCGTATTTGTAGTTTTAGCATCGAAGTGCTCCTAGTAGAGATCATGTGAGTACGAGTAGGTTGAGAGGCTTACAAAGCAAGTTGAAAATGTTGTACTCCTATTGGTACTCGTAGGTTTTCCACGACGCAATCGAATTCGGATTTCGGAAGCGAAACTTCCTTCTCGTTCATACTAAAATAGAAGAACAATACGATCAGTTTCCTTCGTCTTCGTGCATCAGCAAATAACAAATTGCTGTAAAATGTTGACGCGATCCTCGTTCAGGTAAGTCAGCGCAAACATTGCAGAAGACGTTTTTTCGCTTCTGATACACGCTCGATTGCCGCTCTAGCATCGGCAGCTGCAGGACTATTCGGCTGTTCCCGCTCGCAAAAGCGGTAGAGTGCGTTTGTCAGATCTATAGCTGCATCCAAGACGTCGGGAGACGACGAACCTTCGTCAAGCGACAAGACCCGCCAAGCCCAATCGAGAGAATTTGCGCTCGCTTCTTCCTGCAAAATTGCTCTCAGTCGGTCCGCTACGACAATGGCCGCTTTCTTTCCAACTTCTTCGACCCGCTTCGCATACTTCCTGAAGTCCACTTCCCTCATAAAGTCGAAATGGTCATGTCCTCTTCGCTCACAGATAAACTGCGCAAGTGGGTCTTCCCGCATGTCGTTAGTAACATATGCCACCCCTGTCGTTAACAAGGCGTCGGGTCTGTCCAGAGTGGGGTGATACAATGCTTCGAAAAGGCGAACCTTCTCTGTGTTTGGTAACTGCGGTTCCCTGCGTAGGTGGACTCTTTGCCGCATGTAGTTCGAATTGTGTCGAATCAAGAAATCTACAATACTGACATCTACACGTTCGTCATCCCAACCCCGCATAGCAGCTATGATTGTGGAAGCTGACTCATTCTTGACAGCGCAAAGCCAGTCCTTGATTCGCGTTGGGGCAACTGTCTGCAGCGTGCTCTTAGCGTCAGCGTGGATGATCGACATATACTGCTCCTCCATATCATGATCATTGCACATTTCACATATTGAGTGGTATAGGCCATTACATTTTTCGTTGGAGTCCGTATCAATAACGTACACTATGTGGAGATCTCGCGGTTTCAGAAGTGAAAAAGTTATGGGTTTGCCGCTTCGCGTATGATGTTCGCAAATCCGCTTTCCGTGGAACTGCCAACAGTTTCTGTGAGTAAAGAGAGAAAGAGATCATGAACGAGATGAAGATGATCTTTGTTCGGTGATAGAAGGAGAAAAATTGATAAAAACAAAAAGTACAAGGCAAAGGGAGTCAATGCAGCTTGAAGATAATTCCATACTTAGAGCTTAGTCAACTGATGAAGAAAGTTGCGTTCGATATCGTGATCTCCTTGATATAAAGGTACAAAAATTTAGTTCCGTGCAATACCGAAATTTGGTGATATTTGTGATCTTGGTGCTGGCATCCTCGCAGTACTGGAACTCCCACTCGGGATACTCAGTTTTCAGTTCGCGCCAGGTCTTCCACTTTCGTGTCCGAAGATCTCGAATATTTGCGTCGTCTTGAATCTCATCGCACGTTTGAAACGACGGCATACCGCCTTGCGTGACGCCAGCCATTACACGCAGCTGGTGGCCTAAAGCACAAGCATGGCGGTGGGTTGCACTGCCAGGTTCCGGTCTGTCGCACTTTCGTCCGCACACCGGACAACACGCCGAACAACCAATAGCGTCCTCTTTGAATTTGTAGTAAATGCTGTCGAGGCCCAAATCCGTGATGTCCAATTTGAGTGATCCTTCAGTCTCCATCTCGCGCAGCTTTGTCAGACAACGAGGTGCCAGTGCGTCGCAAAACACCTCCAGTGACGAAATGACGCCATGGCGTGTCTGCATGTTCACAAAAGGCACGGAGCCCCAACTCTCCAGATCATGCACACTGCAGATCTCCCACGCATTAGCACGATTCCTGGATGTAGGACTAAGTAATCCATATTCATAATACTTATATATAAATATAAATATATATACAGTCTATCATTTTTATTCATCATAGTCACATGAGAAGTTGTAGATGTAGTTCCTTTTCTTACGCAAATAGCATCAACAAATTGAATTTCAGTTTCGGATGGATATCATTGGCGGGCCTTCCAGATTTTTTTCTCCGGTGGTCCGCCTCATCAGAAGTATTTATTTATATTGAGGTGGACCGTGGAAGAGGACAACCAAAGGACGCAATATCTTCTCAAACGAACAAAATCTGTCTTTCAATATATTCGAGGATGAGAAAATTGCAAATATCGAGAACCATGTTGGTAATTCCACTCTGATGAGTTTCTTGCTCTTGACGATCAGCGATATCATCAGATACTTATTGATATTCATCCCTAAAGTTAGAATTTTCGGCCCACGTCCACGTAGTGTCGTCTCGGTATAAATCGCTTTGGCGGTTATTACCCACGCAGGAGTCGATGAAGAAAGCAAAGGTTGCGCTTTGCTGATCCGAAGAGCTCACATTGAAGCAGGTACGACCCGGTTGCGCCGAAGTCGAAAATAAATTCGAACCAGCTTCCCGACCTGTCTTGAGAAACTTTCTGATATTCTCCAGATGCTTCAACAACTTTTCCAGTGCTGTGCGGACTTCATATCGGAACTCCGTGACAAGCCTTGCCTTCAACGTCTGGTAGTGCATGTTTTAGAAGAGAGAGCGGATACGGAAACGACATTAGCGTCAGTAGCTTAATGACAATGCTACGTAAGAATGCTTTTCGATTTCGCAATATCTTTTTTTCGAACGGTGTATTGGTAAAAAATATAAGTTGCTTGTAATATGGGCATTTTCTTTAGTTTTCTAAGCCCAGGCTCTCTTATGTTATCGATTCAAGTTTGAAGTTGTCATATTCTTTCATGGCCTTCTTACATGATGAGAAACGGAATGACATCAAAGCCAAAGATAATTCATATTCCGAATTCCATCTTTGCATGTTCTTCATGCAAAGTGAAGAAATCACGCAGTAGAGTTTGACGCTTAACCCAGAAGAAGTAGTCGCCTTTTCATTACTGATGCTATTCGTATCCTTCAGTGCAAACATTGAACGAGAACGAAAGCAACATGGCATAATCTTTCCATCGCTTTTCGAACTCGTCACTTATGAAGTTGGCTTGGTCAGTGGCATAGCGGACCACTTCATCTGAGTCTGCTGCGGGGTTGAAAGGAAGCCGCTCGTCTAAGGAGCTTTGCACAGCTGCCGCAGTGAAAAGCGGAGCGTGATCAAGCAGCTGCGATTTCGCTGTTGCAGAGAGAGCCTTGGTAGTCAATTTGACTAACGTCTGTGTTGCGGAATCCATCACGCGCTCGGCCATCATTTCGCTTTGTCCACGTGGATCAGCCAGAATAGATTTAACGACAAACTGCCGCCATGCCTCCCGATCTTGCTCGAACTTTTTAATGTGGCGCACGGATCGAGCACGCGAGCCGTCAGATATGCATTTCCACATGTAAACAAGGACATAGAAATGTAAGTACGCCGCCCCGTCCATGTCCAATGCCCATCCAAATAGTTGTAGATCTGCGTTAACCCACTTTTCAATTACATCGGAGCAGCGCTGCCTGACAAGCCGTGTGAGGTGTACGGAGTAGCTCGCGATTGCTGAAGAACTGCTCGGCGCATTCTTCAAGTCGGAGTCGAGCGCAGAGAGGTCAGTCTCTGTGTCTATGATTCCGCGAAAACGGCGAAAAACAGCCTCACTCCAGTTTCCGTGCATCATGGCGAAAGTATTAAACTCTTTGGTGATGTCGTGCATATCCGTTGCGACATCGACACCTACCGCGTGCAGTAGCGCATCGGTAATCTCACCACGACTCTGGTCATTTTTTTCTTTACAACTACGAAATTTTGTCTTTACTTGAAAGACTATCTCCGACGAAGCAGCTTGCACAACGTGCGGAACCTCAAACTTAGGTGGCTTTAGCTGCCGCTCTTCGACACGTTTGATCTTCCGGAGATCTACAAAATCACTGTTGTGTAGTTGTCGCTGCTGCGCAAAGTTCGGAATCGCTAGTAGTACAGCACACCTAGAAGTATTGCGACGTGACCCCGAGCTGCTTGGCGTTGATCCTGATGTTGCTTCGTGTGCGGAATCGCTGCCGCTTTGAGGCATCGCAATTCGGCTTTGTCGTGCCTCCTCTCGCCTTCGTGCCGTCCGAAACTCCGAGAATTTGTCACACTCAAGCGCAATCGATTCCGACGGACGCTTTGTTTTGTTTCCTGAGCCAAAGAGGTTACTCCACACTGAAGGAGCCACGTTTCGATCACAGTTCTCAAAAATGGTCAAAATCGCTTGTTGGAAGTCCTGGGATAGGGAAAACCCGAATTCTTGAAAGTTTTCCGCAATTAGAAGGTGGAACAACCGGCATCGCGCGTCAGGCACTAACGCGGAATTTTCTGCGTAATCCTGCAGGGTACACCAAATTCTCATCCAATCAACAGCTTTAGCAAATTCGCTCCAGTCGTAGCGCTCTTGAACGTGATATACGTCGTAGAAATCGCCAGGCGAAAGAAAGGACACTGCCTCCGACGATGTTCCGCCACTGCGATAAAGAATATCTGGGAGATCCTCCGGAGCTGCGTTGACAAAGGCGCTGGTGCTTTTGTTCATGCAAGGTATACCCGATTCAAACATGCACTTCACAATTTTGTTCTCCAGGGCGTCACAATCTGACGTGGACTCTAAGAGCTTTTTCATGTGCATTTCGAAGTCAGAGTCTCCAAAAATGCTAAGAGGAAAATTCTGGTGCTGTGCGTAGCTCCCTTTAAGAAGCGACCACAGCCGGGTCTCGTCCTGACTCAGCTGTAGCTTTTGGTGCATACTCGTGACGATCCCGCGCCACACGCTGTCGAATTCTGCTGAGATGAGTTCCGTCTTCTGTTCATCCGTCAGAGGAGGTGCTCCCCCCTCCGCTCCGTCACCGAGCGAGTCATCATCTGGCTGCATGTCGCCAGCACCTGTCGCCCTCCGAAAACGAGAATCCCTGGTGAATTTCTCGATTAGGTCATCAATCTGCGCCACGCCTTTTTCCCGACTCTTCTCTGCGGCGGTCTCTTGTAGCAAGAGCAGCGCCTCGTGCTGAAGGCCATCGCAGTGACAGCGAACGAGCTCCCGAAACTTTTTCTGGTACTGCTCCATGAGGTCGTTGTCGTAGGTCAACAGCTTCTCCTTTGCCTGATCCCGCAGATCGCTCTCCATCTTTTGCTGCACCTCGTCGAAGTAGGTTTGGAGTTTCGACCTGATTTCCACCTCCATAGTCTGCTGATACTTCTTGCTCAATATCTTGTCAGCATCCACGATGGAAAGCGCGCTGTCAACTTGCTTCTGTGCGTCGGCTTGCGCCGTTGAGGAAGTCAGATGCTTTTCCTGCAGAATTTGGCTGATAGCTGTGAGCTCGTGATTTTGCTGTAGCAACTTCATGTTGGCGAACCTGTACAGGTCGGGGTAGTTTTGAATTGTTCGCCATGTCTCTGCACTCATACTGATCCAGCTTCGTAGCTCTTGTCCGGCTGGACAGTATCCCCGCGAGCTAACTCCGCCGTTGTGATGAATGACGCTGCTATTACAGCCGCCTCCGATTGGAACGGGCGGGGAATCCTCACCGCCAGAAAAGATGCCAATCATGCTGTCGGAGCGAACAAGTTTTCCTCCGCCTCCACTCAAAGAAACCGACGAGCCGAGCAACTGTTTCGAAAACGCCGCAACCTCCTTTGCAAAACGCGTGCTGGGCTGCAATCGCTCCCATTCCTCCACTCGGCCACGCTTGGAATCTTTCTCGTCCGTTTTGGACTCGAAGGCAAACGACAGCAAGACGAGCCTTTCCTCGGTAAACAACATTGCGTCTGCCGCATCCTTTGCCTCCGGTTTAGATTCGCGGATGCTTTCACTGATCTTATTGATCTGTTCCAGGTAAGGAGCCTTGCTATCCGACGCGTTCTTGTTGAAGACCATGAACACTTGCGGCATGGCCATTTTCGCTTTGTTCAACCCGTCCAAGGAGTAGATGCAGATCTCCAACAGCTCCTGCATGCTGCGATCGAGTTCGGTATTCACGTTGATGATCACGAGGTTCGATACCGCGAGGCAGAAAAGCGTGATTTTTCGGTCGAATTCGGGATCGCCCTTCTCCGGACTTTTGAGTCCTTCGGTGTCAATCACCATCAGCAAATCGTAGTCCGGATGCTCCAGCTCAATGCAGGATCCGTAGACACCTTTCGTGCATCGGCCACCACTGGTGAAGAACTTGCATCCAAAGAGAAAGTTCAGCAACGTGCTCTTGCCTGAGGACTGCGGTCCCAGAATGCTGATGACGAGCACCCGCTTCTTACCGAAAGTACCGAAAGCTTCCGCCAGTGTCTTCTTTGGAATCGACAGCGTGTCTCCGTCGATGATCTCGAACGGCTCGCCCATGTTGATCATGGTCAACAATTTTTCGACCGCGTCCACGCCAGGATTTGGCGAAAGCACAGGCAAGAGTTCAGAAGCAAGTGGCGTAGAAGCGTCCTGGCAATCGAACTCCTTCATGTTGTAGAGCTCACGCCACAGAAGCTCGAGCGAGAAACGCTTGCCCATGATGCGGTCAGCAACGCGGCGCACTTCCTTTCGAAGACTCGCCGCCTCCTCTACATCGGCCTTATCCTTGCGGGAGTGCATTTTGTCCATCAGCTGAGACTTCAGAAGTTCATCTTCATGGGTGTTGCGCTCGTTGAACGCTTTCAGCAGGTACCCAATGTAGCCCAAGATGAGGACGCAGTCCGGGTCCTGCAAAATCGACACAAAAAGATTGTACAGCGAAGTCGGCTTCGTCTTTTGTAGTTGTTCTAGTACTTCCTCCTTGCGGGCCTTGGCTTCCTGGAGAATTTCCACCGCAAGGTCAGGATTCTTCAAAATACGCTCCTGCTCCCGCAGGATTGTTAATCCGCGCCGTGAAGCGAGGCACAACGGATCGAAGAAGTCCTCCTTATACGGTTCCAGCATTGCGAAAAATCGCGTCGCCGAGTCGTGCACTCGCTCATGAATCGGTTTATCAGAGCCAAGGCATTGTAGCGATTCAGAAGAAGATTTGTTCTGCACCTGATGATCTCGACCTTGGCGAACTTTTCGTAAAACTCGTAGAAACTGTTGTTTCTCGAAGTACTGCCCACAGGTCTCCGAAGCGGTTGGAGCATCCGACATCTCCTGATCACCATCTTGCAGACTCAGGCTCGAGAGGGGAAATGTTCTTGCTACTTGTACTTCCCGATTGAAGATCGGCTCCAATTCATACCGGACAGCGCGATCAAGTTGTGGCTGGTCAGCAAGCGCGGTGAGGTCGTGCAAAGCTACTACATGAAGCCGCACATTCGGAAAGGACGTGCGACAAAGGTTGTACAAGACGCTGAGTTGCTGCCCACCTCTGCTAGTCGTCGTTTCATGAGGCACTCCCGAATCAGTCGCGGCGCCAACATTGGAAAACGGATTCGGAGACACATTGGCTGGGACATCTCGGGCGAGTACAATTACGCACCGCAGAGCATCGGCTTCGACATTTTTCGCCGCGTCCTCAAACTGCTGGGTCAAGTGCGCCTTTCCGCTATAACCTCGCTCGATGCTCTCGATGTCATCCCAATGTACATGAATGCACCAGTGAGAAAAAAGCGTAAGCACTGGTCCGAAGCGGGAGAAATCCGCTTGCCCATGCTGATCAGCCACGCAGATGCGGCGTCGTGCACTATCTGCTTTGAAGGAGTAGCCGAGGTCCACGTCCATGGATCCGAAGCTAAAAAATCCGCTGTCTTTCTCGGCAAAGCTGCACATGAAAAGACGATTAATCAAGGTACTCTTGCCAATAGCCTCAGAGGCCCTCGCGCCGAGGCCGAAACTGACAATTGCGGTGTCGTACGCCTCGCGAAGGATGAAAAAGAGATCAGCGTTGAGCCTGTGGCCTGGATGAATCAATGGTAGAGCGTGCAGAGTGTTGAAATCCAGCAAGAGTCGCAGCTTCAGTGGCGTCTCGGATTGCAAGAAAACGAAGTGAAAAAGTGCCTTTGGTGTGAAAAGATGCGCAATGGCCTCGGCTACACCAGCGTTGCACGAGACGGCGCTTTCGTCTTCGTCATCGACCTCCATCTCATCCTCCCCATCGCTTCCGACATTTGTTGCCGCGCTTCTGTCCGCTGCTCGGCAACTTGTGATGTACTCTGAAATGGTCTCATCCGCTACGCTCTGAAACTTGTTCCAGCTTTCGCCGCGTTTGAGAAGGTTGAAAATGATAGGAATCACGTATTTCTTGAATCCATCAGCCGCTGATTGATTCCGCAGCCATGTGCGTAGCACGTTCCGAATCTCGTCCGCTTCCAATCGAAGCGAAACCTGATTACAGTAGGATGAAAATCGAAACGAACAAAAGATAATTACAAAAGAAAATGACAGTATCTTTGATGTCCTAAATAGTATAAAATCAGAAATAATCGTTCGGTATAGAAGTCAAGGTGCCTCATCGTTCATACCATGCCGGGTGCGTCGTGTCACCCTCGTAGGGAAGCGTGGCAACGAAGTTGATGTGATGATGAAATCAAAAGGGTTATTACCCTGTTGTATTCCGCGAGCCTAACTTCAGTGGAAGCAAAGTGTTTTTCAACTTCGTCGACCTTTTCCCGACACATATCCAGCTTGCCGAAGTAGAACGGAGGTGGGAGACAAAATGCAGGGTTGTTTTTCACCCATGCTATGCATAAATTCTCGTTCAAACGGCGTAGCTTTGGTAACAGCACCCGATTCACCTGAAATTATTCGTCGAGGGGTGCACCAAGGTAGGGTCAAATCGCTGAAATAGTCGTAACATACAGGTTGCAAGCTTAGGTGAGAAATTTTCAAAATCAAACACGATGAAGATGAACATGAATGTAAGGTGAGAGTCAATATTACATGTGACATAATTACAACATCAACTGCTTGTAACAATGAATTTTTACCAAAGGAAGATGCTTAGTACCATCTGCGGAGCGAACTCCCGCTCTTTCGCTTGCTCCAGTTGCATGAAGATGTCTACCGCAACATCGGTCATGGTTTCATGATAGGTGCAGATCTTCGGCATATCCAATATTGCAGACGCTCCACCTGCGCCTCCACCAGCGAACGCTGCACCACTAGGTTGCGGCTCGTCGCACTCTAGCGTCTCCCAAATCTCCGACGCGAGCCTCCAGTGCTTCTTCGCAAAAGTCGCAAAATCCTCGTTCAGTCTGCGACGAGATGCAGCCGACGGCTCGTGGCCCATTGCAAAAAGCTTTGCAATGCGGTAAGCCCAATATCCGTGCGAATCGACGAAGAGCAGCAACTCCGGACACGCTTCGCGGTATTCTGCGTGCGAAGCGAGTGCGCGTATTGCCGGCTGCGACGCTGGCACTTTGTCGTATAGCTCCTCCAAATCCTGAAAGAGCTCTCGACGGTCCTCAATATCGCCGCTCTGGAGACAACTGCGAAGGGCGCCAGCCTTCGCTGCTCCTACCTCACCTTCTACCGCAGCCCATAGCTTGTTGCTGTTTGCTACGTACTCCTGAAACTGCCGCGCCTCACCTTCAACCTCGTCTGCGTTCATGCGACGCCTTTTAGGCTCCGGGACAGTCGTCGCACGCGAAGACGAAGCTCCCATCTTCTGTAAAGTCCAAACTATCTAACCAGGTATATAAATTGACAACTACTACATCTACATGAAAAAATTGTTCAATTCAAATCTAGTACATCAGATCTAGAGCTGCAGCTCCTGGCTAGTTCTAGTACAACTCATACATAAATATCTTAGCGTTTTTATCACAATCACACACTTGATTATGATGATCATGAAGAAAATGAAAAAGCATACAATACTAGAACAAATTTTTCTTTCACGTCGGCAGAAACCAACAATCACTATCTATCACTTTAGCTTAAACTCTAAAACGAACTCATGGCTGAGGCAGCTGCCATTGAGTAGTAGTTCGTCTTTCTGTCAAACAAAAAAAAACTTGCGTCAACGTCAAGGAGTATTAGTGAACTACTTGTTGATCACACCTCGTCCAGTACACCGATTTCATTGATGACGTGCTTCAGCGAAAGCTCGATTCAGCGTAGACTCATTGAGGCCTTTCGAGCATGGATTTTTCTTTGTAGTTCTTCTCGAAAAGAGAAAGCAAAAGTAGACTTCAACACTACACGCCACATCAGTACCAGTAGGATGGAACCATTACGCAGAAGTGAGGGACCCAGAGTTTCCCTTCTAGTTGAAGAGTAGGAGCAGCAGGACCGGTTCCACGAAAAATTCGTGAATGCGCATCACTACATACTTCTGCAGTGAAAACAACTTTTATTCGTCTTTTCATCCTTCTGTTTTTCTTTAAAGACACTGCGCGTTCAGATGTTGTAGCGTCCTCACAGCATCAAAAGAAAGGGCAGCACAGTTACAACTACAAACATTTGGAGTTTCCTAAACATAAGCGGTTTTAAGATGTGTGGTACTCTCTACATTCACATTGCTAGAATTTCGATTACTAGTACATTTCTGAGGTTCGGTTCCAGTTGATTCGTCTAAACTATAAAAGAAGAAATCATTCTTAATCTTATGCGGCCCATTAATACGGGCTTACACAATCCTGTGTGTTCATTTTTCGATATAACAAGAATAAGTTTGTTACAGAAAAGTACTTACTTTCGATAGATGATGAAGATGATGTTATGTAGCAGAGGACTAACTTGCGAGAGATCAATATCAAGCGTGTTTCATTCGTGTTTCTTTTGTCCTCTACTGCCTATAAGATCTAGTCTGGGAAGTGTTCATGATGATCACAACTTCTAGTTCTACTACAACTACATGAACTAGTACTGCAAATAAGAAATAGTCATCCCGAGGATGCTCGAGCACCACATCCCAATACTTCTACACTGCAAAGGTCCACCAGATCGTCCAGACGGCCATAAAAAGAACAGCGTACCAAATTAGGCCAAACTTAGCTCTCGGGGACAGCAACGCGTAAGGACTGACCCCTGCTCGATCGTACGCGAAGATGTAGAAGATGGCGTAGCAAGATAGCGCCAGGTACCCGCACACTAGGTCCTGGTAAACCAATTTGCTGTTTGCTGCAGACGTCGCGGACAGGGTGTCACGGAGAGCAGCTACAGGTTTGAGCCAGACGACTGTGAACAGAGCGGGAAGAGCGTGCCATTGCCAGCCACTCCAGTCGTCGGCGGTGAAAGAGTAGGCCAAAGCTGAAAGGGTCCACAGTATGACGCCTGCCGAATCCAGAATCGCGAAGAGCAGGCACGGAAACCGCAATGCCGCGTGCACGCAGTGGGCTACCGTCAACGCGTACGGCAAGACAACGCTGTGTACGAGTTCGGTCGGGTACAAAGCGCGCAGAATGGCGATCAGAAAGCAGCCGCACCCGACTAGAAGGGCCATGCCAACCGACGCTGAACTTGGGAACAGCCGGGACTGCATCCACGCGATCCGGTACCAGCACAGGCAGCACAAGCCCAACAGGGAGACCCCGTAAAACGCATCGGAGGGGTGCGACGTCTCGTGGTGACCGCCGTGAGGACGATAGAGGACAGCACCCGACGACGACACAAAATGGTGGTTCTTGTAGTGAGCTTCCGCGCCCCTTCTCGTCTCGGAAAGCAATTCGCGGAACCACGGAAATAAGCTCACACTAGTTGCCCTCAGATCGTACTCAGACCTCGCAGACTCCCCTTTTGTCAGCGGCAACACCGGCAAAGCTCCGCCGAATTGAATGCCCCACAGCAGCAGAATCTCCGTGCCTGCTCGCAGCATGAGCAAAACCAAAGAAAAGCCGGTCACGGTCCCACGCGCACTCGGCAACATTCTCTGCAACAGGTACTGGCTTGCGATAAAAGTGCCAAACGAATAGGACAACTTCAGGCAGGCGGAAGCGGTCAAAACCATACCAGATGAAGTGGCGGCTGCTACAGACGAAGGCTGTGCCACTCCGACAGCGGATCGAACGTGCTCCCCAATACTTCCGACTGACTGTCTGACAACAGGCGGCCCATTCCTCACTACCGCAGGCAAATGCAGCGAATAAGTGTCATCTGGTAGAAGAGGAATCAGTCTCAGTGAGTTTCAAATTGTACATCTTCCTCGACTAAGATTCTTAGTCCACACTATCGATCGTAACTATTCGAAAAACTGAAATAAGCGAGTAACTACTTAAAATAAGGGAGATACAACTAAAAGAAGAGGCATGTTGTAGTCAAGACTCTTTTATTTCAGTCAGTAACTCGCATATTTTGAGTTTTCGATTAAGCAAAAAGATGAAGGGAAGCCATGCAGCATGCTGTCGTCTCTGTTACCATCGTTCATGATGACCGTATGAAGGGAAGCATCCATCAGACATAAAGATAAACGATGACAGGTGGCACCGCAGGTATCTATTCATTATTATGATTACCTGGTATCACCAGCTCCCAACAAAGGAGAGCCACAATGCCTGCAATCCCTGCCAACATTCTCGTATTTCGAGCCAGAATGTACGGACCTGCAGCTAAATACGGTGGCAGATGGACTCCGTAGTAGTCGTCCTTGGCTAATGCCCAGTCACGACCGGCAACCATTCTCGGTAGGTATTCTGTTCACGTTGAGACAAGAGGAATATAGGTCTAAGAGGACGTTAGGAATATAGGTTGACGTTGAGGAGCAGAAAGAAGGAACAATATAGGTCAGTACTAATAGCAGTGGCATAGGCATTGGTAGAGGTGTACATATTAAGAGTCGGTTACAAGAGTCAGATTAAAGATCTCCTAGTTCGTTGTCCGGTGAAGTTGGTGAGACGAGAGAAATAAGTAAAAGCTTTTTGAGACGAGTGGATGAGGAAAGAGGAAAAACTAAAGCTTTTCTTTCAGAACAAAGGGATGAATCTCTAGTACTCACGAGCTGTAGCCTCGAAGTAGCCTCACAACTAGTACTCTTACACATATCAATCTACTAAATGTCTACTTAAGTAGGTACCCATCAAAGCCACTCGCTCCTTCGAGAGCCCCATGATATCTGTGTAGGCGAGGGTGCAAAGTGCTCGAAACCTCTGCACCGGATTCACGTTGAAGGCTAGTGCCTCCGTCCCCCCGAGGGCTGCAACGAACGAGAAAAAGGTAAAGCCAGTAAAACGAAGAACGTCTGGCTCCATGATGTCGCTTTCGCTATCGGTGAACTCCGTCTCCGCACTGAAGAAGGTGCACAATGTGGATTAAGAAGTGCTCCCAAGGAAGTCCAATTACTTGGCAGGAGGTGTACAATAAATTCAAGCTGTAATGGCGTTGAAGTAGGCGGAGTTAGAATTTGAGCTTTAATCTTAGGTCAAGGAAAAAAGAAAAGGAACTAGTAATATGCAGCAACAGCTTGACGTCTTACCCCACCTAGTACCGCTACTATCAACAAACTAGCTAAGCGTCTGGCACTGACCATCATAAAAATTGACCCACTAGACGAGAAACGCACATCAAAAAAATGCTCCTCTAGTTGTGGCCTATAATGAGGCTCCATATTGATATTGAACGCATTCAACTCATGGTTTAAGAGGAGCCATCTTCGTTCAGCTCAAAAAAAAATCTAATACGGAAATGTCCGCAGCGCCTCGGATCCTTGACTACGGAGAATGTTCGATCTTGTTCTCCCAAGGCCAATATCACTTCTTTTATGGCCTGATACCTCTAACAGCGGCAGGTCTGAAAACTCTTCGTCCTCCTCGCCATCCATTTCTTGTTCCCGAGCAGGGGCACGAGAGAATCGAGGATCATCGTACACATCTGATCTCGAAAGTCTTAGAGGTGGGTTGATCAGGATGCAAATCATCGATGATCTGCATCCTTCTCTGAGAAAAACAAAAAGAAAAATCCTTATTAAAGCAAGGCGAGATACTAACTTTGTCCAGTTTGGTCTACTTTTGGAGATCTTTTCCCACCTCTCCTTATCAACAAAAGACCAGAAAAGCATCAAAAAACGACTTCCTATCCAATAGCAATGTCTCAGAAGCTGAGTACTTCTATGAGTTTGATGAAATTACTCCCCGCTGCTCACGATTAGATAGCCTGATCTTTCATCGTCCTTGATTTGAATACGAGAAAAGAAAATAGATCCAAGTACTAGGTCTTAACTGTCCTCCTTGGCCCAGTCCTCTGCGTGATGACTTTCTTTCAGTACCCGCCAGCCTGTCGAAATCGTACATGACAGATCGCCCAAACGTACTTGCAGTAGCCCCTTCATTAGAGCTCAGCCTGTCTAAATCTAAATCTATCTTCCCTATAATCATAAAACTTGAAGATGTAATTGATCTTATAAAACTTCGTAGTGCAACATCTCAGACGAGGGCCTGAGACCACCAGAATGACTGTCTTTGAAAATGGATCAGATCAGCAGATGGACAAAAGCAGCAGCCTTAACTTTCTCCCGCATCAACTGTGTGAGCCTATTGAATTCATCGCCCTCAGCATCCGGTCCATCGCTGTAGTCTTCCGAGTCGTCCATCGTCTCCGTATCGTCAGACAAAGGTCGGTCAAACTTCTCGAAGAGGGCTTTGGTGTCTGTTTTGGTTTTTTCAGGAAGAACAATCTCCCTTGTCATCCACCTACGCACACCCGCGCGACTACCAGCTGTGTTGTCTGCAGAAGCTCCTTGACGCTGTTGGGAACTTGTTCGAGGTGAACGAGCAGCGGTGGTTAGAGACGAAGTATTCACTGTGGAAGGACTGTAATACTTTTTGGCAGGTCCGTCGGAACCGCTGAAGAGCAGGCTCCGAAGTCCGAAGTTTCTCTTCAGTTGAATACGAAGTCAGAAAATTCAAGAATCTCACATATGCATACCGCATGTAGGGATAAAACTAAGAATAGAGGGAAAATTCAAACTCACAAATCGATCCTTAAGAATGGTAATTGTCGATTCGTTTTTCTGCTCTGCCTCTCGCTTTGTCTTTGTTGAATTTTTAATTTTATTTGTTTCTGCTGCATTGCCGCGAGTTGGCGTTGTTGCAAGACTATCTGCCTTTTTTGCAAAGCAACCTGTCTCTGCAAACCACTCTCCTCTTGTTCAGTATTAGAAGTCGCACCCTGAAGCTGCTGCCGACCAGCAACAAATCGCACTCCAGCAGCTCCTCCATCGTCGGGGTCTCCTTCTTCAAGTTCATCGACCACGTTATCATCCTCGTCATTGCCCCCTCCAGTTGGAGTCAAACTTCTAGGCCCTGCGCTTTCTGCCAAAGGAACATCTGAGAAAGAACCTCTGCTCATCAACGATTCAGTGCTCAAAGGTTCGCTAGAAGAAGGTCCTTGTCCTACTTGTCCGACCGCACCAGAAGTAGTTACGACCGCACCAGAAATTGCTCCTGCACTTGAACTTGTTGTAGTAGTTTTTCCTCCTACAACGACTTTGGTTTTGCTCGTCACGACTTTGCCTGCTGTACTAGAGGTCTCTTTTCCTCCTGCTCTGGTAGAAGGAGGGGAGGACTTCGCACCTTTTGCAGGAGAAGTGCTGGCTCCGCCTCCTCGTGGACTATCAGCGCCGCTTTTTCCAATAGGGCTCTCTCCGCCTCCTCGTGGACTATCAGCGCCGCTTTTTCCAGTAGGCGAAGGCTTACTTTTCAATGTAGTTTTCGGTTTATTCACAACACTTGTACTAGAAGATGTGGGTTTAGTGCTCGAAGATGTCGTTTTTGCGGAGGTTGCTGGACTACCAGGGCCAGGACTTTTCGCCCGCCGAGTATTAACAAGTGGACTTTTCGACCTAGAAGCGGCCGTCTTGTTTGATGTGCCATCTTTCACCTGGGCACTCATCCTGTATGTTGAATTGCCAAGATTTTGATTTTCTTGTCTTACGAAAATAGTACTAGTACTTATAGTACTTAATTAAAAATACATCATGGGCGTATATTACAAAAGAAATAATTTTTGAGTGCTGGTCATGCCAGTCTTATATATAAAATACGATCGTAAGTCGTGCCACTAGCTAAGCTTCGCAAATGGGGTTTTTCGTTTTTTCACTCAGAATCAGAATAGGGGCGAGGACAAACTAAAATGGAGGCTGATACTGATAGAAGCATATAATTGGGAGTCTGCATGCAACAATAAGTTCATCGAACAAAGAAAAACCTATAGTCGATGGGAGCACAAGTACAAAAGCTAATGCTACTGGGATAAAAAGAACAATTTCTAGTACTCTCGGCACCATACAAGTTTTAGTATCACCAGGTAGAAAAGTGTCAGAATTTGAAACTTCGATCTCTCTGTGACACAGACACAGACCCTTCTTGGCGGGTTATACCTCATCTATCATATCCCAAAAATGACGACAGAATCATCTTGATTTTCTCTCTCACAGGTTCAAGCTATCGTGACTGCGACACAGACAGTACTTCTCGGGCTATAATAGCTCATCTATCAACATACTTATCTCAGAAATGACGACAGAACTATCTTGATTTTCACTCTCACAGATTCAAGCCATCGTAGATGAAAGCGTTTTTTTTTTTGATGATGCTACTTTCAAATAATGGTGGGCTGAATGATGCTAAACTCAAATCGCGCTCAAATATCTTGCGACAGACGTACGATCTCCAAAACAGATTCTTCTAATAGACGATGGACGAACATGCCAGACCGAAGCATGGAGCAGGAGCACCACTACACGCATTTTATTGAAGATGGCGTGCTTCAGCGAAACCTTGGCTCAGCTTGGAATCATTGTTTGAGATCTTGCGAGCATGGATTTTTCTCTGTCCTTCTCAAAAAGTAGAGAAACTAACAGAAAGCAAGAGTTATATATAAAGTAGTGGGACAAATTCTTTCACGCAGAAGTGAGGGACCCAAAGTTGCCCTTCGGGTTGAAGAGAAGCCGCAGGAGAACCGGTTCCACGAAAAATTCGTGAGACCGCATCATGTACTTCTGTAGTCGTGAAAACGACCTGTATTCACCTCTTCATCTTTCTGCTTTTCTTCAAAGACATCACTGTGCGTTCAGATGTTGACGGACATCGGAGGTGGAGTTATCTCCTGCAAAATTTCTTACAAATCAGGTTTTTCTATCGTAACATGATCATTGGGTACCAGATATGAAATTCATCTTTTAGCAAAATCTAGCACGGCCGTTCGGCGAGCGACGGCTTGATGCGGTGCTGGTCACGATGACATGTTCTTCAGAAGTTTCACTGATAAAGGAGCATATCATCATACTTTGCAATGGGACCATGCTGGAGATGAACATGTGATCGGCGAGCAGCACGAGCAATTGACTTTGACGTGGTATAATTCAACAAACTTAAATCATGCTTCTCTTTGTTCCTCGCCAAATGATGCCCTACAACATCAGGAGATGAGGACGACGACTGTCTTGAGCGTAGTTCTATACTTGTCTTATTGAGGCTATCCAGCAAAGCCTTAGCAAACACTGCCCCAACCACTGGTCGCGCGCGAAAAGCGAGTCCTTTCGACATGCCGATGGCTGCAGCCGTTTTGGTATCGTACCAGTCAGTCAAGGGGATGCGGTCTGGTGTCGAATTGGCGAAGGAAAAGATTGAATCCACGTAGTAGTTGTCCTTGTCGCCATCCAATGCGTAAATCATCGACAAATGATCCAGTTTGGTGAAAGTAGCACGTGAATCGAGGGGAACACCGTATTTTTCGCGTTGCTGAGACTTGTAGTAGGAAAGTTCGCGATCGATCACTTCCTTGACGGGGAAGACAGTAGTCTGTTGTTGTGGCTCTGACGTAGAAGTTGTTGTGGTACTCAAAAGCATCGCTTGATAGAACAAGTTGTACTTCAAACTAAAGTTAGAGGTATAGGGAATCCATCTCAGGAATCGTCTGGCTCTCTTTTTGTTCTTGTTTTCTTCTTCCAGATGACTTGGGAGATGAATTCCCTACACCCATAATAAAGGAGGCTGCACGACCGGTATCATTGTAGGCAAGTTTGTAGTGATCTTCTCCGACTGCAGCAAGCTTCATCCATTTGGTCGCGTAGTCCTGGGCAATTGTGAGGTACTTGTCATGCTCCGTTGTCAGACTGTATGCAGCCAAGGCTACAATCCCTTTCACGGCTAGATTCGCGTTGTGCGCACTCGGACCCTCGAAATCGTCAGTGCAAAGCTCGTTCTCGGGATCTGGTAAAGTGGAAACTAAGTAGTCTGCCCAAGACTTTAAGAGTTGTGCGGTTCTTGGAACAGTACTAGGTGTTGATGTTGTCCTCTTCATTGTTCCTCTCGTTGTCGTTGGCTTGTTCAAGTGATCTTCTCGAGTAAAAGGTTCTTGTCTTCGTGAGGAGAGGATACTCCTAACCTTCGTTGCCGTGTTATCTTTCGATGCTTCATCATGTTCTTCACGGATATCCCCATCATGCACCACCTGCACCTGATTCATTTTCGTCAATTTATCAGCTAGGGATAAGAGTATTAGCATGTTCCCAGTCTCCTCAATCGGCATGTTCTCTTGCTCCGATGCATGACGATTGGCTACTGGCCAAGTGCCCAAATCGTGCGGGGCCCAGGGGGATTAGCGATGATGGGAACTAAAAAATAGTATGCCTATCCTTCATCCTATAGAAGACACGATCGAAATAATGATGAGCAAGAATAAAAACTACAACTAGTAGAACTACAGCGAGTTGTAGTAGTGTCTGGTGGCCGTGGCCATAAGGAAGAGTATAGTTAAAAGACCCTTCTCCTGTTGTATCTGCTCCTGTTGTATCTCCTGTGTTAATCCTACTTGCAGTCCGACTAACAGTGTCACCGGTGCCAGCAGTTTCGTTATTCGCATACCGCAAGACAGGTTCTAGCAAGTCCGTCAACAACCGCGGATTAAAGTACAGCAAAAAAGGCGACATGGGTGCGATAACATCCACTGTCGAGATGTCGCCATCACTTGATATTTCTTTCACGAAAACGAGGGGAGAGGCAGTAGTAGCTGTACCACTAGCACTAGCAGCAGAGGAAGGAGAAGGAACATGATTTTTCTCGTGGTCATCTACTTCATGTTGTAGTTGATCATGATTCCCCACAGAATGATCTTCGAAAGTACTAGAAGTCTGCACAGCCTTCTCATCCGCCACCACTTTCATAGCTCCTGTGCATTGTCTGTAAGCAAGATGACCCAAACGTGCGTATTTCTCACTAGTGGAAGCCAACGCTTCTCCGATTTCCTCATCGAAGTCTGATGAGGCTTTTATCAATGCGTCGCGCCACAAGATCGATCGAGAAAGCACCTTCTGCATAAAAATGGAACGTGCAATCGGTGTGGAGGCTTTATTTGGGTTTGCCTTTTTGTTTGAGTGGTGCCGTTCAGATAGGTGGTCATTGAGACTGTTGAGGCTCTTGTGATCCTGTAGTAGACGTTGTCCTCCCTCGGTCTTTTCCAATCGTTTTTCTTCTAGTGCAGGAGGCAGAGCTTGCCAATAGGGTGGGAGCTTGCGTCCGAAGTACTCAAGGCCTATGTCTCCCTCATCCATCGATAATGTGATTCGAGCACGTCTCAACACTTCCCAGACAGGAGTTGTTGATCTTCTTGATGTGCTTATTTCTGTACTTGTAGTTGAAGTTGTACTACTGTTGAATTTGAAACTCATCAGGGCAAGTGCTTGGACATGATTACTCTTACTGGTACTCCTGTCCGCAAAAGGCTGAATCGACGCTGTCACCTCACTTGGATCCCACGGAAGGCCGTCGCCAATCTCACCAATCACGTGAAAGCAACCCCAATTGATACGGTCCATGGTCATCTTCTTGTTGCTGGTGTTCTTGGGATCATCCCTTATGCTTTTGTTGAAGTTGTTGAAGTTGAAGTGGCTCTTCTTGTCATGACCAGCATTCCACACTCCAGCCACCTCCATTTTAATTGGCTCTTCTCGGTCATAAGGGTAGAACTGAAGGCGTGCAATCCCTCCACCGATATGTGTGGTTGGGTCAGATACGACCATAGCACTAGAAACACCGAAGCGGATCTGCATGTCAGGAAGCTCTTGAAGTCTTGCCACGCCATCTCCTTGCACCACTTCAATATCCACAAAGGTGGAAGGCAGTGACAGGGCATCATGGTAAGACAAGTTCGTATAGCCAATGTCCGGCAGGTCTCGCAACAATGTTCTCTCCTTGACAAACGCAGCAGTCGTAAATCGAACTCGAAGTAAAAGGCGAGAACTCGTCAAAGACTCCCGCTTATCGCTTGCCTGCAAAATTTTACTTGATGAACTCCCACCTTCCTCATCCACCAGAATTTGGAAAGTGTACGTCGTCGTTGTCGCATTCACTACTGGCAGGCCTATTTGTGGCAGTGTAGAAGCACAAGAAACCTGACTAGAGCCGCCTCCCAAAGCGTATTTCGCATCCCTCTCGGAGCCGAGGAACCGATGACAGACGCCATCCACGACCAAAGCACCAACCAGTGGCACTGGATCCCCATTCCAATGCTGGGTTTGGCTTGGAGAATTAGAGCAGGAATCTTTTCAATGAAGAGCATATTCAAAAGTACTTAGTTCCTCCAAAGTAGTTCCTCCAGGAGTACAACGAGTACCTGACAATTTCAGTTGTGACATCAAGAATCTTAAAAATCTGCTCATCCTCACGACGAAGATAGCATAACTGACAGCGTGTCGGATGTTGACCAAACGGAAATGTAGGGGTCCTGGACAAGGAGTGGCACAGCAGGGGGACGAAATGCGACGCTCGTTGCCGACTCTTGATGTGAACGTGAAGTAGCGGTGGATACAAGCGTGGCGAGGAGTGCAAGTGCTGCCCTAGTCATGCTGCTCATGGAGGGATGACGTACTAGTTGAGAAGCCATCACGTTTGTGGAAGTAGAGCTTGAAGTGTTGTTCTGTTTTGTTCGAGGTGGCCTTGGTATATTAATGCAGCTAGATTAAAAGAACCTGAGCAGGCAAAGATCACGCTTCAGAGATACAACTGGAAAGCATAAGTAGGTAACTTCATTGGCTCAAGAACAAATCGACTTTGGAATGAACGAAGCTGCAATTCTCGCTAGACCAAGCTTCATCGATCTTCGTCTCTCTTGTGGTAGTTTTCGTCGCTTTTCTTGTATGTGGCGACCGAAAGATTCCAGGAACAGTATGACAATGCTCACAGAAAGCGGACACAACGAAGTTACTACAAGGGGCATCATCTCGTGCGTCTTATAGTCAAGAAGAAGTACCCAAACAAGTACCTCCTCCGTAAGTGGGACATTCTTCAGTTTATTTAGGATTGATAGTATTCTTCACCAAAGGCAATAATACGATAAGCTGCAGGGTGAAGATGTCAGGTAAGCTTGTTGCATTTCGCAGAATAAGAAAAAGAAACTTGTTCTTCTCTGTCGGCTGCGAGAAAATAAATGTAAGTAGTTGTACTATTGATAAAAACTGCGAGCCACGAAAGGCTCTAAAAGAGTTTTTCACAATTAGAAAGGCCAGCGACCTCACTGGGGACGCGGTCATTATCTCGCATGTATCTGCAACTACATGTATGTCATTCTCTAACTCTTGCTTTTTCTTTTAGTTATAAAAAAAAAACCAAATCCTGCTGATCTCATATCGTTTCCGTAACCATTACTTGTTGAAGAACCACGCATCCACGTGGACCAAATCGTCTGGGTCTAGATGCCAAAAGTAGTTCCTTGGTCACTTTGAAAAGTTCTCCTCATATAAGCCTTTCGTCGAGTCACTGCGTCTCTCAATTGCTGCATGAGAATATCCTGTGTGATAACGGTAACTCCAGCATCTTTGATGGCACCTAGACACACCCATCCACATTAGAGGAGATATGCTGCTGATAGTTCACCCTTCATGACCAGCTGCATTATTGAAGAGTACCTGTATCAGGACAGAGTGAAAACTCAGCAGTTGCATCTGTATGACAATGACTCACAGTCACAGCACTCTTCAAGAATTACAATTACGTCAAAGTCAAAGATGAACTATGTATTTCCAGCCATAACCCCAACAGTTATATGCAAGTTCCCAGCCACCGGGATTGTGTTCTCCAGAAGGTGCATGGTCGCAACAACATACGCAGCATTTGAACCGGCCTACCGCACACGTTTTCTTCATTGAATCGAGCTCCCCAGAGCATAGAGAAGACACGCATGAAGTTGCACATGAGGAGGAAAAAATTGCTGGAATTAGAGAAGAAGATGTTGTTGTTCGATTTGGAATTGAATCGACTTTGTTAAAAATAGAAACGCAATCGCAAACTGTCGATTGTGTTAGTGTTTGTCGCAATTATTTGAAGAAAAGGATCAACAGGATCTTAATCATCTTCTCATGTGCTGACTAATTGTATTCGTATGTAAGTACTTCTTAACTACAATCAGAAGATAGTTGTTGTAGGGGAAGAGCATAAGAGACAATCAGCCGGCAAAATCTTTCCAACGGTATTCTCGCAACACGAAGACAGTTGTTCACCTGCGGATTCAGCAGCCAATGTGGGAAGGAACGAAAGGCCAAAGACTGCATTGAAACACACACACGGACAAGTTGTTATCTTGTCAATCAATTCCCCAGCGATCAGAGGTCTAGATACACTTTGAGCCGTGGATGCACAGTCACCGCACCTCAGCATCTTTGCAGTATTTGCGTAAAAGTCAGGAATAGGGAAAGGACAACAAGAGTCCAATAAGTGTGAAGCCGGCAACGCGAAACAAATGAAGCGCCTCATGAGACAGCAGAAACAGCCACGGTCCATCGACGCGGCGCATAGGCGATTCGCGGCATTGCTCCACCAATAGCAAGCGACCTTCTTAGCAATCACGGAGCATTGTGTTCCTGAGCTTGAACGTGAGGAAGATCCACCGTCTCCACCGCGACCACCTGAAGCTGAACTACAACTATATCCGCACAGAAGTGGATCTCTTTCTTCTGATGAATCTGTAGAAGAAGGTGGGCACTCTATGTCTGTAGTTGGAGTTCTCCGACTCACAACACGGCTTCCCGCATGTTGTTGGTCTCTGCTGCTCCCAGCACTGACCATAGAGGATGTGTTGATCCAAGGAGTGGAAGATGCTCCGCCTTCTACTAGGTCTTCGTCTTGTTCTTGTGCATAGTAAGGACCTTGAAGATCTTCTTCATCTTTCTTTTGCCCAGCACCACAAAGACCCCCTACACACACAGTGCTAGAGTCGGAGTCACCTTCACCTCCACAGCAATCCTTTTTATGCTCTCTAAAAGCCCCACAACAACCTCCAAAGTCGTGGCCCAGAAAACGATGGAAAAACACATGCGTAGTCGCCAGATGCATCACCACCACTGCCTGTAGTTCGTCCAAAAACGCGATTCCAAGGGACCTCATAGCTCTCACTTCTATCGAATCCAGTAGATGAGGGTCCTCTCCATCGGCCACTACTTCCTCTTCTGCGTCTTGGAGGTCTTCTTCATCATCAGTATGTTGATTATGATATCGTCCATTAGTAGTAGTAGTGGTACCAGAAGGAACAGGAAAAGGGTCCACCTCTGCTAGTGCTGGTGCGTTCGACGCCCTCTGTAGTGTGAAATTCTCATTATACCAAATCTTCCCCAACCCTTTTTGACGAAAATTCTGGTTCCTACCCAAGGAGGTCACAATTGACCAACAAGAAGCTAAATCTTCGGGTTCACTTGCTCTTTCGTAGGAATTGTCCACACTCTTTTCCAACCACTCCAAACAAGACAGCCGACTCTGGTGATCGTCCTCCGGCGCTTGTTCTTGTTGATGTTGATCTCCTACTCCTTCTCCTTGCGGCCGCGATAATCTAAATTTCGTAGGGGTTCTTGTCAAAGCAAAGGCTGATCCTGATGCTAGCTTCTGTATCGCAAAATGTTGTCTGAGCCCACTGATCTGTCCTAATGCCTCTTGTTGATCTCGTTCCTCTTGGTTCTCTCGTGCTGTGCTACCTCCATCTTCTCTATCTCTGCGATACTTGATCATGTACCTCTTAATACTTGCAAGAAATTTCTTCTGGAGAAAAATTGAATCGAGGCAGCCGCTACCAGTCTCCTTTGACTCATCGTTCATGGCGAAATCGTGAAGCTGTTGACGCTGTCGCGTATCCCTACGCGTATCTTCTGTAGAAGTAGAAGGTAGTTGTTCTGGCACAAGTGTTGATTGCTGCAGCTGCTGTGGTGCTGCTCCTCGAGGTACTATTAGATGTGCTTCTACTTCCTGCGCTTCTGAAAGAAGTAAACTTCCACCCGAAGTTGTACGTCGCCGGTTCCTACCCGTCGCCGTCGTTGGCAAAGGATGTAGCATTTGCATCTGCTGTGGTGCCCGTGCGTCTATGTCAACAGATGAAATATCTTCAACACCGGCCGAGGGGGACGTCGAACTAGACGGTGCTGTACTACCATTGCCTCTTATAGCCTCTTCCGCAGCAGCACTTCCACTGTGAGATGAGTGAGGAACCGCACCATGCGAAGTATTATTATGGGCACCTCCCGCCAGCTCCACACTTTCCATGACGTCACGCATTCGCTCAATGCGACGTAACAAACGCACTAGCAGCTGGTGCACGCCAGCTTCGCCTAAAAGCTTCCAATCTTTACTGAATTTCGAATCCTGATGCTCAAATGGGTTCTCGAGTTGACCCCTGTCAACAGTCAAAGGTTCGAAAAACTTCTTAGGCTGTTGAGAATCTGGAGGACGTTTTCCACCAGGACTCCTCGATTTCGATTTCGTCTCGAAGTTAGCCAGCATCGCGACTAAAATGTGCGAATACGGGTGGAGACCGAATCTGCTGGGTGCCTTTCCCTCAAGACCGCAGGCCCAATACTCTTTAGGACAGTTATGAGTCAGGGTTTGCCAGATGTTAGAAACAGAATTCGTAGTACTGCTCGCCGGATCCACCAGCTGCAGTAGCTCTGGGGGAACTTGCTCGAATTCTCTGTCACTTTCGCCTGACAGTTGTCTTTTCCAAATGATAGCTTCAAACACGAACGTCGCGACTTCTCGCTGGAGCAATTTTGGGAACATGGGTAGAGGTGGAGGAAGATGTTCCTCCTGATGTTCGTCATTTCCTTCAGTTGACCCAGTAGTTGACGTTTCCTCTTGTCCACGAAGATTCTGTGGTGCATTTTCCTGTAGGTCTAGTGTAACATTGTGTTGTTGTTCATAGTTTCCAAAAAGGCCTTGACTTTGTTGCTCCGTATGCAGTGGCGCATTATGCTGGTAGATACCAGCTGAGTCGTTGCCGTCACGACCGTGGTAGGCGCGGCCACTGCCGCGAACCACAACACGCAATCCGGAACACAGCTGTGGCGCGCCCAACAAGTGGCTTAGTGCGGAGGCTGATGCCAGAAGAGCATACATTTTTTTCGTGTAGTTTCACTACGCACACTGAAATCGGCACAATTTCAAAAGCACCACCACAGAGACACTCGCGGCCAAATAGATAACGCGCAATATGGAGACGAGTGAAGGCACAACAGTAGTCCAAGATTGTCCCTGATCAAGTAGCAGCTTGAGGGTGGAGAGCATGTCGTAAAGTGATAAGACGAGACGAAGTGACATCATGGTAAAAAATGAACCTATCCACCGAGATCTATCAGAACTCTTCGTCTTCTGTAGATTGATTCTGATATCATAGAAGATCAAAGAGCACGTACGAGATGTCGTCCATCATGATGTTGTTGTTGATCTGCGAAGTACTAGAAGTAGTAGTTTTGATGAATGACAGCGGCACGTTGTATCCCTAAGAAGTCCTCGCTCGGGAACACGAATAACTCAGACCCGCCGCGTTCCGCTTGCGCTCCTTTGTAGAGACGCTTACAATTTGTTTTTCCAAGGGTGAGATCATTCTTCATTAGTTTTATTCGTCAAATTTTGGAGGTCTCCACAACATCCTCGATACTTCTGTCAATTTGCGGAACATCAAGTCTGAATAAAGATGAAATCACCTCTGCACGACCCGTCGTTAGAATCCACACAACTGCTGGGAACAGAGGATCACGGTGAAGTTGCAGTACTAGAGTACTTATATTCTCATAGAAAAGTAGTAGTGGATGATCGTAAAAGTTATTGGTATCAAATACGAGTGTATCTGTTTGAATTATGATTGAAAAATTGAACTCGAAATTGTAGTGAAACTGGGTTTTTAACGTGTTGGTGTGGTGTGCGTCGGTTTTGCAACAGCGCCTCCTCCACCTCAACAAATTAATGCTTATGCAACTGCATCCACTACTTCGTTTGCTGAAGCGTGGCAACAAATGCCGACCTTCCGTGTCGTCCATGGGCCTGCTTCTAGAGCTGTTCCACGTTAGAGGTCTTTCACGTTCATGCGTACGCTACTTGATGTATCCCCAGTCCTATTCCAATCTACATGATCTACCAAAAGAGAATAAAAATGAATGTCTATTAAGAAAATAAACTTCCAACTCCTCATAATCAAAACCGCATCCGGCATCGTCTTACTGGGGTCATCATCACCAGCTGGGTCGTCGTCGGTCTCGGACACGTCTAGCCATTTCACAATCCCCTTTCCATCTTCTGCCTCTACTATGCACGCAAACCGCTTCGAACGGTGATGTCCGAGGACTAGGGGTTAGACGAAGAGTGAGCGAAAGAAATTTCGAGCAAAACGCTTAGCATACAGTGTGGGTCATGGCAAGGTCAGAATAAGCAAGTGATACATGAAATACCAGCGAAAAAAAAGAGTTGAAAGCCAACCGTCATCAATGATGAAGTACATGATCACAGCCATAATTAAGTGGTCCACCCTTTGTGATTTGTAAGCCGCAGGCTTTCGGCAGTTCGCTAGCTGGGTCAGCAGCAAATTTGACAAAGTTATCGAAGTCAAATTTGTATTTCGCGATCTCATTCGCGGGAGAGATGAAAGAAGGATGGATGAAGACTTGATGTAGTTGAAGGGGATGGGGAAATCACGCATATGTTGTATACCTATTTCTAGTCACCAAGTGCAAACGAATCTTCCGATGAAGGAGTAAACGCCATAATTTTTGGTTTTGATGCGTAATCAATCCCTCTAAGGTACTCAGACCAAAAGGATACCACAGCGCCATCATTGACGGTAAAAATCAGCACTTCACTCACCCCCTTCGCTTTCAGCGCTGCTTCTGCAGCTAGATATGCGGGTGCCTGATAGCAATGTTGAATAGGTATGCGATGCAAGAATATGAAGAAGTAAGAGTAATCGCATTCTTCACGATCTGTTCGGATCAGATGAAATACCTCCAATCGCTGTCTGGTCCTACAACTACTTAGAAAGCGCGCGACTACTTACGAGTAAAGATCAGTAGAAATCATGTACTTACAACATGTTCATGTTTCATGTGATCCGATCACAATCAGCATCAGAGAAGATACCTGTTGCGTCGATCAGGTTGGCGTAAACGCACCGGGAAGACCGACAATCACCACTTTCTTTTTGTCTGTAAAATATTTATCGTTCGTCGTTAAAAAAGGTCCTTTGAGACCTAGGTTGAGTCGTACCTGGGGAAAGACCGAGCCAACCTGCAACTGTGCTGATGTGCTTGAGAAGGGCCTTATCGAGTTTCGGAGAAGCGTACTGTTTGCGACAACTCGTCGCGTCGCTTCTCGCGACCCCGTCGAAAACATTTTTGATCTTGATGTTCTACTGACCTGAAATAGGTCAACAGATGTCTATGGTCTCTGTCTTTTTTATTGGCGTAGGCATACACGTCTCCCAGTCTCTAACAACTTTTGGTTTTGTTTTAATGAGAAAAGCAATCCTTTAGGTACACTCTCAATTTTCGTTTTTTACCGACCATGGAGTCTCGGTGGTTGAAGAAAGCCTGCTCTCGCCCTCAACCTTAAGTAGAAACACTCGTCGCAATAGAACCCGTTCTTGATAGCCAGCCTTCTTTCCATTGCGGTCTCAAGTAGAAAGTGTACATCTTACATGGCGGAGCCGGCACATCAGGTGCGATTAAGGCACTTCTTCGCCATCATAAATGTCAGAATCTGAAATCACAATGATATCATCATCTTCTTTATCATGATCAGGTTTACCATGACCCTTGTTCACGACAGTAAGATTAACCGGTGTTGTTAAACATGAAATGCCTCGTCCCACCCTGTCGTGGTCTGTTCTTGTCACATTCCCCTGAAGATTTGTTTGATGGCCACCACCTGCATTTGGTCCTCGAGGTTGTTGCACCCTCCCAGAAATATTCACATCCTCCTCAGCTGCCTGTGGTCCTGACGCTTGTACTCTCCCAGAAATATCCACATCCTCCTCATCATCCGAAGACAAATCAATGACCCCAATCGGATTATTGTTTAGGCTGGCGATGACACTCGCAGGATCGTCTGGATCGGCTGGGCCGCGTGCGAGGTCCTCATCCTCCTGCTCCTGCTCGATGTTGTACTGTGGATTATAGGAAACTGTTGTACCTCCAGGAAAGGGGTCTTTCGCACTTGTACCAGATGAACCTTTGCTTTCCTGTCGGACAGTCGTCAAATCCAGCAAAATTTCGTCATCGGAGTCGGACAAAGACAATCCTTCAACATCTAGTACGCCAATTTTCCGTCTCTTTGCGGTATTGTTGGACGTTGGTGGTTGTTCTTCTGCCACTTGATCTTCATGAATGGGGAAAATATCTGGAAAAAGATTAGGCCTGCCATTCCTTCTTGGTGGTCCATCTGGTCCTTTCTTAGTCACGCGAGCGGGTCGCTTCACTGGTACTGGCAATGTTGACGAACTGGAGGTGCCGGATGATGTGGTCAGCGTCGATGAAGAATTACCCTCTACACTGTTTGTTACCGCTAGAAATTTCTTCGTAGTAGGTGGTGGCGCAGGTCCTCCTTTCTTCTGTTTTTTCCATCCAACTAGTACCTTTTCTCCGTTTTCGCCAAAGGACAGTGTGGATGTCATGTCGATATCGGGGACGTGAGTACTGCCTCCATTGGCTACAGCTGCATCTCCTACTCCCGCACCGGCAAGACTATTGCCATTCAACAAATTCGGCGAAGATACTTTCAAATCCAAAGTCCTATGGTCACTAGCCCTTGTACGACTTCCGTGTTTTTTCACTACTTGTTGAGCTTCGACTTTCACAGTGTCCATCTTTCGAAGCCCATGAATGATGTCTAAAGCGTATCGTCTTCCAGCTTTCTCCTCGACAATAGGAAAACCGGTATAGAGAAGAATTTTATTGAGGAAACGACCACTGGGCTCTTGTAGAACAAGAGCAGTAGCAGTACTACCCGCATTACTCTTAGTCTTACCATTACCACTTATCAACATAGCTTCTCGATGAAAGGCTAGTGCTTGTTCGTCCATAATCTTCTTCAGACGTTTTAACAGGACTAGTTGACTCGCAGTAAGATGGGCAGGTTGAGCAGGTGGTGGCGCGATTGTACTACTTCTAGGTTGTGACTTGCTAGTTGTATCCATAGACATCGCATCCCCACCAGCGTCGTCATCTTCTTTATCTAAATCGCAAAGAGGTTCTTCATCCTCCTCGTTTCCATTTTGTTTTTGACTTTCGTCGTGAGCCGCACTAAACATCTCCAATATGCTCTTCTGCCCACCTTTTTTGCCTCCTGCCGCCTTCGCCTTAGCAGCCACTGTTTGTTTCATCTTTTTCTTCTCTGCTGCTATCACTTTCTTTAATTCCTTGTCGTCGATCCAAAACTGTGCAGCTCTAGGTGGCTGGAAGTCGTTCCGCAACCAAGGCGAATGGACGCTACGTGTAGTACCAGTGACAAACGCTGTCTGCCCTGTACTTCGAGGTACGAAATAGTCGACTTTGGCTGTGGTTTGGGTCTCCAGGACAGCGACAGGAGGAATAGCCATTGAAGAACAAGTCGATGGCTTTGTCTTTGTCGACTCTACTTGTACCTTATCATCTAATGCTGGTCTGCGTTCCCGCCTAATATCTCTATCTTTTCTATTGATGTGTTCACCTCCTAAAAACACCTCTGGCAACCACCTTTTCAAGAACCGTCCGTCCGGATCTTGATCTTCGCTTTGTTTTATCGGATTGTAACACCTAATCGTGTTAATCCCGGTGGTCCCTGCTTGCATCTGACACTGCGGGTAGTGGATCCCTGGCTCGTAGTCCGTAAACAAACGAGCTAAGTGTATAGACACCGGTCTCCAGTGTAACCACAAGTGAAAACAGGCGAAGGAGACTAACATCGCACGCATACGAAAATTGACCCACCCGGTTTCGATTAGAGCACGCATACAGCCATCAATCATCGGGTAACCGGTGGTTCCGGAAGCCCAGTGTTGGAACTTGACCAAACCTATTCTTTCTTCAGGAATTTCACCAGGTGAAACCACTGAAAATTGGCCGCTTGAGGATTTCCTCCGTTTTTGTATCCAATGTTCATAACCCTCTAGCAGATGATGTTCTTGATGCCGTGCGAGGGCTTCGCAATGTTCATAACCCTCTAGCAGATGATGTTCTTGCCGCGTAAGGGCTTCGCCACCTCCTGATGAAACCACAGCATTCATATTGCAAGTCGCACAGGCCCACTCAGACACGCTTTTAGCTTGTTCATCACTAATAGCATTCTCTTCTCGCAGACCGTCATATCCGCTATGCAGGTTCTGGAATTCAAGCAAAGGCTCGTCTTCTAGTTTCTGACCGAAATGACAGTGCCATCGCAATCGAGATCCAAAGGAGTTCAAGTCTCGACCGTTGAGGACTGTGGTGAGAGGTGGAGGGTTCGCAGGCGCAGTAGGAGTAGTTTTTGATGTAGTAGAACTAGTGGAAGAGGCTCCGACGACTAAAGCTGTTGTTGCAGTAGGAATAGAAGTAGAACTAGTAGAACTACTAAAGCTGTTTGTTGCACCAGTTCCACTTCCTGCTTTAGCCTTAGCAGCTCCTTTCGTCCCTCTACTATTTCCAGCTTTTTCCTTCTTAAGTGCTTGACTTTTTTCCCGCGCTTTCTCTGTCGCCTGAAAGACTTCTCTTAGTGACACCGTGCCAAACGCCAGATGGACCGAAAGCCTGGCACAACCTTCCCATGCAGTGATAGGGCTAGATACGTTTTTACTGTAGCCACAGCCACGCCCATCTAAGAAACTACGCAGCATGAAAACGCCATTGCGTCGTCCACCACGCTGTCTGCCCTTGCACCCATCAAACTCCAAACCGAAACGAGAGGGGTGGGGAAGAGCTTTTGACATTTTCAGCTGTTGGCGGGTCGCCTTGTTGTTGTGGTCTGACGAAGACGAAGAGGGTTCTTCTTCACCAAAATAGCGAGTTTTACACCGTCGACTACTCAGTACGAAGTCTACATGCTCCTGCACAGACTGGTAGGAGGACTGGCTGCACTGTTTCTGGTCTACACCTTCGACATTGACGTTGTCCGTAGTCCACTGAGTCACCAGCATGTGTGATTTGATATCCGGTTGCGCAGATCGCATGAACGTCTCCCACTGTCTCGACCACCCATTTCTATCCTTCAATCGACGCACCACACCAGTCTGTCTTGGCTCACGCCAAGCGATGTTTCTAGATCTACACCATCGCCTTACTGCGCGATCTCTCTGGTACGTCCACCAATTCCACGTCTCTTGGTGGGAACGCAGAGTAAAAACAGTCCTACTCGAGGTGCTACTTAGTTTAGAGCTCAAAACAATTTATTTCTTGCCTACATTTATTCTCCCAATCGTCCTAAGAAAGAAATAAGGAGAAACGAGCTGTACTTGCCTACATTTTTTCTCCCAATCCTAAGAAGAAAATAGGGAGAAACGCGCTGCACTTGCCTACATTTCTCCCAATCCCAAGAAGAAAATAGGGAGAAACGCGCTGCACTTGCATACATTTCTCCCAATCCTAAGAAGAAAATAGGGAGAAATGGCAATGACTTGCAGAAGTGACTTGTTGCATGGGATAAGCCTAAGACTGTGGAGGTGAAAACTAACCGGTTGTTTTACTTAGTGCTTTGAGCGTCGCAGGATCTAAACCTTCACCTAAAAAAAAGGTGAACGCCACTCAAGATCTGCGGGACACCTCTAAGCGAAAATAAGGGGGAAAACACTATCGTCCTTTTATGGGAGGAGGTTAATTACATTCTTTGTGTCTGTGTCCAATCGAAAACCAGCAGCAGCACATAAGTAAATGTTCATATTGAGCCCTAATTAGTTGCGTCCACACTTCGTCCAACACATCCACTGCCTCCCCAACGAAGACATGCAAGGTCAAACCCAAATGCTCCTTCAGGTCTCTCGCCAGTTCACTCACGGACTCTTCGAGAAACAGGTAGTGCCTGTGGGACATGTCGGGTAATCGCCACAGTTCGGGTTCGAGGATGTAGATCGGCAGAATGCTGGCATCAATAGAAAAATTGCAGCTGTGCGGATTGGAGGAGGATTGTAGTACGGAAGATTGTACAAAAGCTTGCCCACCTGCTCCAGCTCCTCTCCTAGCTTCCAAAGCTGCGACAAGTGGAGCATGATCGTGGATCCGCAAGTCACGTTTGAACCAAACGATGTCGATGCTACAACGCTGCTGTGATTCCTCTACCGCCATGCCGGTGCTGACTTGGACTTGATGGTGTCCACTCGCTGAGACCACCGGCACCCCAGGAAACGATGTCGGAGGGAACATGGTCGTGTACTATGATCAGGAGGAGTCATGCTCTTAAAACTTCACACGGTTTAACATGCGACTTCATCATGATTACTTCACGACATCCATAGTTGATACAATTAGCCAAAGCGTTCAGGGGGAAGGTGTTCGACCGGGACGTCATTGTGCCCACTGCGAATCTTCACACGACACGATTTCCAAAACTCCGAGACATGAATGAAAAGATGAGCGTTTTTTGATACTAAAAATTGTGGAGAGAGAGAAATCTGTATGAATGTGGGGCGATAAAAAACGGAAAAAAAAACCTTTATTTGTTGCTGGGGCAGTCATCAAGGCCTGTGGGTCGAAAAGGACACAAGTTAATTGAATAATATTATATCGTTCTGCAAGGACTAGGACAAAAAGTTAGAGACCTTTCGCTAGTACATAAGGGGCCCCGCACTTTCCCCTTCTATGGCTTTTCGACATCACTTCGTGCCGGGAAAGAACACCAATTTACATAACAACACTGGTGCGAAGCACCTAGCCACGGTTCACTATGCCTGTTTCACGACTCTCTCTATTCTGTATAATTTTGAGTAGATGCTCGAAATACCAAAGTTCAATGTACAAGATATCTGATGTGCTCCTTTTTCTCAACGGAATCGATTTAAGTACATGGCACCACAGATTTTCGTTTTCCCATGTTTTCAACAACATGTAAAGGTTTACATTTTCTATGACGTCGGATGTTCCAGTCCGTGTTCCAGACTCGGTCTTGGCGAAAATTCACTTTTACTAGTTTGAATGATGCGTAAAAACTGTAAGACTTGTTAACATGTTTTTCCAGTCAGAAATTCGGATTAATTCCGGATGAATTTCTTCTAAGACTAAGCTAATATTTTAGCGATGATCTTGATCGTAGACTATTAAGTATTTGTACAGATTTAAAAGCAGCTCCAACATGTTGATCGCCTCCTAGAATTTGGCAACGAGAGGCTGCGCATTCCCTGCCTCCTCCTTATGACAGATTCTGTTCTATGAAAAAATCTGAAAAAACAATAACAGGGCCACCTCATCTTTACTTCTTCTTCACTCCGTTCACGTAGACCACTGGTGTGCTCTTATTGGTCTTGAGATCTATCTCTGTGCCCCTTCCGTGCCTGGAGTTATCTGCGAATGGTCCCTGGTAGCTCACCTGCGCAATCAGGTCCGTCTCAGTACCGTTGCCGTGCTTCAATGTCTCGTGCCACTGGCCTTCGTACTTTCCGGATTAGAGGAGGAAAAAAGATGTTGAGGGTACTAGAGCTGCGATGAAAATGTTGGAAACATTATGAAAGATAGGGTTTTGTTTTCGTGTTGACGGAGAGGAAAGGGAACGAAAGTCAAGCCCTGTGGTCTTCAGGGAGATAACTTCTAGACGCGGAGGCGTTAAGTACATGTTGTCCTCTCATTCGATATCGGTTCGATCTAATGTAAGTAAAACAACAACAACAAACAATTTTTCATGGTCATAATCTTCCTTGCTCACGTACGTCCCCTTTCCGTGTTGCATATTGTCCAAGAATTGACCTGTGTACACACCACCATCTGCATCGATGAGTTTTCCTTCTCCTTGCACGACGTCATTTTCGAAAGAACCAGAGTAGCTTGAACCTGTATTATTTTTTTTTGAAGACGTCATTTTCGAATGACCCAGAATAGCTTGAGCCTGTGAATGTTCCAACAGAACTGGACACCAACTTGGGATGTAAAAAGTGTGCGAGACGATTACTATTCAATTTCCTATCGTCAATTGCAATTCATTATTTACATGATCATCTTCCAACTATTTATAAGTCAAAGTAAGTTGTGTACCATCTTGCCACACATAGGTTCCCTTTCCATGCTTGTTGCCCATATGATGCATACCCTTGTACTTGGTACCATCGTCCTTCCATATCTCTTCTCCCATACCATGCTTCTTACCGCTGACCCATTGGCTGTTTGATTTGGATGGAAATCAAAAATAAATTAAAAATCTTTATCGACTTCCTGCTACGGTAGAAGTGCTGATATTAACACCACTCGCCTTCACTCGACGAGATCAAAGTGAACATTTTCAATATCAACAACGCAAACGTATCATGATGATATTTAAAATAAGTGGCCGTGGAGAAGTAACCAATAGCAAAACCAAGCACAACAAACTGTCAAACAATGCATGTAGTGGTCTCAGTACCCAGTATATGTGCTATCTTTATCTGTGAAGACGCCTTCACCATGGCACTTATCGTTCCACCACTGTCCATTATAACTTGGTCCCGCATTGTATTTGCATACACCCTTTCCACACCTCATGCCATTAAGCATTTGGCCCTGATTTGTTTCGTGACGGAGTCATTGTAACAGTGATCTCGTTGGCAAGGCTAAAGACTATACGAAGACAGAAAGCAAATCACGAGCTGTTTTAACAAGTACTATTGGCACGCCACAAAAAAATATGAATTTCTGAGCGAACAATTGTACCTGATATTTCCCGACTGGAAAAACCTTCTCTGTATAGACTGCATTGCTCAAGTCTGGTTTCCATTCTGACTTGCCATCGTCTATGTTTATCGTTTCTGCGCCTTGCTGCGGCGCTCCTGCGCAACACGTCTGCCCCATTGTGGTGCTCCTGGTGTTACGCCTCAATACGAGAACTGTCCACGTCGAAGACTATGTGAGTCCGTCTATGGCCAGAGGGACATCATGAACATTTTCTTCATGTAAAATGAGGCTGTGTGATTATATGGATTCCAATATTTTCATGTCATAAGCCAGTCCTGACTAACATTCGCATCAGAGAGGCTCTATGTAGGAACGAATTTTGAGAGCGTTCGACCAAACTCAATGAAAATCAATTTTGTAGTAGTTAAATGACATCGAGGGGGATACCTCGAACAAATACAACCTGCTCAAGGATAAATAAGGGATATTACGGACGATCACGAAGAGATCGACAGCAACAGGGGTGGCTTGTCAATTATGAGTAACAGAAGCTGAAAAATGGCTGGCATAATGAGAAGAGGAGTTAACGAGGGATGATGGTGAGAAGCAAAACATTTTCCTTAATCGACACGCTCTAGTCAGCCCCCAAATTGCCACACACTTCCTGGATGATGCGCTCAGTGACAGAACTCTGCACTACAGACGAGGACAGATTCCATGTCCAGCGGTCAGAATTGCTAGCATACCGACGCTCCTCCACCAGTCACTCAACACCGATGAAGTTGAAGACACAGAAGATTTTTGACAATCTCGAGACATAATTCATCATGATCTCCGACAGAGTTCAATAAAATTATAATTCTTTCTTGGACAAACAGATTACAGATAAAAATGGCATCACCTAGTTCACTCTCACCCAGCAAAGAGGCTAACTCAAAACGCGATGACATCAAGTACCGCGTTCTTCCAGGAATTAAATGTCGCGTAAATAATTTGATCAGCATACAACGCTTTTGCGTGATGCTTAATTCAAATATAAACTAAGCTCTGGGACAGAGGATGAGTATGGGGCGATCGATCGATTTAGCAATAATTCTTCTCCACGTGATCTAAGTAGGTCCATATAGTCTCACCCCCTGGACCTTCTGAGGATTGAAAATGCATACCACCTCCACCGCCACCCCCACTGCCACCTCCGCCACCAGAACTACTTCCAAAGTAACCATTTTTGGCGTCCTCTTGCCTCTTTTTCTCCCTGCGCAATTCTTGAGGGCTCTTCCTAAAATGGTCGTTTACATTCATTGCCACCACTAAACTTGTCACTAGACCAAAATAGCCACTCGCGATCAAGGCTTTCTCCCAAGCTGGCAGGTTGTAGTAGCCTGGCGGTACTTGTGGTGGATCAAAAAAGCGTGAAAACGTTGAGAAGCAGCCCATCAAAAAGACGATATACAATTAAAGCTCAGAATTCAATGGTCACTGACTCTGAAAGAAATGGGCCCCATGCCTCTCCCTTTGCTTTTCCTTCATTTTCCCCTGTTCTCTCAAGAGGGACCTCAGTGACCAACCCCAATGACCATTGAAAGCTGAGCCTTAATACAACATTGGCTGTTGGGGCATCGCGGCAATCAGTGCAGCGTTTCCGGCTAGACCAAGTAAGAGGAAGCTAGGATGTAAACTGCCTAGGATGCGACCTCCGTCCAATTGGCCGATTGGCATCAGGTTAAACAGGTTCACAAGAAAACCCCAGTGCGCGAGCGGGATTAGAGGGAGAAGTAGAACTAGAGAAAGTATTTGAGAAAAGAAGTAGAAGTAGAATTAGAGCAGGAAGTAGAAGTAGAACTAGAGCAGGAACTAGAGCAGAGAAGGAGAGGTAGAAGTAGAAGTTTCTCATCACGTACTTCGTGATGGCGATGAGTCAGTCGAAATAAATTGATTCTCGTTATTCTCTTTGTTGTGGCGCCTAGCGTGTTAGTGTTACTCACTGGTAAACTGAGATTAGTTGTACCAGACAATGACAAAAGAAGAGAAGGCGACAGAAGTAATTCCACCAGCAAGACAAGATCAATATCAACCATAAAGCAAATCCGAGTTGCGATCCCGTCTGGAGACCATAGAAAAACGGCACAATGGCAGCAAGTGAACCTAGGATGGGACCAGCTATGCCGATCAAAGCCTCATGACTCGCTTTCTTAGGGCTGCCACGCATTTCGACAGCGGCGCCCATAAAAGGAAGAAAAACCATAGGGCCGACTGGGACTTTCAGGTACCTTTCGAGTTGGATGGTAAAATAAAATGAAGTGTGTCGATTTAGAAAATGAATTATGGTAAAAATAGACTTAACTAAGTAGATTACTTGATTTTATCCGATGTCTATAAAGTCACAGCTTTTCTTCGTCTTGCATGTCCACCCAGCATATACAACATCTCGTGAAGGAAGATAACTACACAAGAGATGCAGTGGTCTGTAGTGATGCAGTGGTCTGATGCAGTGGTCAGTACTTCATCATCAAAGCATGTCCCATCTCGTGAACGAAGATCAAGGATATCATTCCCAGACCATACTGCCATCCGAACACTGCCGCATACGCGAAGCTGCTCAGAACCAACGATAGGAGTGGTCCCATCTTGCTAAATTTTAGCAGTGGCACAGCAAATTTGAGACCAGGTAAAACTTTGACGACCGCATAACCTGCGGCTCCGACGCCGAGGACTCTCTGCCAGAAGGATTTGTTATCGCCATTGTTGTTGTTTCCGCCGTCTCCACCACTCCTAGATGGTAGTTGGAAGAAGCCAGAGGACTTTCTAGCCATCAGGAGGAAAGGGGACGCGTGCTGAATTAGAGTGGATCGTTCTACTTGCGTTTGCGTTTATCTTTTTGCTCTCATACTAACTTAATACGATTGCGATAAGAATACGAAATCCACCTGACATTCACGACGTTTTCGGAAAACAAATGACCTCCACCTAGTGCGGCTTCTAAATGCACGATTTACTGTAAATGTCTTAACTGCAAACCGCCTCTGAATGTCACTAACGAACGCGGCGATGCGGAAACAATTCCACGGTCAATGCACTGTAGCGAAGACGATTCATCTAGCTTGTTTCCGTCGAAGACACCGGCTGCAACCATTGCAGTTGGAGGCTCAAAACCAGCATGCCGTAGCCTCAGCATCCTCTCGCTTGAGTTTGTTGTTGCCGAACCTGCTGACGTTTGACGCCAGTGGGAGTGCCATCTTATCCCTGGACCTGCTGCATACAAGACAAACTCAAACCTCCGACGACAAGTATACGTTGATTCCGCCTCAACCGATGTAGTTATCCACTGCCTGCCAAAGCCTGTGCCCAGATTGGCGTCAAGTTGCGACCACACTGCCGCTGTTCGTAGATGTGGACGTCCAGCGGACGATGCGGACGACGGTGCCCAACCGCGGCTCGCACGGGTGCAGAACGACGCCAGCTGGGGAAGCACTTTCTCGCGGACTGCGCTCGTCCTCATGTTCGTTAACAGATAATTTGCAACGACCATCTTGATGTTCTATTTGCCCTTTAAAGGCGGAATCAGAATTGCAAGTTCAGGTGGCAAGTGCTAAATGAGAATGAGTCTTCTTCTAGTTCTTCTAGGTGCACAAAATATATGTAGCTAGCAAAAAATCAAAAATGTTCATAGTGGCGATTCACAACAAAACTTCCTCTGCAAACTTGAGGCCGAGGCGAGAAACTGGGAATAACAATTTTTGATTGGAGGAAAGTATGAAGAGCGAGCTAATTCACGCTGAAGAGGAAACGGTAGAAATGCAGCCAGCTTCTGCACTTTTAGCTTTACACACTCTTTGCTTTACTCCCACGACCGATCATCGTGCCTGCTCTAGCATGCTGCATAATGACTTTCAGACATGAGTGATCCTCTGCTGGGCAGCCTCTATTTCTACTTCCAAGAACAAGCAGGTTTATGAACAGGTCTCTATCACGACCGACAATGAATAAGTAGTGTTCTCTCTCCTTGGATTTCCTCGCACGCTCATATCGAACATCCTAGGTAGTCTGATTGCAAACTCTAATTTATCAAGGCACGTCCAGCATCACAGATTGGTCGTTGTCATGCGCTGCATTGCGGCTGCGATGAAGCTGCAATTTGGAATTCCAATTCGCGGCCTAGTAGTGTACTAAGTACTAACAACATAGAAAACTCAGAAACTACATGATCGACTAGTGAATAAAATTGTTTGGCGTGTTGATGAACATCTTTGTCTCATTTGTGAAAAAAAGGGTTGCCAGAGTTAGTGGAACGAAGTAGAATTCGGAAAATAGAAATTGTGAATTTCTGTCAATATCGAAACCTTAGAACAATAGCCCAAATTTTTATGGCCCGCTAACCTTTCCCGCATCCTCTTCAAACAGCGGAAGTCTCAACAGTGACCCTGGAGTATACTTTTTTTGCTCTTCATCCTCGACTAAGAGCAAGAGCCCTGTCTTCGCGCATTTGCGGTTTAAAGCGAGCAATTTTTGTCTTAGACTGCGCGTTTCGTTTCGGGCACTAGCAACTTCGGTTTTTAACTGCGCCATTTCTCTCTCCAAATCGGTGCAGAAGGAGTCCGAGATTAGGGGAGGAGGAAGATGTAGCTAGATGTACTTGTACATCTATTCTAATTCTTTCCTTGTTGTTCTTGTTGTAAGAAAAATGACTAAGACATTGATCTCCGCCCCTGGCTTGTTTGTTTCTCTTTTGGGGTGAAGGGAGCATGAACCAGGACACGCAAGAGACAATTTACATAAGTACGTGGTCAAGGTCAAGAAAGATGCATTCTTGATAGATTCTTGGTGATCAGACAGTTAGTAATAGTATCTATAGTTGTATCTATATGTAACGTAAACGTTAGCGACTTTCTTAACAACAATAGTCCCGGCGAAAAACTGGCGCGTGCTTCCGTCTCCAGATCTTCTTCTACTCGAGGTGATGCTTTATCTTGTTCTTTAAGGGTGCCAGATGACGATGAACAGCTGAGGGACTGGGACGTCCCAATCATTTCACTAGAAGAGGTGGATGAAGGCATGTTCATAATGTTTTCGAATACCAGATCCGTAGTTACATCACCTCCTCCGACACCAGGTAACAATGAGAGGGCAGAATCCTGTAGCTCCTTCATCTTTTGTTGTTGCTTGCTGTTTTTTTCACCATGCTCTCCTAAACAAGACTCCGATTCGCGATCATCACCTCCTCGACTGAGAAGCGTCACTGGTAGAATTTCCAGTACTCTGCGTCGAAAATCTGGGTATAAACCCTTTGGAAGTCGACCCACACTCGCACAAAGTGCACCTTCTGCCAGGTGCTCCACGTTGGTGTGGCACAGAAATCTGAGAAAGTCTGCGTAAGGTTTCTCGAAGTAGATATCCGAGGAACAGGAAGTGGCCGCAGGAGATGAGGAAGAAGCCAAAACTTGATCATGTGTACGCACATCTAAATCGTCTTCTGTCCCCGAACCCATGTTGCTTGTAGTGGTTGTGCTTCTTTTCCTTTCCAAAGGCAAAGTTAATGATGCTCTTGGTACAGTGCCACCTACTTCTACTTCGGAAGTCATCTTCTCGAGCTTCTGAAGAATTTGACACATGTACTCAACGTCGCCCAGTGAGTGGAGTGCCAGCGCAAAAGCGTCTTGTAAGCGACCCTGCATCGTGTTCAGTCTGATATTGCTTTCAAGACTCAAGACACAAGTTGCAGTGGAAGTTGCAAGAACTGCTTGCTCTTGTCCTAGTTCACTCTGTCTCAATGCTGGCCAAGTGTCTGCCAATGCATTTGATTGTCCGTCTTTTGTGCATGTTGTTCGCTTAGTAGTCGACCTCCCTAGAAGCCGATCTCTCATCGCAGCCTCGAACGCATCACCTGGGCTCACCCTTTGCTGCACGTAGGACCACAAATCCGGCGCTTCCCTACGCCCATTCACAGCACTTCCACTCGGAGCGATGAACTGCAACAAACATGTCATCAACTCTTTTGTTCGTGTGTCGATTAGCCGATAACACCGCAGCGGACTGCTGTGAGCGAGGAGCATCAATAACTCGAGCAGTAAGCTACTAGTGGTCGTGGTGTTTGTGTAGTTGCTACTACTAGAAGTTGTACTTGAGTCGTACTTGTAGGCATGCATTCTGACAGAGAAGGCACTATCGAAGTCGTCCTCGAGTAAGATCTGTGCTCGGAAGACTCGATCCGCTAAGGACGCGCCAGGACCTTCATCGAGTAGTACAGAAGGCCAACTGCTCATGTTCGTATTTGGATCCACATGGTCCAAAGCTACAACAGCCTGTGCCGCCTTCAGTCCATTCAGTTGGAACAGGATGGCGTGATGCTGCACCACAAAGGAGACAGCAAACGATCGACGACACCGGGACAACAAGTTGAAAATGCGAGGGGCAGTCTGGACCACATCAACATGTTCGATCAGCATCACACAAGCCTCCTCCAAGTCAGCGTCTGTGCGGGAAGAAACAAGGAGGAAGAACAACCCATCGATCAACAAAGCACGTCGCCAAGACAATCTTCTCGCCGCGGCGGAGGAGGTTGCGGTTCTACTACTAGAGTTGTTGTTGTAGTTTCTACCATGATTTTTTTCTTTAGTACTACTAGTAGTTGTACCATTTTTGCCTGCTCGTGCTCGTCCACCAGAAGTTGTATTCAAGCCTCCTCCCGGTCCCGGAGAATCCTCATGTCCTACGCCACCTAAAGCACCTCCTGGAACATCTTTCAGCGAAGATCTTCTGCTTCTCATATTGTGTGGTGACGAATCCGTATATGAGGCATCCAAGAGGAGCCCAAGTGCAATGGTGCTCGAGGGCGAGGACCAAATTACGTTCTCCCTACTTGTTGTACAACCAGAAGTGCTCATGTCACCTTCGTCACCTCCTTCACGTTGTTGTTGTCTACCACCACTGTTAGCATCTCGAAGTGTCTTGAGACCCTGTGTCGCCATCTCTTCGAGTTCTCTGCGAAAATAGGACCTAACGAAATGGATCTCTTTTGGAACCAACGGATCTGAAGATGCGCTACTACTTGAGCTCTGCTGGTTATTGATGTGATGTACTTGTTCTGGCGCAAGCACATTGTCTTTATTTTTAGCACTCGGAACTTGTGCTGGTCCTTGCTCACCTGGTCCTGAACTATTTCGCAAATCTTCTAACGCTTTCATCGGCTGTCTTGCAGCAAGCAGCTGCAACTGTTTGAGAAAGTCTCGTAACAAAGTGAAGCTACCACTGAGAAGAAAAGCTTCAAGTAGGCGGTACACCGCTTTTATGTTCGTATTCTTGCTATCTCTATCAGTGCTGCCTGGCGAATCCGTACAACCACGAAGCAGTACTTCGAAGGCTATGACAGCAAGACTCGTCGTAGTACTTTTTGTCAAAGAAGAAGCGCTCCTCATATCAAGAACCAGATGCTGGATAGTAGTTTTTTCCCGCAATAGCCTACCCCACAAATGCACCAGCTCTAGTGGGTCGAACTTTTCCAACACTCTGTCGGAAAGGACGTTGTGCAGAGATAATGTTGTCTCATCTGCGCCTTCTTGTTGTTGGGCTCCAGTCCTTCTTCTATAGGCTGATGGAGAAGCATCTCCCAGACCTTCAGCACAAAATTCAGCCACTACCTTTCGAAACATATCGAGGAAAAATGCTAAGGCCGTAGAAAAAGTAACTGCATGATCAGCGCCACGTTTTCTATTCTTTTTCATCTTTGCATCGTCAACAGCGACACTTGCTTCTAGAACTGGTGGAGCTACTGGGTCTTTCACTCTCTTTCTTGGATTCAAAATATCCGCAAGTGGGTCGTCCTCCCTAGAGTTTTTTCTACTTCTAACAGGATCTACCGCAGGCGCTGAAAACCCAAGTAGTTCAGCAGTGCGTGGACTTAGCTCAGGCAGTCTTCTTCTCTTGTTTTCGTCCCCCTTATTAAAGCTCAGCCTTCAATGGTCATCATGACTCTGAACGGAAGAAACTCCCTTCAAAGCTCTCCCCTTTCCCTTCCTTTTCCCCTGTTCTCCTCTCAAGGGGAGGTCGCTTCTTCGATCTCAGTGACCCCAATCTCAATGGTGACCATTGAAAGCTGAGCCTTAACCTTATCTTCGTTCTCTTCACCGCCTGTGTCGTTTCGATTACCTTCCTTACGCGTGCTGCCCGTGGAGGTCTGTTCCTTTGATGATGACATTTTCTCTTCGTCCTTTCTCTTCGTCTGTTCCTTTCGCGCATCCCTCCTCGCAGCATCGAGCCATTGACTCAGTAGCTCAATGAAGCGCGACAGACGCACCTGTGAGGGCTTCAGCAACAAAACCATCTGGCTGGCGCTCGCAAGGTCTTGCTCGTCTTCGATGGTAGAACGGGGCTTCTTCGGCTCTTCGGTCCTCTGTATTGCGCTACTATTTGAAGAAGTGTCTGTTGCTTTATTGGCATCCACAAGGCCCAAGGCCGCAGCTGCATGCGGTGCTGTCGTTGCTAGCGAAGAGCCTACAGTCGATGATGCAACGGCTGCACCATGTGTCAACGCGGAAGACGCGGAATGGCTAGATGCGCTTTCGAGCAGCTCTTGAATTTTCCTTCTTTTTGCGTGTAAAAGTAGAACCTCAGACGAAGTACTACTAGAGGATGATGTAGAAGGAGTGACGCTCTTGCTGCAGACTAGCAGTAGGTCAGGCTTCAAGAAAGTGAAAGAAGCCGCGGAAGACAAGGAAGATGTTTGGGTTTGTTCTTCTGCCAAATCTTTATCTTTCTTCGAAGGACCAAGTGCTAGCGGCAGAGAACTCAAATCGTCTGAATAGAAAAGCCTAGCTGCAGCTGAAGGTGATGTTGCACTAGTACTACTAGCTTGCTTCAGTTTCTCTCTTTCCTCGCCTGTACTACAAGTTTTCATCTTCTCAACCGCCAGTACAGAGAATTCCCGTCGATCACGTAGGAAACTCCAGTAAGCAAATTTCTGGGACTCTTCGAGTATACCTCCATACTCAAACATGCCCCCAGGTAACTCCATCCGCATGGTGCACTCAACTTTGCGGATTGTGTCACCTCCAACCATATGGTGGCCTACGATGGCAAAGACAGTGATACGGGTTTTGCGCTCTTTAGAGCACCAACTTGTGAGGAGGAGCTTTCCAGGAGTCGAGGAAGCAGGAGTCGAGGAAGCAGGAGTTGAGGAAGAGGATCCACCTCCACGAGTGTCTTCGTCTATGAAGTGCAGCATTCGTGGTCGCAAGTTGATGTCTTCAGGTGATCTTCGATCATCTCCTGTATCCTTATCTTGTTCGACAAATGATGATGATCTAGGAGCACTACTTCTCGCACAACTACTACTTGTTGTACTACTTGTAGTCTTTAAAAAAGAATTCGAATTGCTTGGATAAAGGAACGAAAGATCGAGTTCGGCACTTTTTCTTCTAGTCCTAGTGCTGCTTTCTTCAGGTTCTCGGGTGGAGCCTTTTAGCTTCGTTTCGGATCTGAGAAATCCAGCGCTGGTACCGCAAGCAATGAACCCCAGTTTTTGAAAGTTAGTCGGACTCAGCAGTTTCACACCTCGATTCTCAATGACGAAAGCTAAGACATCGCCACGCGCATTTATTGCTATCTCAGAAATAGCGCAGGAGGTGGAGGAAGTAGTAGAGGCGGAAGGCTTACTAGTTGACATAGCAATTGGCTCGAGCGACCTAGATGATGAAGAAGTGGAGCGACCTGTTCCTTCAGGTTCTTCATCGCATAGCAACGCTTTTTGCTGAGAAAAAGTGAGTTGCCGGAACATCCAGAGTTGTCCTTTTGTTGTGCCGCAAAAGACAACTGAAGGTGAAAGAGCACAAGCGGCGGAGAAACTTCTAGATTCAGAATCAGCTTCGGCAACCGTGTAGTTGAGGCTTCCTGCTATCCTCTTAGTTGAACTAGCACTTGACTCTCCTCGAAGCTGGTCTGCTGACACACGAAACATGAACTCAAGATGTTGATCCACGAGGACCTCCTGCTTCGTGGAACAAGTGCCTCCTCGTTGATCAATACACCGTGAATCAGATGAGGCATCTTCGCCTCCAACTCCTCCAGCTCCTCCTTGACGTCCACCTCCTCTACAATGTTGATGAAGACGTCCCACACACACCTCATTTCCACTTACGGTGCAAAACAAATATTGATCTGCTGCAGCTGCAGAAGACGACGATGTTCTTGACTCTCGAAGATCATCTCGAGACGGCTTCAAATTTTGTGTTGAACTTGAAGATCTCCTAGCTGTGATTGCATAGACGACGCACGAACTATCGGATGAGGTGGATGGAGAAGAAGAGGAGGAGGTGGATGGAGTTGGAGACCTAGATGTCCAGTTCCAGTAAACTCGTGTTCGTTCTGATGACCCTGATGGTGCCACGCTCTTCTTCGATGGACTTGATGCAGTCGTCTCTTTATTTGCCCGTGCGGAAGACAAAACGTGGAGATGTCCGCCTCGTGTGGCGACGAGTAAGGTATCATTGACATACTCAGTCGCGCACGGTTCGTCTTCGTGCTTTTCTTGTCGTGTAGAGGCTCCTGAGGCAGATAAGTAGCAAGTGGACCCAGCGTTGGACGTGGAGCAGGACGCGGAGGGTAGGGGCGCACGCAACAAAACATAATTCATATTGTCTTTTCAATCAACGAAGAAGAACTTGATCTTGACTTTGCCACTACTATTTTTACTCATACATACAAAGTAAGCGTTCATCATCATGTTGGAAACAATGAATATATTGTGTTACTTGAGTCATACTCTGGTGGTCTAAACAAGTTGTGTTGCAGTGCTGGGCGATAAAACAAAAGTTACCCCTACTTGTGTGAAAGAAGATTAAGATTTTTCATGAAGCAAGAAGCATCATATCAGCAAATGCTTGCGCTGTTCTGACGCCGGTTAAGATCCTGCAGAACACGGCTGCTTCGTCCACCTTGATTACGCCTGTGCATTCCTAAAAACAAGTCGGTCTCTTCTCAGAGTGACACGAATCCACGCCCTTTCGTCAGAGTAGGGAGCGACTACTGTTAAGCAAGGTGCCAGGGGACAACCTCGGAAAACAGGGAACTCAAGAAGCAGGTCGCCGCGAGGATGCCTAAGAGTAGCTAGCGCTAAATCAAGCAAAAACTGAAATTATTTTCCCCCAACTTCAAACTTCTGCCCTCAGGGTGGACCCGCTTCTTGTATAGCCACACTAGCCATAGCGCTAGCCATCCAATCCAAAAACGAGATAAGAAAAGTATGAAAGATAATGAAACTCGGCACTAGAATATAATTGATCGGCATAGCACTTGATAAATGGCATTATTTTTGTTTTTATTTCATCTTGTTCATGATCTCACTTCCTAGTAGGGGCAAGCAAATGGTCATGGTCATCTACGGCATCAGCATTTTAGCTGCAAATATATTGAAAGGCTTCATACCTATCAAACCAAAATGTGACATGTCTAATTCTACTCACTCTTCTTCCATTACAAGCTAACCTACGACACTGTTGTACATTACTACCAGGTGAAGCATAGAAAATGTTCATTCAATAACAGATTAAAATCAATGTGAAGCTACTGCTACAACTATTATGAGAATGCAAAGTTTCTAAAAATGATGTTAGTACCCTACAACCAACCTCGCTAAGCAAGGTATCCACGGTAAACGATTGTCGAAATCGGATACCCTTGCTTCTGTCATAAATAAGAATCATACGGCACGAGGACCAACGTCGACATCACTTGTTGTTTATAAAAAACTAGAAAATCTAAGTAAATAATTTATGTAGTCAAAACCAGTTCTCCATGTCGTGCTATACATACAGAGCGATCTAGATACTTACGTGATCCAGATACTACGAATACAACATTTACACGAATACAGCATGCTTTGAATACCTCCGACAAGAATAAATCAGATTGAAGCTCTTTCTGAACTACGAACTTGAGGTAGAAAACACCTTTAGATACACGACCCCAGCAGGTACTCACCTACGAAAATCATTCATAACTGCAGCAACGCAGATCAAGGTGAAGAAGGTATTCTATCTACTTCTTCTTCCTACTAAATCTCTCTGATTTCTATTTGCTACTCAACAAGATTCAGTCTGTTCACGTTCAAATTTTGTGCTTAAAATTTTTGTTTTGATATTGTGCTGAAAATGACTTCTAGGCAAACAAGAATAAATCAGAAGATTGAAGCTCTTTCTGACCATGAACTACGAACTTGAGGTCACGTTTGCCTAGAAGTCATTTTCAGCAACAAGATTCCAGCACAAAGCAACTACATTTTGTGCTGAAAATGACTTCTAGGCAAACGAGGGATATCACGCGCCCCTGCAGCAATGACTTTCGAATGATGGTCGCAAAGAGGACTAGGTCTAGTGATTGAAAGAAAGCAGCCAGGAAAAGCCCTCTCATCATGGACAGCTTAGCAGGCAAGGACGAAAAGGTTTGAAGATAAGTAGTACCCGCTTCTCTAGAGATCGTGATACGAAGCTATCCCTAGCCTCCTCTTGTTTTTGACTTTGAAGTCTTCTAGAAATGGTCATCCCATCCGGTCCCTGGATCCTTATAGGGTATCTGCGGTGGCAAATCTGCCTCTTGCGCTCGAAAGTTGCTCATATCCGTGTTGCTTTTCTTAGAGCGGTCACGCAAAGGAAAAATGGGGTACCACCCGGCCGCCGAATGAGAATCTAGTACTCAACGTCCGGCAGAGATGAATCTACTAAATCGCAAGTACATACTTACTTGCATCGTCTGGGTCGATATCAATATTTCACAAGCCCAATAACTACAAATGTACAACTGGAGATCATATTCAAGTTCAATCGACAACTAGCAAAGAGTCAAATTAGAAATTGCAGTTACCATATTTCTCCATAACTTTCACTTCCGGAATGTATGGCGGTTTGCTCTCGTGTTTCACCAATCCATCGAAGTCGAAGTTTTTGTACCAGTTATGGTTCTTCAAATTCTGGGTTCCGCCACTTCGCATCGGCAGTCGTTCCGAAGGACAGTGCTGCATTAGAGCTCACCCAAATCATGATCCATTTTGAGAGCAGTCCCAATCTTGGAAGATGAAGCCGTTGTCCCCTGTAGTTGCAGTCGGAGGACGAGAGGAGCAGTATTATGATTAAGTAAGTAATCTAAATCTTGAGGTCCTCAAGATGCTCGTGGAGATGGATTGGTGAAAGCCATAACTTCAGCAGGTTCTTGACGAGATCCATTCCCTCTGGATCGCGGTCGCGGTATGAAAAACTCACGCTATTGATCCCGCGAACGATTTTCTGGAGTTGTCAGATTGGTTTTATTGTGGGATAGTGGTGGAGGTAGTAATTTTTTCTAATCAAGTCTATGAAGAGTATTCAGTCAATATGAGTTGTTGTAGTTCTCGACGTCTGAATCAATCTGGGATCCTCGACAAGTTAGTAACTACAGATGGAAAATAAATGAACATATATTTCTTTCTTCCACCCAAATAATTTCATTGGCCTTAGAATTCAAGAAACTATTTTACGTAAAAGAAAGAAACTCACTGCATCTGTGCAGAGGAGTACTCCGCTCGTTCTGCTGCTGGGAGGTCATTTTTAGATTCTTTCTTTCACCCAAATGAAAACGATCGGAAAACAAGTACCTGATAGGTCTCCATAGGGTCCTTCGCGTCGAAGGGTGCATGACCGCTGAGTAGTTCGTGAATTAGGATGCCCAAAGTCCACCAATCTACTGCCCTGTTCATCCCCGTCTGCTGAATGACCTCCGGTGCAAAATAGTCTGGAGTCCCGCATGTTATATTTTAGAGGTTGAGGCATCTTTGTGAATAAAGATGTTGCAACTTCTTAAGTATTAATCATGGGGAGTAGATCAACACTGTCTTTCAACAACATTGTGTTTGTCCGAACACCGCGAACACCGCTAAAGCACCTACATAAACTGCTCTGTCATAAGTGTAAGTCTTGCCCGTGGTCAAAATTTTCGCTAGTCCCATGTCTGTCAACTTACAGTACCCCTTCACGTCGAGCAAGAGGTTCTCAGGCTTCAAATCACGGAAGATAATATTGCGTTCGTGGAGGTGCTCGAATCTGGTTTGTGGTAGATAGATGGGCGGATTGGTGATGATGAGGAGGTGGAGGTGCTGAACCTGAGTGAAGACATGTGGATTATTTAATTAAGTTTAGTAATGGCGCCCAGACTTCTTTTTCTTACGTTCGTAGTCAATTCTGATTTTATTGCTTGCTGCGTACTCCTGATGAGAATCAAACTGATCTTTAATCATCAAATTCTACTAGTTCATAATTCAAACCGCTCAACAAAGAAGAGTCTGAGTGAAAACGAAAAAAAACTGCAATGAAGAATACGCATATATCACGCTCGCCGAATAGAATCTTGCCTTCGACACGGAGCCATGAAATCTTCGTTTGTGATAGGTTGCAAAAAGTTCCCCACCCATCGCTGGTTCTAGCAGAAAGTACAAGTGCTCCTTACTCTTGAATGTTTGGTACAAAGCAATGATGAACTTGCTGTCGCAAAGAAGCAAAGTTTCTGAATGGTGCCACTTCTTGGGAGTCTCGATATGGGAATGCCGTTCCCCCTTTCGTCCCTTCTTAAATTATTATTGGGGGGAACAACGACTTTCCCGTATCTTCATTCTCAAAAATGTAGGCGGGTGGAACCATACAATTTCCTTCTCCCTCATGACGCCTTTCTGCATCTTCATCTTGATAATGTAGCCCTTCGAAAGAGCTTTGAGGGCATACACCTCCCCTGTCTTCTTGTGCTTCTCAAGCGGAGGATTAGAAGGGAGACGAGCGGGAGTGGGAGTTCTAGTACTCAGGATCATGACGGGAAAAGGAAGAACTACGAGGAAAAATTAACTACAGGTCTAAGTAGATGAAGATGAATCGGATGAGGAATAAGACGAGAGAAAATTATTAATCGATTTCTACTGGAGAACGTGAGGCTCCTTATCTTCAATTTGTAAATCTATTGCACATCATGAGCCATACTCACTGCACCAAATCCACCGCAACCTAGAAGACCCAGTCGCTTCAAGTCTGCCATGTCGATCTTTGGTCGCGTTCCCGCACTAGCGGGTGTCTGCTTTTTCTCCTTACTGTCCTCGATTTTCTTATGCATCAACTCCTGCAACGGACCTAAAAGCCCTTCAAAATGAGTTCGCGTCAGTGCAAGACAACTACAGGTTGCGGAAGTTACCTGTAAGCAAGCGTGGTTGCTGTTTGATCACAGTCGTTGAAGCACGAAGTAAATCTTGATTAGCAAAAATCGGGTAAGCAAGCATTAGCATTTTTCATTTTCTCATGGCGGTAGTACTGCGTGTAATACATCACATCGATTACAATCCAAATGCGTCCTCGAACAAGAACATCAAAAACGTCGAAGAAGATTTTTACCGTAGCCGTTGCTTCCCGAGTGCTGCTCTTCAGCAGCGCTCTTTCTCCGAACCAATGAGCTTCGCCGCCCTTAATAGCTGAGACGGAATGCACTTTCTTTCCATCCTTCATGAAGTCGATGGCGCCTTCAGTTAGGATATAGAACGCGTCACCGGGTTCAGTTTCTTAGAGTTAGTTGAAACAGTTCGTCAGTAACAAACTGTAAATGCCATTTTCATTGAACAAAATTTGTAAAAACTAATATTTGTCACGGTAGCTCTACCTCTACTTGATTGTTCTGTTTCTTGCTCAAAAAGCAGATCCGTCTCAACTAAACCTATAATCCAATAAATTCCAAATGCTCAACGAGTACGACTTCTTGCTTCAAGCCTTAACCTTCTACCACAATATTGTCCTTTTCCACGTATCGGACTTCCACCAGCACCTCCGCCAAAGCGATCTTCTCATCGTGGGTAAGCACATTGAAAAGCTCAACGTGATCGAAGACCTGTGAGTGAGTAATGAAGAGAGAACCGTGTTGACCAACCATGACGACTTGTATCAAAAATCAACTGGAAATGCAAGTGACTGTAGCTAATGCGTATTACCAAGAACCTCGGATAGGGACAATCATCATCATCGCCACCTAGTACGATACCTTCATATACATCGCCATTTTCTTATCGTTTGCGTTCATCAGTGTGTGCTTGAAATCTCCACGCTCGATGACCCATACAGTCGCGTTCTCAGTCATACAAGTGACCGTCGCTGCACGCGGAGCATGATACAATAACGCCAACTCGCCAAAAGACATGCCCTTTCGCGCTTCCCCCACTACGCCGACACGGTCGGGTTCTTAGACGAAATCATCAAGATAAAATTTTTGATCAAAATATTTTGATTATTCTAGCTACAGGTTGATACAGTAGGATCAGCATTGGTACCCAATTTGAGCGTCGGTTTGCAAAAAGTCAAATGAAGTCAAATTCATCTCCTTCTCCTGAATGTCTAACTGCTACACCGACACTGAGAGTCGTTGTCATTCTCGTTCCTTATTTCATAGTTCCGACCTATTATGATGATGATTGTACCTAGTCTAGAGGTAATATTAGAGCTCTACTTCCTGTCATCTATCCTTTGCTCTTCTTTATCATTATCTATTCTTGCATTTATACCTTCTTTATCTATTCTTCTTTAATTATCTTTCGATCTAATATTCTTGTATTTATATTACCCACCAGCATAAGTCTCACATTCTGCGCCACCCTTTGTCTTCGCGATATGAAACTGGAAGGTACCTTCATCCACAATGTAGAACTTATCCGCGAATAAGTCTCCCTGTTGGATGAGCACTTCTCCTTTGGCAATGCCGCTTTTGGTTAGACGGGCAGGGGCGAACTCCAAGGAGGAATATCATTGATACGTACCTCCAGAAGCATACTACCAGAAGCATACTATCTACTGTGCGCAGCACTAGCCCAGAAGTACTAGTAGTACTCTCCACTGTACTACAAAATTGCAACTTTTAATTCTTGTACACATCAAAACTTCTCGTACACAAAACTTCTTGCCCTTAACTTCTTATATGCCGTAGAGCAAAGTGTGTCCAGCTGGTCTTCGGTAATCTGCATAATAGCCCTCAGATTCGCGTTCGACTTCAAGCCATCCTTGATCAGCTGAGTCTCCTCCTCGCTTTTCGGTAAGAGACTCTTGCCTTCACTGGGGATTAGAAGTAGGTAGGAGAAGAGGTAGGTAGGAGAAAGTAAAGGTTTGGCTACGGATCATTCTTGCTTTCAGGTGCCATGTGAGAGTAGAGCGAGAGAGAGAGAGTTAGAGATATGACGAGAGGTTTACACTTATACTAGTATACATAGAGTAGTCCTGCTAGATCATAATTTTTCCCCTGTTGGTGCAACAACGGCCTTTCGCTTTCCGAAGTGTAATCGCGCACCAAGATTAAACTGCTTGAATTTCTCCCTAGTGAGACAAAAAGTCGTCAACTCTGCTGTGGCGACGATAGTTGCTGCACGTGCAGCCCCCCTCAAAAGCGACTGCTCTCCGAAGTAATCCCCCGCTCTCAGTGTCGCAACTAGCTGGTCCTGCGGAGGACCGGAGACTGGCTCTACCTGTTTGTCGCCTGGATTTAGAGCGGTCCCACTCTCAAGAAATTATTTTTTCACAACTAGTACGTACTTATAAGGGGAACTACTACCACCTCTTGTTCCTGCAACTCTTCACTACGACGTAACTGTACTACGACAAAGAATCAGGAGATACCTCTTCCGGCAAGACTCTCCCTCTGTATCCACTTTCGGCAACGCGAATCGTATACGGGAACTCTCGGCTAGCATCAAATTTATCTACCGTAGCAAGCGATCCCTTGAGGATCTTTTTGCCGCCAAAGTTTAGCGATAGAACGAAGTTTATGTTTATGATGATTGAAAAATCAAAACGCTAGACCTAGAGACCCTACGTAAAGATGATAATAAATAGCATGCTCCACTTGTGGTCATGAGGTAAGTAACTACACGTATTTTATTTATAGCAGTCGTCCTTTGCACTTATGATTATGTATACTAGAGTCGTAAAAAGTGTAGATCTTTGAGGCATTTGACTTTGTCTCCGACCACTAGGTAGTTCGTGTCGTGCACCATCACGTTAGCTTCACCCTTCTGGATAACGTAGAAGGCGTCGCCTTTATCTCCCTGCCGAAAAATCGTGTGGTCTGTAGAAGCAGTTGATACGAATTTGTATCATCATGGTCCTGAATATGATGAGACACTTCTGGTTCTTCTTCTTCTTGTTCACTATCTCCTTGTTTTATCTTCTAGTGGTGGTACTTACTAAAAATTCAAATTGTATTATGTATTAACGTGAACTTCAGAGTTCTTCTAGTAGTACTTCATCTCCTATCACAAGAACTAGCTAGTAGAACCACGTATAATAAACACAATCAAACACTTATATATATCTATAGTACTATTTGGAAAGCTTTTGACTTGCATCGCTTGCGCAAGTAGTGGCAGATCGGGTTCTGGTAGTCGCTTGAACAGGGGAACTCCTTGGAGGAAGGAATTGGTTGAGCCTGTGCAGAAGGTTTTTCGAATAAGCGCATCCGTTGGCAGCAGGTCCCTAGGAATTAGAGCTGCTGGAAAAAGTTCGTCGTGAGGGGGTAGAGGTGCTGAAAGAACCAGAAGGAGCTGGAAGAAGGTGCTGGCATATAGGAAGTAGAGATGCTGGAAAAGGGTGGTATATAGGTGGTAGAAGTGGAAGGAGGCTGAAGACCGTAGTAGCGCTAGCGTAGTTTAACATTGGGAATAACCTAAGATGACTATCCGAACCAAGGCCAACGTAAGAATATACGAGGAATACGAGTATTGATGTCAACTATTTCCTGATCATCCGCAATCGTAATGTCACTGGTAACTGACTTGTGAATCTCTACTTAGTTACTGCTAGAAAAGTAGAAGCATTATTACCACTGGGGCTCTTCTCATTCTACTCAAACTCAGTGAGGGGAAAAATTGATGATAGTATCTCACACAACGAATACGAGCCTTAAGGCGTCCTTCTTTCCAGCATCTTGATCCTGTTCGGAGGTCTTGCCACTAGGAGGAGCAGTGTCGGAAGGTGCCGACGCATCTGCAGATTTGAATTATGGGTGAGCAGTAGTTCTGAGACCTAGTTGTTGTACCAGCCACAAAAATTGACAATAAGGTAAAGCTAAAGGTAAAGGTGGGAGAGCACTATTATAATATGAGTTCTGATCATTTCTGAAGAGAAGGAGAGGATAGTAATATTAATATCAGTAGAAGACTCACATCGTCGTGACAAGGTCTTCTACAACATTGAACAGATCAGTAATTGTGCTTGTGACTGAAGAGGAGAGAGGAGTGCTATTGCTCTATGTATAACTCTTCTTACCTGCCTTCGGCGACGGCGACGGGTCCCCTTGTTGTGCCGGCATTTTGTTGTTTCTATAGAAGTCAGCTGCACTTTTACGTTTACCTAGTACATTCAAAAAAATCTATATAAATATATGTTGTGACATCAAAACGAAAACTTTAAAAATTACCTTACACACTCATACTGAAACAAATGAACGACCCCTAAGACTTCTTGTTGTTGTTCTTATTTTTGGAAAACCGAAAAAAATCAGTGGAGAAATACACGATAGATCTTGCATCTTTTCAGGTAGGTTTTCATGCCTTGTTTTTGCAATGCCTTTTTGCTGGTACTGAGAAGTCTGACTCGGTCAGTTCGCTACTTTTCGCGACCAAGTACATGCTTGTGTAGATGAAGTTGTCACTCTATTTTCTTGATGTTCCCCTTTGAGAAGCACGGCTCCCTACTCTTTCTCTCTCGCTCTCCTTCATGTTCATGGGCACGTAACACGAAGATCTTTCATCTCATTCTGATGCGCCCGCCAGAATACTCATCACGATCCGATCAAGTAAAATCCAGTATTACCCGGTTGAATGTTACAGAAGGAAGCGCAAAACGACGATGACCTATTTGAAATGTCTAGTACGAACAGGCATGAGAAGTGTCCAAGTAGTTGAAGTGTCGGCGCGTGTGTGCCCATTTTGCAATACAATACAACACAAATAATCTCGCACAGTTTTCAGTGCAGACTGCCGCGCGGCTCGGTTTGTCAAACATTCAAAGAATAATGTTGACCCATCCCAGTATGGAAAGTCCTCGTAGACATCTATAGCAGACCCTCATCATGGTGTCCTACATAGTACCAATAGCCTAATAATTATAATTGCGCTTCTTTATCTCTATTATGTCAAAAAATTGTACGTTTTCAACATCGACGATCCGTAGTAATCGTTCGATTCCAATAGACATTCTTCAAAATTTTTTGAGTCTTTCTTGTTCCTCTTGCGTGCACCTACTTCTAGCAGCTGCACATGCCTATATTATGACTTCATCTCGGATTCCCTTCATAATCTCAAAGTAATTTTACAGCTCTCATGACCATGCGGAAGAAGAAGGTCTATCACATGAAGACGCTATTAGACAGCTCCAGCACACCTGGCAACTTCGACGCTATCTTCTAACTGAACCAACTTCTATGATGATATCTATCATATCAATATCGCAACCCACCACAGAAAATGAGAAAAAATATTGTCGACTAAAAGTAAAAGCAAAACGTCGTGGTTGCTTTTTTCAATCGCCTAACGCTGATAGTGATCGCTGCTTAAGCTTAATACTCAAATTATTTGCAGCTATGAAAAAGAAATCCCTGACGCTGACCCTGTCTATTTTCTTGATAATTTTCCTAGACGCATAGACGTTTAGTTTTTGACCGCGCTTTTCATTGGTTCCTTCCTCTGCCGGAAACAAAAAAGTGTGAGTCCTGGAAATCTTCATCCTTCGATCTTATTTATATCGTCAATTGCATGCCTTTTCTATTTCCTCAGAAACGTTTTGATTTGCCGCCATTTCTGAGAGCCCCTTTTTCAGATCCGGAAAAACTGAGCTGAGCTTTGCCTTTAATGGATCTAGGGTACCTTTGCTCTTGAAAAAAGAAGCCACGCCTTCTATTTTTGCCACTTTCTGGTCTGTTTCTTTGAGATTCTTGTTTGTGAGCACTGCTTCCACTAGATTTTGCACCTGTGAAAAGTCATAGTAGTTGCTCAGCGCGATCGCGAGCTGTGCAGTGCTCGCCAAGATGGTGCGCACTTGCTGCGCAGTCGCCGTTTTCTTTCCGACCGAAGCCGAAAAGGACACTAAGCCTTTTAGTGCCCTCAATCGATTGTGTAAGTCCGGACTTTTTCCGTGCCCGAGCAGGAGCACTTGACTGACAAGCTCTTTGCCATTCGCAATCTCGTTACCCAGCACCTTCGCCAGGTTTTCTGTCGCATGTGGAACAACGAATGCCATCTCTTCCAAAAGACTTGCGTCTATTCCATCAACTTGGCTGGGTGCGAGATCCTGATCATCTCTTATATGAAGTTGACCTTTCGCAGTCGACAAATCAACACCCATTTGAACGAGCTTCACGATTGCCTCCAGAATCGTGTAGATTTTTTGTGGAGTCATTGTCATGCGCGTATTTTCTACCGTCTTTAAGCCGTCTCGCCCCCGTCGCTTCAACTCAGTTTCGGTTAGCTGGATAGCCGTTTCGCGTAAATTCTTAGCAAGCTTTTCATTTACATTTTCGAACAGGCGCTTCGCTTGAGCCACAACGGCCTTGTCGCTGTTGCTCGTGCCCAGTGCTTCCACGATATATTTCATCAGATGCTCGTTTCGGGGATCCACTGTCCTGCGAAGGACGAAAGGCGGTTGATTTTGAAAAAAGCCTTTCAAGTCAAGATTGAACTCTCTGGCCTGTGGGACGATCAACCTCTGAAACACATCATACACGAGATGACGCAAGATCTCAGTAGCCGTGTTGACTGTGAGACTTTTGTTATTGTTGTTCAACAACCCGAGCACAACATCTGACCTCTGCAGGGCCAGCCCATCGTTTAGTTTGCCGATCTTCGATGTATCCAGAGCCAGGAAATCTCGCAGTGCTGCCTTCATGTTGTGTGCAAGGTCCCCCCCCTGTCGCGAAGGAGCAGCTTCGGGCTTCGCTAACGTAGCGAAATTTGGTCGGCCCTGCATCAAAAACAAGTTCTCCGGTTCCAAATACCATGGAGTAGAAGAAGAAAGAAACCTATTAAAGAACGCTTCACGCGAAGTGGGAAGATCGGCCGCACCACGCTCATCTCCCAGTACTTTCACCAGTTGCTCCTTCACTGACGTATAAGCATCGACTGCAGGTCCCCAGGTTTCGTAATTTTCGCTCATGCGTTTCAGGATCTTCCGCTTTTTTTCAGCACTGAGACCTGGATTGCTATACAATGCCTCCACCACGTCCTGGCTCGCCTTCGATTTCTTCTCCAACTTCTCCTTCATGGAAGTCTCCAACTCTTTCTTTTGCTCTTGGCCTTTTTTTCCAAAAACGGACAGTAAACTCCGCCTGACCTCCGTGAACCCACTGCTTCCGTCCAGATCCTTGCTAGACAAAGAGACGTCTCCTGCTAAAAGGAACTGCGCATGCCCATGTTCACTCGCGGTCGCGTCACCCTCCTTCTGCTTCATCATCGCAATTGGTTCAACGTCATCTTCCGCATGATCCGTGTTGTAGGTGTTCTTGACGGGCGTAATGAGACCAGCACCTCGCCGTGCCGTAATTAGCTCTCCCACCACCGTTGTGCTGCCATGACTGTGAGAAAGCGTTGACGCCACAGCCAAAAGAGTAGAGCCCGTCTTCGCACACGAGGAAGAGGCACAAGAAGCAGAGGAAGAACAAACCCCCGATGAAGAGGATCCACGGGGACCATTCCTCTTATGCTTGCGACCCATCCTTATCCTTTTGATGTAGTTCCCTTAGCTAATACTTACTGTCTGTAGTTCAACTGCTCCTTTTGTAGAGGAAGATTAAGGTAACCTTACTGTTGATCGATGTACTGAAAGAGGACTTAGATCAAATCAGCACGTTTTCAAGTTGAAGTACGTAGAAGAATTAGAAGACAGAAATACTCTTACTCACACAGTGTTGTAAATTATGTTGTTAGTCGAAGTGGACGTATTTTTTGCGTTAAATAGCAAACTGTGACTACGAGTCAATAGATACTGATGCGAATGAACAAAACGAAGAAGTAGAGGACCAACAAAGTAGTACTCTTTTCTTGCACTTTATCTGATATCTAGCTTTTTTTCAATCAATTTGCTTCAACCTTAAAAAAATGTACTTACGTGGAAAAACGGGTCAAACAATCAATGTTGTAAGACTCGCTGCTGCTCTTTTTCTCTAGTAGAACGTGGCGGTTGCTCGACCTCTGAAGACCAAGGAGCAACATCATGGTACCTTCAAGAGCGTCGTCAACTCGTCAAGCATACTCTCACAACCGAGCGGCCACGCTACATGATGACTATTTAGAGTTTTCCTGTGTTAATATTCCCCGAGCACTCGACAGATGAGGTGACTCTCAATCTTACAGACACCATTTTCGAGGTGGGCATTTCAAAGACGATCGCTCTTTAATCTCGTCAGGATACAGACATCGCCGCCTTTTCTCAACAATATACAGAGGACTTCTGCAACTCTACTTACTCTTCGGTCGTCGAACACAACATGATCGAAGACCGTGATTCTTAGGTAGCAACGATGGGTCGGAATCAACGAGGACATGATCGAAGGTCGTAATTTATTGTATACTGTTGGTGGAGCATACCTAACTAGAAAAAACAAAAACCCTTGTAATTTCAACTCCAATTTCAACTCGTGAATAAAGATACTCATGCTTCAAATGGAGATAAAGCCCCCTGTCTCTCTACCATTTTAATAGTCCAATCAACATGGGACATTTTCAAAAACTCAAACCCCAAAGTAAGTATCGCTATCCATATCCAATCGTTGACATTAATATGGTATTTAAGATCATGAAGAAGGGTGGCGGACCACGACATGCATCTGAATCTGTGCAGGAAAAATTTTTTGAAGCCTTCTGGAAAAATCAAACGATTTGACTCATCTGAGTGATGCGCGATTATGTTGATGAGAGATCTTAACACTCTCATTCATCTTCAAATCAAAGTCCTCAGTAGATGGCTTGTCATCTTAGAGGCCTTAAATAGATGGCTTGTCATCTTAAAAGTCTTCAATAGATGGCTCTTTTCCGTTATTGCTTGTGTCGACGCCTCGCAAGGGAATCTCCTTCCCCATACCGAGAAACGGCCCCCCACCAAAGAATTCTTGATCTTATTCTTAGAGGAAGAGAAGAGACTCAAGAATAGATATTACGGCTTCCTTATCCATTTACACTCGAACTCGAACTTCCTAAAAACCCTTCTAGTTGTATTACAAGGAACAAACATAGAGCCTCTAAGAGGAAAGCAGTTTCTTTATCATCGTCAGGCAGTGGATGATCGTCCTCTGAATGTCATATCATGTGCCCCCGTTTACCACGTGGACAAGTGGATATGAGGTCATTCAGTCACATTCATTGTAAGTACCTTCTAAATAGAAGAGCAATAACACCAAGCAAGAAGTCCTCACCTCTGAAAGTCTTAGTTAGAAGCTATAAATAAATTATCAACAATCAACAACTAGAACTATGTAAGTATATCAACACTTATTTCGCAAGAAAGAGCCTTAAAACTTGATTTTCCATCCTCGTATCGGCTTAAAGAATTTATTTCGTGGCTCCCTTCCATCCTTCCACACTCTGTAGGCGCCACCCGTCAGCGTTTTCTTCGAAAAAAAGGCGATAAAAACAAATTTGTACAGCAAAGGGTGTTAGAGGAGCAAAGGGTGATTGATTGATTGATTGATATGCCTAGCAAGAGCTGATTGATATGTGTTAGAGGATAAAAACAAATTTGTACATCCTTTGCTGTACAATTGAATTGTACAGCAAAGGATGTCAATAGAGAGTAGAGGCATCGTTGGATGACAGATGTAATTAGAATCTTCTACCAGTGCAAGCACTAGGATCAACCTTGAGGAGGTTTTTAGACCACTTGGAAGCGAAAGTGTCATCTTCCGACTTGTTCCCAGTCTACAACAACTACAGTGAAGCGATGAAATCATAGTCACTTACTCGGAAGTACACTTTGTCTTAACAATAAAAGAGGAGGTAAGAGGCAAGAATGATGATGAAGATGCGGTCGACCATTGATTTCGCCCTTATCCAAGTCGAATTTTATGATGAATTCCTTCCTCAAATCATGATCGTTTTGCGCTAAGTGCAGCATTAGTAGAGTCAGCCATATTATTCATCTCGGTCCTCTTATTCCCGCCCCTTTTCACTTCTATTTTTTCATGGAAAAAGGGGATCGGGATGCCGAGAAAGATGGACACAGATGGATACAAAGCTGTTGACCCTAACAGCACATTCGTGGTGGTCGAGGAATCATCTGCGGCCGGCAGTACCAAACGCACACGTGCTGCGAAATAGGCAAAGCAAAAGCCGGCTCCCATCAAAAATAAAGCAATGATCACGGCATACGCGACATTGTCTAGAACGGTTAAAAACGGAAATTTCGGCAATCTTTCCAATAACGTCCATTGGATAGCGAATAAAGTCAAGAAAAGCGCCAAAATCACTTGCAACCTGCCTGCCAGTTCGTTCACCTCCAGGAAGTAACTCATTCCTCCGAACAGCGCAGGTTAGAAGTACAGGAGAACGAGAAGTAATGCCAGTAGAAGTAGAAGATGCTTGTTGTAGCCAGGATCGGCATGAAGGAAGATGCTTGTTGTACCGATGCAACTACTAGAAGTACATTATCCTTCTTGCTAACGGCAGCCCTAGAAGCATGATGTTGTGAGTACGACGGAGCCGGCGCAGACGCCTTTCTCTTTTTGGGCATGATGCACAAAGGGGTCGGGCCGCGAGGTCATATGAAGATGAAGATGATTGAAACTGAAAGAAGCCAGATAAAAATATGACGATGAATACTTCTGCAACATGACGATGCAAATGAATACTACATTTATTCTTGTTACCAAAACTTTTTAGCCATCAATCTTTTGTGTTCTATCCTATTAATACGTATTGAGACCATCAGCTGACAATCCCGTCAGGGGTGGTGGATCTGTAGCAGGGCTTACGATCATCTTCTATATTGTGGACCATGGGGAATGAGCTATGATCGTGTACACAACTAAGTACACCAGGTGCTCCGGTTCGGTACACCCTGATAACGACTAACCCTGCCCCTGGTATCTCCCGAATGATCATCATCATCATCATCATCTCTTGTTTACCTAAGAGAATTACCAACCAAAAAAAAAAGGGAAGTCGTGGGGAATATTCACTCCGTGTCCGTGCTGTACTTGGGAAGGGCGAAACACTGTCCTGAAGAAGTAACGTTCGTTGTCACAGAAACGTGAACAGAAAGTGAACAGAAAGAACATTCGTTGATGTCACATGTTGCCAGCGAGTCGGCGTCGGTGGCAACAGTATCTTCGTTTTTCGGAGGACGGTGTGTGGGTTACACGAAAAATCAAAATTCCAAGAGGTTGAAAATGAACTCGGCTCTCGACAAACACAGAAGCAAGCTATCCGTGAGATGAAGTACCGTTCCTACTACCGAAAAAATTAGCCCAGATGATAGCACTACCCAATCTTCGACCGGCAACGAACATGCAGGTGCTTCAACAATCTGTGTCATGCCGAACCGAACCTAGTGGTTACTGCCCGCTCGGCCTCCCGTGCACGATGGCAACTTCTCTTGCTTACTTTTCATTGAGTTACAACTACAGTATTCAGCACCAGTCGGTGAGACAGCTAGGCTTTTGCGTTAAAGCCTTTGCGTCATTCGGCGTCGTAGCGTGAATGACTATAAGACAAAAACAAGCATTAGTTGTATTGGCCAAGAATCATTATAGTTAGTATTAGCGCAAGTGTCAAGTGTTCAATAGCTCTCTACTAAGGTGTTCACGTTCAATGACTCATACTTTCAAATAATCGGGAAAACTCTTGTGTTCTCCTCTGAATAAGCTCCTGCAGATGGCAGCAGGACAACTCGAAAGTCCAAAGAAAGATGCAGATTCTTCCTCTGGGGTAGATGTACGGTAGTACTAGTCGTTGCATTCATCTGCGTCCACCTAGAATCAGAGTTGGCAACCATCAACGGCACTTGATAGAGGCGATGCACGTGGTGGAAGAGCATGCTGCATGGCGCCAAATAGTGGAAATCCACGTCCGTCCAGAACTCTTTGGGGGTTGAGTACATGTCTATTTATTAAAGGTCGACACTCATTGGTCACTCCTCAGTCTGAAGGGGCTGCAAGACCCTCTAGTACACACCTCCTCTCTTCTACTTGTTGTTTTCCCTTAGATGAAGTTTCCCCCTTTTCTCTGCTCACGGGGGCCCCTCTATGATCTCAGTGACCCCAATGTAAGTGCTGACCAATCATGAAGGTTGAGCCTTAATTTAAGGTCTCGTATATAGCGCGGTCGTAGCGATGGGCAGCGAGGATTCCGTAATCGATTTGACGGAAGGCTGAGATACCCACAAAATCCGCGTCTGACACTAAAGTCTCAATGCCATCCTGCAGGATGACATCGCTGTCAATACTCACACCACCTGCCTGAAAAAGGACAAACAACACGCAGAAATCACCCTTGTGAGCTCCGCGAATAAACTTTGTTCGGAAGATGGGGTTAGAAGATCATGATGGAAATGGTAATGGTGGATAGCGAGGAAAAATAGGGGATGGAGGAGCTAGAAGATGGAGTTAGAAGGTAGATGGAGTTAGAAGATGGAGTTAAGAGCAGATAGAAGGCCAGCAAATATGAGTGCAGGGGACAACTACTTAACTTCAAGACGTAGACGAGGAGCTCAACGAGAAGAATAGCAACCTGCGAATCAAAGGTGCTACCACGAAGTGGCAGTTGGAGTAGAAGTACTAAGCATCAGTTACGACCCTTGTTAATATTACGCATAGTACTGCAGTATCAGTTCACACCAGTCATAAAATCCAGTGCATGTGGCATCTCTTTAATCGGATTCTCTTGAATGAACTTTTCGCAATCTGCATCCCCCATAGGCCAAAAGTCCCAGTCAGATGGTAATTGTCGCCGTGAAGGGAGTGTAACTCTCATAGTCTCACGCATCGGACCAACCTGAATCAAACGCTTAGGAACTCTGATGTTGATGGTTGTTGATACATCAACTGCAACTTCCTTGTTTTCTTGGCTTCGCTTTACTGTTGAGGAAGTAGCTCTAGGATCAGTAGTGCTACTAGCAAGACCACTAGTACTGGTTCCTGTTGTCCTATTCAAGCTGAGTGCAATCTCTGCAGAGTGCAGAGACCCTTTCTTTACGAAATGTTTTAGTAAGACGCGAGAGTTGCGCGTTACCGCTAAGTATTCGACAGGAAAATGGAACTGATTCAGCAGGTGCTGGTAGCGTGGTAAAAAGACGGGAGTTAGAAGAGGAGAGGCACGGTTCTTGGGAAAGTATGCAGGGGAACAGGTAGGCTTTGATGATGGTAGATATGTTGAGGTTGAACCTCAATGAGGTGAACTCATGACCAAAATAGAACAAGGAACTGCTTAACACAACATTAGCAACACATCCCAACCTCGGTGACGCACAGAACGTGACTAGCAAGAAGAACAATCAGCACAACGAGTCTCGTGAGAAAGTTTCTATCCGCGGCTCATACATGCAATCTCTGTATCCTTGACCTCGTATTCGCTAATGCCCTAGCGTTGACGCTGTCTGTACTCGCATATTTTCCGCCTGTGCCAGGTACTGAAAAATCGAAATTTTGGTTCACAAATTCGATCTGACTCGCCATCTTTGCCGCGAACTCAGCTCGATCATCGCGCGCATAGATCTCCCAATGGCGCAGGAAAAACAGCATCCCCACAGCGAAGCGAGTCAAAGCTGGACGCGAGGAAAAGGTAGCTTCGTAAGGTCTCGAAAACACTTCCCGTAAACACGGGATGTCGGAGAAATATTGACTTCGTACCACATCTACCTCCCGACTGTTCGGTAGCGAAACGTTTCGGACAATGAGGGCTGCGAGACTGATCTCAGGAGTGCATGACAATGACCCCTCTTGAAGATTTCTCCTATAATCAAGGTGAGAAGCAAGTCTCCTCAACTCGTCTGCAACAGCTGTAGTTCTATGACCTGCTCTCGGATGTCTATGGTCTCTCGATGAATGTTCTTCTTGGGCAAGAGAGTCTTCGTGTTTCTGCACCACAGGCCTCAATAATATTCGCCTTTGATACTGGTGTGCGCGAAATGCTTTTTGTGCGATCGCTAGTTTGTCTTCACCCCCGAATGCGTCAGCTTCAGGAGCCAGCAATCCTGGCCATTCCGACAGTGGTTGACAACAAGCACGTCGAGAGTGGTCGATAGCAGGACGAGTATCACTATTTTCTTTTTCTTGCTCTACAGGATGTTGCTCTTGTGCTTGCAATTCACGCAACAAGCCACTGATTTCGCGTTCTCCAGTAGTAGAATGTTTCCTACTTATTGCCTCACAATCCGCAACCCCCTCACTATCACTGAACGTTGGGTGTTCTTTTGACATCAGACCCAGGCTTCTGGCTATGCGAGCAACCGCACCCTCGAACGTCGTCGTACGTCCTTTTAAAACTTCAGGGTTATGACTGTAAAGCACCGAAACATGCAATTCGTTGAAGGCAACAGCATAATCTGACTTTAACTGGTCTAGTAAAAGGTTTGTGATCATGTCTCTTCTGTAAATGTCCTCGTTCCCGTCTTCAGCTGTACCTCCTCCATCTGCATAATTGTCATTCCTGGTCATGGATGGAGAGGTAGAGGGGGATGTTGACGCCGCGTCAGCCTTTACTATCACGCGTTCTTCCCAAGCCTTGTTCAGCATTTTCGCGTCTCCTCCATGATCCAGCATGTCCTTCCGCAACACCTCAAAATCAGGATACCATCGTTGCCCTAGTACATTCTCACCTTCCCAAAACTTCTCCGCATCTCCCTTCATCTTTCCTATCAATTCCCAATGTAGTTGTGCCACAACCTCCGCAAAAATCCGCTTCACTGCTGGCTTCGTAGTTGGGTTACGATTAGGAACTTGAAGATGTCGTTGTCTCAGACAGGCCGTGTGTCGTTTCCTCTCGATATCAACTGTCGTTGCAGCCAGTGCACTAAACACCATCAAAAGTCGTGGAACCACAAAGCCACGCTGAAGGCCTTTTAACCGGTTTGTGGCGTCTTCTAGCATAGCTTCTATACCTGCAAGGTTATTCAACGTATCTTCTGTCTGTGCGTAGTTGCTTGCGAGAATCTTTGACCTCGCATCTGGCACAACTTGTAGTTCGCATCCGGTGCGGGAGAGACCTAGTAAAGGAACCTTTGGCGAAGAGGAGTTGAAGGGTGTTGTAGAAACATATATCCCAGGATCCTCCAACGCCAACTTTTGAGCCAACCTGAGTGCCTCCACTGCGTCAGCTTCCACTTGGAGTGTCTTTCTGATCTCACTGTAGAGAAACGGCAAGAAGACACTATCATGCGCTTGCCATAGGTCTGCGGAGGTTTTGATCCAACTATGTGAGGACGTAGTTTGATGAAGAGTTGTCGCTTCGTCCACGTGATCTAGTACAATTCCCACTCCCGCTCCTGCAGCATTCATCTTTCTATTTGAAGGAGACCCCTTGAGATTTAGTAGTTGGCACGTAGCCACTACACCGGTAGTACCTGTTGAACGCCCACGATCATAGTCTCCCCTATTCTGAAATCGTAATCGTCCAGGTGGATACGAAAAGAGAGGTGCGTTGAGATGGGCGTCTTCACGTTCCTCTAGTAGCAAGTCCAACACTTGTTTCATACCCAACGATGAACTAGAACCATCTATTGTATTCTTCAACACGTCATCTTCGTGTTCTGGTATACGACCCATCTTCATCATGTGGTCTTGTTCCGAGGGAGAACCTGCAGCTAAAACTCCACTTATCAACCTCGCCTGTCGACACATCCGCACAGAACTCTCCTCAGCGTACATTTCTAGTCGTGGGAAAACTAGACCCAGTGTTGCACCTAGAGCACGACTGCATGATGGAGCAGCTCCTACATCACCAACATCGTCGTGATGAGGATGAGCGTTCTTCAACAGAGGCACTGCAAGCCGTTGATACAGTCGCTCCAGGTCGTCAAAAACTGTTTGCGCCGCGCCAGGACCTAATCCCAACTCTCGAACGACAAAGGCAAAGCTTAAAGCTCCTCCACGTGGCACCAAAATTTTTGTCAATATCTCTTGAAAGAGGCTACATTCGTAGAGATCGTCTGGTGTTCTTGTGCTAGTTGTAGGACTCTCATATTTATCAGCAGAAAGCAGTAGCTGTTCCTTCTTCTCCCTAAGCAGCATTGAGTTGTCGAGTAGGTTGAGAAAACGATATCTCCTCTTCTTGTCTACGTTGCTCCTGTGTGTGCTTTTAGGATCATCCTGCGTGCCACCAGTTGCGATGATGTGTGTGTCTTTAGGATCATCCTGCTGATGTGTGCCACCAGTTACTACAGTTTCTTCATCCACAGCTTTCACCGCCACCCTTGCAACGTCATTCGCCATCCTGGTGAAAAAATTGTTCTCTATCAGACGTAGATATCGGCCTCCCTTGTAGCGGATTTGGAACGCCTTTGGAGCCAAGTCTTCCAGGGGGAGGCCGTAGCTGAAGGTGACAATGCGAGGACGGATTGCAGGTGTTGAGGAGGTCTTGTTTTCATTCTGGTTCTGGACGTTATTGCTGGAGCTGCCCGTCTCCCACGACACATGCTGCCCGCCTTCATCTGACGATGTTGACGCTGTACTCGTTTCATGCTTGGTGCCATCCTTATCATCTGCCGATGTTGACGTACCTCTACTTGTCTCATTCCACCTACCATTCTTATTATCTTCCGTTTCAGTTTCAGCAAGCCATTCTGAGACTTTGCCGTGGATGTCGTAGTAGCTGAGGACGCCAGAGGCCTTTTCTTTTTCCGTAGGTTGGACGTTGTTTTCGTTTTCTGCAGTGCTGTCTGGTGCCTCAGAAGTTGTTGAAGAGGATGACGAAAGGGCATCTTCTTCAGCACTTCTGGAGCACAAGTCACCGTAGAAGTCACCGTAGTTCTTGGCATGAAAATCTTGCCCTTTCTCTCGTCCTGCAGTTGTGCCTCCTTCACCTGTGCTGCTTGTATTGCTTGTACTGGATAGAGCAGGTACACCACCTTCGAAGAGTCTGGAAACATGAGGTCTTCCATCTTCGAGGATGAGACCACACAAGGCAAACCGTCCGATGCGCTCATGTAGTTGCAGCACCTGGCTCCAAACAGCCTGCGGGCTCATGCTTGGTCATTCCAAACACCCTGTGGGCTCATGCTTTGGGGCCATGTGGATGTGGAACAAAAAAACACCTACTAATCAGGCGACCATGTTCTTTCATGAACAGCCTAGCCCTAGTGAGTGCTGTCAGTTGCCGACATCATAGACAAACTACATCATGTAAAAAGTAGACCTACTTTTTCACACACGACCTACAGCTACACCTAGAAACCTAGAACATTGTCCTCCAACAAAAAAAACTCGAGTGATGGCGATCAGAAGCATCCCACGAAAAATCATGTCTATGCGAGGATCAGGAAGGACTGATCATGACCAAACGTTGAGACGATCACATCTTCATAAAGAAGTGTGAGAAGAGCGAAGTCGAGAACAAACACAAGTCCTGGAGAGGATCCAATGCCAAACAACAAGTAACTTAATCACATTTGCGGTTGCGAGGATACTCCACATCATCAGGAGTCGTGACATCCTCCAAGAATGAGAAGCGAAGAAGGCAAGAGACTCGGGTTCGCAGTTTCTTATTGTAGCTGTCTACAGCTATGCAGCATCTTCAATATGCATCTTCTTCTGTGACTGCGCGCGCGTCGTGTGTGCTCCTCTTTAAGATACTATAAAGTAGACAAACCTCTACTTCAGAACGGTCCCATTCCACCATGCATTGCATTCAACGCTGCTACTCTTCCCTCGTAGTTTTCTGCTACAAACTGTGCTATATGTGTGCACATATCTGGCAGGCCAGTGTTGTTGAGCATGGAGCAGTCGAAGTACCGCATTTGATCCGGCCTGTTCCCACAGAACTCGAATCCAGTCTGTTCCGCTACCTTCCGACCGCCTTCAGGAAGGTCTACTTGGATCTTAGAGGAGAAGCTACTAGTAGAGACAAGAAATAGACTACTAGTACTAGATGAACAAACATGATACTCCACCCAAGGAGAATGAGCTAGCCTTGGTGAACAAACAAACATACTCCCAAGGAGAATGAGCTAGCCTTGAAAGAAGGAAAATCTTGATGAGAGAGCACTCGTGCTCGTGGATCTCCATCTTGAAGAAGTTCAGACTACTTCATTCAAATTGCCCCATCTCTTATCATGAAGTTATGGCAGTGCTAATGGTTAATAATGTGTTGAACCGAAGAAGACCAAGATCCTTCAGTTTCCTTGGACAAAAAAATATAACACAAGAGCCAAGTTAATAGTCTTCAGTGGTAGCTGTCGAGTAGACAGCTGGAGACGGGTCAAGAGGTCATTTTTGGATTTCATTCCCTATGGTGGTTGTTAGTGGGTTGTCCTACAAGAGTTGATTGGAGTAAAGAAAGTGCTATATATATACTTAAACTAGATAAAAAAATATATATATGTATAATACTAATATGGCAGTGCTAATGGTTAATAATAAAATAACAAAAACAAGGTAACAAGATTTGGATTTGGAGACTTCAGAAAAAAGTTTTTTTTTGTATCCTGCGGCTACTGAAAGAGCGGCCTCAGCTTTATTATCCAGTCCGCAAACCGGCGGCAGACGGAACTTAGTCACACTCACAATCACAAACTTCCGTCCATAATATTCCCCACCACACATACGCAAGCAGGCGCCTCACACACTTTGTCGATCGTCTGTAGGAACTCTCCAAGTTGTGAAAACGACTCCGCATCTGTCACGTCATAGCACAACACAAAGACAGAGCAACCATTGATTGCTTTCTCGAGTTGACCCGGTAAGCGGTCGAAACTGTGTTTTTTCATGCAATTGCGTGATAATGCTGGGATAGGATAGGATAGGATAGGATAGGATGCCTCGGGACTTAGATATTTCGACTTACGTCTTCGAAGTCTTAGAAATGAGAGATGTCTCTGTAGTCATGAGTAGACAATGCAACATGCGACTCTCGCCTGGACGACTTTGTTACACACACCTCAATGCGAAAACTACCATCAAGACACGCAGCTTTAAACCGGAATCTGAGTACCTCCCACATTCCTGCAAATGCAATTCCACTGTTATGTTTTTCTCCGTTATTGGCACCGTTTTCACTGACGACTCGCGTGCTAGCGTGACTGTATATGATCGTGGAAACGGATTTTCACACGCGACTTCCCTCAACGCCGTTTTCCCTGATTTTGCTGCGCCGAGTAGGGCGACTTTACTCCGCAATACTAGTGGTGGACCGAAATGCTGTCCGGGAGGCAAGAACTGCGAAGCCATTTTTCTTTCCTTTCTTGATATGAAAAATCGTCGTGATAGAAGCGCTTGCAAAAAGTGGACACCTTATGATCCAGAGCTTCTAAATTTAAGCGCTGAGAAAATTATTACTTAGTCACGCTCGTGGTCGTGGTGTTCCTGTTTTCTATGGTACGTACTAAGTCAGAAGACGCAGTATCTCCCCATTTCTCACTCCTCATTTCCTCCTGCCCTCTCTCAGTGAAATTGGCTTTTTAAAATTCCTCGGCAATCTTGACAAAGTTTCTCTCTTGTGAAACTTTTTTCTATCAAGTGAGCCAGCAGGACACTGCGCGTGCGCACTGAGGCTTAGATATGGCACGGGCATCAAATTTGCCAGCGCTGTTTTGGACGTCTTCAGCGAAAAGCCCAGCATATTTCCGTTTCACCCTGTTCCTCTTCGCTTAAGAGCCCACTCACTCTGACATTGGACCGGTGCCAATTGACAGACTGTGTATTATTGAGCGCCGCCTTCTCGGGTAAATGAATGAAGGCACTTTTTAATTTTATCTCAACCTTCTTCTAAATAAAGGCACTTTTTATCTGATTTTGTTGGTCAATGGTCATTACTGGCTCAAGATCCAACGAACGAACCTGATTTCAATGTCAAATGACTGCTCTCACTCGTCACCTTGATCATGATCAATGCCGTTCCTTGTCTTGAACTCTTGTTAGTTCCTCCTATGATCATCGTTTGAACTCAATGAATTCCAACATGAATTAGCAGCAAGATCTCCCAGATCTTTAACTGCACTATGACCCTTCATGATATCCCAATGACATTGAACCCATTTTGATACCATTTCAGGGCCTTAAACAGTCAGTGATCATTCGGCACGTCCGTTCTGATCGTCTTTCTGTTACATTGCAACGATAATCATTCCATTTACTCTCAAGAGCCTCATATTGCGCTTGGACGTGTTCGGGTGTTCCAACACTGTTTCAAGCCCTTGAGCCTTACCTTATTAAAGAAATTGCTAGTCAATACTTTGTAGAAGTAGAGAAAACAAAGTCGCATTATTTGCGCCACAAAATGCCCGATATGAGTCTTGGAGAGATTTCACCCAAACTGGGACAGAAATCTGACTGGCGTGACTGGCTTCGAGCGGTAACGCAAGAAGCGGACCGCCTGGACCTAGTCCAATACTTCAACAACGTGCTGAACGGCAATGCGGCAGGGATTCCGAACCAACCCAACAACAACGACCGCAAGCTCCAGCAGAATTGGCGAGATTTGAAGAACGTGATCATCAAGTCGCTCAAAGGTGCAGCCGCAGCACATATGAAGGATCAGGATACCACTGTAATGAACGCTGGTGAAGTGGTAACAAACCTCCGTGACGCTGGTTTCAGTCAAAATGACCGCACAGAGCAGCGAATCTCTGCTAAAGCGTTGGAAGGGATGCATTTCACGAACAGTGATTCTCCTCCAGACGTTCCAACATTCTTGGCGAAGGTTAGAGATGTCATGAACCAATCTCCGACCGTATACCCGCCGGAAGTTGGTGTGGCTGTTGCTGATCAACAAAACGGAGCAATCCTCGACATTCTGCCAAAAATGTTTTCCAAAGCATTTCGACAGACAATCGAGAGGATGCAAGAAGATGAACATCTAACGTTCGTCCAAATCGGTGACAGACTCACGAAACGGCTTCAAAGTTTGATTGACTCTGGTGAGTACAAGATCGAGAATCCATCTTTCGGCAAAGCTTTTCCAGCTGTCGAAGATTCCGATGATGAAAACCAGAACAATAACAAAACCAAGAAGCGTAAACGTCAAGATGAGAGTGATGACGATGGTAACGCGTTTGCCGCTCTCAAGAAAACAACGATCAAACGACTTCGCAAGAAGATTCGCAAAGAAATCAAGAACGAGGTCTACGCAACAAAAGGAAGTGGAAAGAGTAGTAGTAGTAGTTCTAGTAGTAAGAAGAACAAAGGAAATGGCAAAGGTAAAGGTGCTAAGAACTCAAATCCTAATGAGGGCATCCAGTGCAACTATTGTCACAAATATGGACATAAGGCGCACAAATGCTGGCTAAACCCGATGAGTCAAAGCTACCAACCTAACAAAGCCATGGGCAGCAACTTCTTCAACAATTCATACAACTGTTGGCCGCAAGGTAACACTATCCCTCCGTGGCACCAGAACAACTATCCACCGCAACAAAGTGGAGGAAAAGGATTCGACAACGGTAACCCACAGCAGCAATGGGGTGGACAACAACCACAACGCTGAGTCGAAACCAATCCGGAATGGAATGGATATGGGAGACGAGATGGACAGTCCCAAGATGAAGAAGAATTGGAAGAAGATTTCCAAAATGAGGATGGAAAATGTTCGCTGAACTTGGAAGAAAACTTTGAGAATAAAGAATATAGAAGTGAACTGCTTAGGGATGAAAGCTATATGATTGACAATCACTCAGGTTGCTATCTTAGTGCAAATCAAAGCAAAACAGTTTCACTTGTTGACAGTTGTGCAAATAAGTATTTGTCTAGCCATCGTTCCGATTTCAAGAAAATTAGCCACCGGCTTTGTCATATTAGTGGCACTGCTGGAAAGCGAAGTGGGAACCTAGGTAGACTAAAAGAAAACAAACTAGGATTAAAATATGGCGTACACTTTGAACACTTACCAAAAGCCATAGATCGCATTATACCGTGGTTAGGTGAAGGAAACTGTCATGAAAAGGGTTGGCAAATGAATTTCACAGAAAGTGGCGGAACGTTGTACAATACTCGCTCCGGCCGCTCTCTACCCATAACAAATTGCCCCCAGATGCAGTTACCTATTCTAGGCTGTGACATGTTTAGCAAAGAAGAAAATGAAACTGAGGAGGATATAGTATGCACTAGTATAGAAGAAGCTAGACTTCATTCACAAGCTTCAAGATTAGACATACATCGTAGACTTGGTCACTTTCACGTTGATGGCCTTAGTGTATCTTGTCCAGAATGTGATCGAACCAAAGGTCAAAGACGCTCTCATGCAAAAGTGAGACCCCCTGGACATATACCTTCTCCATTGAAAACACTTGCAATTGATTTCGCAGTTGGTATTAGACCAGTATCTATAAGAAGCAAAAGATGTGCTTTAGTCATTATTTGTGATTCGATTAAAATGTGTTTCGTTCGTCCTCTTTGCCTCAAGTCGGACTGCGTAGAGGTGATTGAAGAAGTAATAAAAGGCATTCGCCAGGACTACTCATTGTCACTCGACGACAAGGTGGTGTGGTTCATCCGTAGAGATAACGAACCCGTCCTAAGTAGTGACCATATGACCAAAGTCATGCAATCGCTACTGGTTTCGGAAATTCCTGGAGTTCCTTACAACCCAGAAATGAACGGAACTTGCGAACGTTTCATGCGGACCATTTTCGGTGCTGTACGTACCATGTTGGTCAAAGTCGACCGACGTCTTTGGTGTTACTGCTTACAGTATGCCGGAGATTGTTGGAATCGCTTACCGCATCGTTATGCAAAAATGCCAGAACGTGATGGAATGAGTCCTGTCGAGATACTAGAAAAGAGGATAGGAAAGAAGTCCTCGAAAAGTGGTCTAGGTATGTTAAGAAGATTTGGTTGCTTGGTGTACTTTCGTGAACAGGTCGTAGACACCACCAACAAGAAAGAAGCAAAGCTTGCGTCACCTTATCGGCGTGGTGTGTTTCTCGGTCTGTGTCCAGTTTCGTCTGGTTGGCTAGTAGGTACATATCACAACGATGGGAGAACGAAAGCTGGCTTCAAGTGGAGTGAGTATTCCACACTAGACGTAAAATTTCGAGAGTCGATATTAGTCAAGAACATTGATTGGCTATTGCCTACGTCGAAGGGCATTTATGTTGATTATGACCCGCTGGAAAACCTGCAGTCTGGCACGCCGTCGCTGGGTCCCGTCCTGCACAGACATGCGCTGCAACGTATGGCCTGTCAGCCGCGCTTCTCTGGCACGGAGTACAGCTCAGGCGATCCAACCGGCATGGAAATGATACTAGATAACAATGACATTGGTGAGTTTTTCTGTGAATCTTTGGACAAAGAGGAAGATCCAAAGACCGGTGATGATTCCAACTCTGACGCGCAACGCGTTGAGGAGGGGAATATCTCATCGGAGCGTGTGTCGCCTGACTCTAATCCTGAAGCAAGGGATCCGAGGACCTTACCCATTCCACCATCTCAACCAGGCAAAGTTGAGGAGGGGAAGAAAGGCCGAGGAAGACCTAAAGGGAGCAAGGATAAGAATCCAGGACAACGCAAAAGAAGAACAAAAGCCGAGCTAGAAGCATTAAGAAAAGACATGCATAAATTTGCCATGCTAGCAGGCGGGCATGAGCTGGAAGAAGGGGAGACCTTTCTCGAAGCACATGTCATGCTGTCAGTTTCCCAAGCCTTGAAAAGCCCTGACGCCGAGAAATGGCGTGCAGCTATCACCAAGGAGGAAGCTAGACTACTTGCCTTTGAGACTTGGGCGCCAGCTACTGACGATTGCAAGATGTGAAGGCCAGGAAATGGATCGCCGAAAGTTTCCGAAAGTTTCCGAAAGTTCATTTCACAGACTTCCTACCAAACAACAAAAGCGAGTAGCAGGAATCCGGCAGCCACTGCCCCCGCCGTTGCTTCCCTTGCTTTGTTCTCCATCTTCTGTCGGCCTCTGTCTCCGTCCCCCACCCAGACTGACAATCGCCGGGCCCGTCTTCACCCGGTCTACCTAGCACCCAGCTGGCTGCCCCCTGGCAGGGGCAGTGCGTGGGCTGGTTCGTTCGCTGGGTGCTGGGCGACCTCCTCCCCTGGTCGGTGTGGTCGGGCGTTTGGCGTCGCCTTCTTTCTTAGCTCCTGCCCCTCTGTTTTGTTCCCTTCCCCTCTGTCGTCTTCTCTCTTCTTGCTCTTCTCCTTCTTCCTCTCTCTCCCTATCAGTCTCTCTTCGCCTTTCGGTCTCCTTCGCCCCCTCTTTGTTTCTTCTCCTCTTTCTCTCTCTCTCTCCTCCTCTCTGTCTCTCCTCTTGTTCCTCTCTTGGTTCTCTCTCTCGCTCTGTTGTCTCCTCTCTCTCTCTCTCTCTCCCCTCTCGTCTCTCCCCTCTTCTAGTCTCTCCGCCCTCTCTCTCTCTTTCTCCTCTCTCGCCTCTCTCTCT